CCATCCGTGAAGACGGTCCAGATTTTCCTCCTTGCATCCAGAGTCTCCTGATAGGAGTACTCGGCCAAGAAGTCTGCCAAGGCTTGCGCCTTGATGGCTGTTCTCGGCTGATAACCGATACTGAACTCGGTGAGCTCGAAAGCCCACTTTGCTAGTCTACCGGATTTTTCAACCTTGCCGAGGACTTTCTCTAACGGCTGATCAGTTAGAACCGCTATTTGATGAGAATCAAAATAGGGTCGCAACTTCCGAGCAGCCACCACCACTGCATAAGCCACTTTTTCTAACAATGGGTAGCGCGTCTCGGCATCCGTCAGGGTGTGGCTGACGAAATAGATCGGCTGTTGAACTTTTTCTTCTTCCCTTAGCAGCACCGCGCTTACCGTGGCTGGACTGACCGCCACGTATAAGTATAGGATGTCTCCTACGACTGGCCTTGCCAGTGTTGGGAGTTGAGCCAGGTGTTCACGGAGCTGCTGAAAGGCTGACTTTTGTTCGTCTCCCCATTCAATGCCTTTTGAATTTTGGAGCTTCAGCGCCTTGAAGAAAGGGAGCCCTTTGTCTGAGGCTCGTGAGATGAACCTGGACAAGGCAGCCATTCTCCCGGCTAGACGCTGAATATCCCTTTTTGTCTTCGGCTCGGGGAGGTCTAAAGCAGCTTGTACTTTGGCGGGGTTTGCATCAATCCCCCTCTTGCTGACCATGAAGCCGAGGAACTTGCCTGACTTCACGCCGAAGACACATTTCTTCGGATTCAGCTTCATTTTGTATTTTCTGAGGGTGGCGAAGGTTTCGGCTAGGTCCGTGACATGATCTTTTTCTTTTATGCTTTTGACGATTGAGTCGTCAACATAAACCTCCATGTTTCGGCCTTTTTGCTCGGCGAAAACCTGATCAACCAACCTCTGATATGTTGCCCCCGCATTTTTCAATCCGAAGGGCATCATTCTGTAATTGTACAACCCGGAACTTGTTATGAACGCTGTTTTAGCTCGGTCCTCGGGGTGCATGAAGATCTGATGGTATCCCGAGAATGCGTCCATGAAACTGAGCAGAGCATGCCCGCTTGTCGAGTCGACCAGTTGGTCGATCCTCGGCAGCGGATAGGAGTCCTTGGGACATGCCCTATTCAGGTCCGTGAAGTCAACGCACATCCTCCAGTTACCATTTGCCTTCTGAACCATTACAACATTGGCCAGCCACTCCGGATACTGACAGGGTTCAATGAACCCAGCATCTAGGAGCTTATCGACCTCAGCTGCGATGTTCTGGTTCTTTTCGGCGGAGTAGTTCCGCTTTTTCTGCTTAATGGGTCGACTGGAGGGGTCGACATTAAGCCTATGGGAGACGAAGTCCGGATCAATCCCGGGCATTTCTGCGGCTGAGAAGGCGAACACGTCTCCACTGGCCCGTAGGAGTTGGACGAGTGCCGCACGGGTGTTTGGCTCCAGTGACGACCCGATGCTAACACATCTGTTCGGATCTCCTACGGTCAGTTCTATTGACTCGGTCAGGTCATCCGTCTCCATGCTCTTAGAGTTGGATTCCTCGAATTCCGGCCTGCTATCAATATTAGCAGACTTTCCTGACCGCGGCTGGCCATCAGAGTCGTTCGGCTCTGAGGCGGAGTCAGCCTTTTGGCCCCCATCAGATTTCTCGTTGTCTGGGGCTTCATTAGCCGAAACGTCTGAGCCTCTCGGCTTTTTGGCGTTTCGGTCCCGGTGCTTTTCCTCCCCATCGCCACGGTCGCCTCGGCGAGACGTGGATGGCTTGAGGTGATTGCATCGGCGGGCTTCTTTTTGACTGCCCTTTATTTTCTCGGAGCGTCCCTCGTCTGAAACGTATATCATGATTTGATGATACGTGGAGACGACTCCTTGAATGCCGTGAATGAGGGGTCTCCCCATGATCACGTTGTATGCAGATGGAGCATCTACGACCAAAAATTCGGCCATGATATTCCTAGCTGCTCGGCCTTCGCCGATGGTGACAGGAAGTGTAATCTTCCCGTCAGGATACGAGGAAGAGCCGTTGAATCCAGACACCGGGTAGGGTGCGGGGGCCAGGTGCTCGGCTCCCATCCTCAGCTGGTCGAACGCTCCTCGGAAGAGGATGTTCGCCCCGCTACCGCCGTCGACGAGGGTCCGCCAGACGTTGCGGTTGGCGATGCCCAGAATGATTACTAGTGGGTCATCGTGGGGGTATACCACCCCCTCACAGTCTTCGGCTGTGAACAGGATGTTCGGCGCCGGTGACTGGGACTGCCGAAGCTCAGCCAGATGAATCTGATGGGTTAGACCCCTCAGTTGGCGTTTGGCTGTGCCTCGCGAGATTCCCCCGGAAATAACTAGGATGTCGAGGGACTCCTTGCCCTGAGGTCCCTTATCCTTCTTCCGAGCGAAGTTGAGGTCCTGCCGAGAATCTTTTTCAGCTTTTTTCTCCTCGCGCCTGTCCGCGAGGTATTGGCTCAGGTACCCCTTGCGGACCAGATCCTCAATCTGGTCCTTCAGCTGGACGCAGTCCTCGGTGCGATGTCCGGGTGAGTCATGGAACTCGCACCACTGGTCCTTTCCCCTCGTCTGATGCCAGGGAGGCAACGGACGAGGTTTTTTGAATCTCCCCTCGTCCTTCGTCGTGCTGAAAATCTTAGCACGGGGAAGGGAGAGTGGAGTGTATGAATCGTACCTTCCCGTGTAGGGAAAGTGTCTTTCCTTCTTCGGCTCGGCAGCAGAGGACGGTTCTGAGGCCTTAGCCTTCCCTTTCCTCTGCGCCGAGACTTCGGGCTGCTGCCCTTTCGGCTTGTCAATTCTCGGACGAGACTGAGACCTGGATCTGTTCCACTCCTCGGCTCGGATGAACCTATCCGATGCTTCCAAGGCTTCCTCCAGGGTCTGCGGGGGATGCATGACCATGAAGTCCAGGAACTTTCCAGCTTGGAGGCCGTTCCGTAGCGCGAACACGGCCAGGCCTTGATCCAGGCTTGTGATTCCGGATGACTCGTTGCTGAAGCGAGTCAGATAGTCGCGGAGGCTCTCGTCCTCCGCCTGCTGCAGACTCATTAGCTCTGCAGTGGTCTTCTCTCGGCGGTTGGCCGTAGAGAATTTGCTCTTGAACTTGTTGGAGAGGTCGTTCCAACCGGTTATGGAGCCTTCCTTGAGCCCTTTGGTGATCCAGGATTGGGCAACACCTTTGAGGGTCGTAGGAAAGTATTTACACCAGGTAGCCTCAGACCTCGGGTTCAGATACATGTGCCCCTCGTAAGAGGCAATGTGATCCTTAGGATCTGAGGTACCATCGTAAGTAATATGTGCCGGGATTTTGACCGTTGGCACATGCTCTTCCAGAATCCACTTCTGGAAGGGCGAGTTCGATGGAACCATGACCGCCTTCCCCTTGTACCCGGCCTCAGGGACCTCGCTCCCTCCTCTCTCAGAGGTGGAAGTGGTTTTCGTCCCCGGCTGAGACAAGGTTGGGTGGGGTCCGGTATCCTCTGGGAAGGTGAGGCGGCTATGCACACTCACCTCCCTCGAACCCAAGCGTTCGTGAACGCTTTGGCGGGCGAATTCCGGGTCCTTGGAGGGCCCCATGGAATTCTGAGCTTCGGAGTGGTCAGAGGGTTGAGGGTTCCTCCTCCTCTCCTTACTGGAGTTTCGGGTGTCCCCTCGCCACCTCTGGCCGAGCTCTCTATGTGGTGGAACTTGTCCACCATCATCCTGACCGATCCTCCTTTTCAGGTTTCTCGGCTGGTGATCATCAGGCATCTGGATTGGAGCCCCTTGAGCTTTAAGGAACTCCATGCAGATGGCCACTGCTCTGGCCACTTCCTCGGTGGAGGGTCCGGAGGGAGGAGTCTCCCGCGGATGTGACCTGGATTGCACGCTATGGCGTGGCGGGGAGTTCCTCGCACCTGAGCCACTCGGTCTCGGGGATGGCCCCGGCTGCCGAGTGTGGTGCGAGGTGTTCTCCTCCTGGAGGCTAGGACCTCTTGAGGCTTCCCTTTCCGGAGAAATGGGGGCCTCCGATTCGGAAGAGGCTTGCTCCGGGGAGGGATAAACCGGCTGGCGTTCCCTCACCGTAATCCGGCCTCCTCCCTTCTTAGCCTTCTTGGAACTCTTTCCACTCTTAGTCATGGCGACTGCCGGAGTGTTTGATGACTGACGCGAAATTTAGTAGCGTTCCCCACAGACGGCGCCAAATTGTTTCGGATGAAAACAATCGAATCTCGGAAGATCCTTTTATCTTGAGGGAACTTGGTCTCGGTCCGAACGACGCAGGAGCCGAGGGTTTCCTGCACAACAAATACACGTAAACTAGCCTCGGGGGGGACGCCGAGGAAGGCCCCTCCGATGCTTAAGTCAGTATATTAGAGAGAGAAAGCTCTGCAAGAGTTTAGTTGCTTGAGGCTTTATTGTCTTACCAAGAATTGACCAAATTGTTGGCTTTTATACCTTGGCTAATGAAGGAGGCGGATTGGGCCCGGAAGTCAGTTGGGCTGGGCCAAGCTGATTGGGCCGTTGACTGACCTTGACATGGCTTTGAGGATGTTGATTTTTGACTTTAGCACATTTGGAGAGTTGAACCTTAACCTTGGGCTTTTAATTGGATCATTCAGTGACCAGGCCCAATTGGACTAAATTGGACCCAAACAGGTTGTAATTCATTCATCTATCAAACATTTTAATGAAATACAACAATTCAAGATATTTTATGTCTTATTTGTTTTAAGCTTGTGGATTCAAGTTTAGCTTGAACTCGTGGATTCGAGTTTGTGAGTTTAATCCGGAGTGTTCGGGATTAGCTTGTCTATGGTTAGTAGAGTGAGTGTTCAACTCTAACCATACTTATCCTTGATTAGTACTGCGAGTGTTCCTTGCTAATCAACCCTCGAGTTCCTCGCTGTCAGGAACTTCGATCTTTCCTTACCCTGTTCCCACAGAAACACCTAGCCTAAACACATAACCCATCACCCCAAAACCTTAAACCATATCCGTTTCCGCATCACCTCACTCATTACTTCCTATGTTCAGATGGGTAAAGAAGAGGTTGCTGTTCAGCAGTTTAAGCGATTGAGAGATTCCGAGGTGAGGCCTAATGAATACACATTTGCTGCAGTTATTACTGCTTGTGCCCATCTTGGTAGAATTATCTGGGGTGAACAATTACATGCTCATGTCATGAGAGCTGGTTCCTTGGATGCTCTATCGGTTGCAAATTCAGTCATGACATTGTATTCAAGATGTGGGCAGTTAAAATCAGCATCTTTGGTTTTTGAATCTATGACTAGCAAAGATATTGTTTCATGGAGCAGCATAATTACAGGATATTCTCAAGCTGGATATGGCAAGGAAGCGTTTGATTATTTCTCATGGATGAGGAGGGAAGGGCCAAAACCTACAGAATTTGCTTTTGCTAGTATGCTGAGCGTCTCTGGTAGTATGGCAATACTTGAGCAAGGTAGACAAGTACATGCTCATATATTGAAAGTTGGATTAAAACATACATCTTTGATACAAAGTGCGCTGATTACTATGTATTCCAAATGTGGAAGCATAAAGGATGCCTCAGAGATATACAATGGAACGAGCAAGGATGATGTTGTGTCGTGGACTTCCATGGTAAATGGATTTGCTGAACATGGTGACAGTCTAGAAGCTTTAGATTTTTTCGATAAAATGCTGCAAGCTGGTTTGAGGCCAGATGCTGTGACATATATTGGAGTTCTTTCTGCTTGTAGCCATGCAGGACTTGTAGATCTGGGTTATTCCTATTTTAATTCTATGAGACAGAAGTTTCAGATTAGTCCCTCTAAAGAACATTATGGCTGCATGGTTGACCTCTTATGCAGAGCTGGAAGGCTAACAGAAGCTGAGAACATGATCAATACCATGTCATATGAAGTAGATGATGTTATCTGGTCAACCTTTCTGAGAGCATGTAAAATTCATGGTGATGTTGAGCGTGCCAGACATGCTGCCGAAAAGATTCTTGAGCACAATCCCAATTGCGCTGGGACACTTACTACCTTAGCTAACATTTACTCTGCAAAGGGAAGGTGGAGAGAGGCAGCGGATATCAGAAAGTTGATGAGATCTAAAGGGGTAGTAAAAGATGCTGGATCATCATGGATTAAGGTTAAAGACGAGGTTTCAACATTTGTTTCTGGGGATAAATCACATCCAGATGGTGATTATATTTACAATGTCCTGGATTTGCTGATATCTGGTGTAGATGTGCTTGAACAGGAGGATGATTCCCTTCTGCAAGCCACATAAATTTAAAAGGGACTTAATCTTGGTTTGAACACTTGAAAAATTCCAATTGAGAACATGAGATGCATGTTCTTGTAGACTTGCAGTCACTCTTGGGTCATAACAAGGTTCCTCGAGGCACAAGCACATCATAGTTGAATAATCCACTGTTAAATCAGGGGTCTGTGTGCGGGGAGTTGGATTGGAAGCAATTCTAATCATATTGTCTGGCCAAGAAAAAGATGTTTGGAAGATTTATGCCATTCCAGAACAGCACTGACAATTTTGGTAATAAAGTTTATTTTACTGCTTCGTGAAAATATATGATTTGTGATTCTCTGAAGCTGATATCCATCTTTTCTGCACTAGGATTTTCAGCCAGTTTCCAAGCATACCAGTAGAAGAGTTGGGACTCCTGAGTCCTGAAGAGGTGTGCAACCCATGCCCCTTCGCTTCCTCATTTTTCTTTGTCGACTTTTTTCTCTAATCTGTACTAACATGGAATGAAATTGATGATGAAGATGAAAAAAAGGATAAAAGCTGAATCTTGGACAAGCTTTCTAGATGTCAGGTTCTCTCATGCTGCAACAATAATTCAATTCAATTCCTTCCGTCATCACATTTTGTCCTAATCAGAAATTTGTTTATAAAACCCTCTGAGCAGATGCAACAATAATTTTGTCCTAATCTCTATGAGACCTTCTGTCCTAGTAATTTAGTTCTGGGATCATCAAACTAAAACCTTTTGGTATAATTTTGAATTCTTTTGATGAAATAAGGAAGTTAATTAGTCAATTGGGTTACATTTTTTTTTTTATCTTACTCTTATGAACTTGAGACTGAAATAAATGAGAAAAAAGCTTGCAAGTTTGGTTATGGGATCATCAAACTAAAACCTTACCTGTCTTATGTGGTCGGCAGTAGTGACATTTAGTGCTGTCATATGAGTTATCTACTTTCAATCATCATGATTACTCCGCATCAACTTTGCGTGCTCCTTTTCTTTTCTTTTTTCTTCTTTTTTTCTCAGGTCAGAATTGGAGTTATTGGAGGCTTTGGAACTGTATTATGATGCTATGCAGAACGGATCAGTTACTGAAGCTGTTTCTTTTCCTGAATTTGGTATCGCTTATATGTGTTATAGAAAGAGATCAGTTCTTTCGAATAAGGGGAAATACCATTTAATATACCGTAAATAATGTCGACTTGACCATCCCTGTATTCATTTTCATCGTTAAGGTTGCTTGACTTGCCCCCCTGTTAACCGATTGTACACAGTTGCGTCATTTTCAACATGTTTCAACACCATTATTTGCGAGAAAGCTTAAAGTAGACTTTCCTGACGAAATTCTGATTACTTTTATATTGCTGAAAGTGTCCTTCCTTCTGAATGCCGTCAAAGAGTTCAAATTACACCCACAAAAATCGGATCCAAAATTTCTGTGATCGCTATGTGCAGAAAAGCTAACCTTGAGCACAAAAGGTTGACAATTTATGAGCATTTGGAGCTTGTAGTCAACTTAGTCATCTACTCTTCATATGCTGCAGGAGCAAGGGCTAATTTTGACCACATTAGATACTGCTAATTTATCTTTAGTAGATGTACCTTGCTAATCTTGTAGCCTTTGCGCTCGTACGTGGACAACCTTTGAAATGGTTTGGGTCAATTGAATAAAAAGGCTATTTAAAACTTGAAACTAATGCATTTTGACTTCACTGCAGAAGAGTATACTATCATGTTGTTGAATTTGTATAATTCTGTACATGTTTCATTTGTTTGTTACCATGATTTTTATTATCACGCTTGGTAACTATTGTACTTCAGTACATTCATTATTGGATGCACCAATAGTATAGTACACATTTAAAGTTGTTATTAGTATTTTAAGTGGGTGTAAAGTGAGACAACTCGTGAGCTACTTGAACTCAACTCAATTAATATTTGCTCAAATTCAGTTGATCTACTCAAAAATTGATTTGAGAAGTTCACGAAGTACCATTATAGCCTAAACAAAAATGTCTAAATTCAACAGACTATCATTTATTTTAGAGGTGATATTGAGACAACTTCAAGATCATTCAGGAAAAGTCAACTTGGTTAAGCTTGACTCAACTCACATAATCAGCACCCTAATATCAATAGTTAACAAACTTTTTATTTAGTATGTGTAACAATAATCTTTATTACTTCCTGAGTTTATTATAGACAGACAAGAAACAACGTTCAATATAAAATATATTGGCATAACAAACAACAAGCACCAGTGGTCTAGTGGTAGAATAGTACCCTGCCACGGTACAGACCCGGGTTCGATTCCCGGCTGGTGCACAATCTCATAATCAAGCTGTGATGAGCTTTGCGCTCTTTGTGGCAGGTGGGTCCGCCACAATTCATCTGACTTCCAGATTGAATAATTGCGCATCTGAGCTTGATTTTTTTATTTTCTGAAAATTAGACAAAGGGGATTTAAATTAAAGCTTGGATCTTCAAACACGACTTCTCAAAACAAAAAAATTACAAATTTTATTTTTTAGCTCCAATAATGATTAAGCTAAAAGATAGGGAATTTTCTAAATTACAGGCAAGTCTTAAATTACGACCATTGAAAATCTCTTAGTTTTCCTTTATGTAAAGTATAATTTTGTATCCCTTCAAAAACAAAAAAAAAACGTATTTTTATAAAACGTGATTTACTTTCTATTAATGTCAACCAAAGAAACATTTATATCATACGTTTGTGGCACTGTGGGTGTTGAATATTGATGGTCGGTGCCCTCGGTACGATGGAAGAGGCCCACAACATTGTGATGGAAACAGAATAGGAAATTATCCCCTGGTCAAAAAATTGACTACGGAGTAATAAGCTAATAAAGATGCGGATTAGATACAAATTCAACCATAAAATGTGGAAAAGTTGGCGTATTGAACTAGGAGGAAAGTAATATGTTTTGGGGATATATGCTGGAATTTAGTCTAATAATTATAAGTCTATAATCATTCATTATCAAAACCTTTAAGTACGTAATGTATATTATTCAGTTCATAGGATAATTTTGCACATAAACCTAATAAAATAACGGTACCACCATATTATTCTATTTTGATCATTTATTCGAATGAATCACAAGAACCATTACAAATTACAAATATGAAAGAAGGGTTTTGAACGAGTGAGTCCCAGTTTCTCTTCATGAGAAACACTTTTGTTTCTCATAATGGCATTTTGGAAAATGATGTGATGTTTTTTACCGGTGGGGACCGTCTGTCAATTTTGGGTGCACCTCTCATATCTTGACACATACTCTATAAGAAACAAAACTTGTTAATCAATAGGAGAAATAAGGAATTACCCGTTTTGAACATATATAACCTGTCATACATAGGCCATCAATCTTTACCATTTAGGTATATGCCGTAATATCTATACCATAGAGTAGTGTGAACAGGTTGGTTATCAAGGGCGGCGCTCAAACTTTTGGGCTTGAACGTTGAAAAACTTACAAAAGCAAGTCAATTCAAGTCAAGTCTTTTAATATTGGCTTCTAGCTACTCCTAATTCCTGTGATTTCAGTTTCCACATTCCATAGAATGCTTAGCACGCTAAGAATACTGCAACATTTCATGCTTCTATAAGCATCAATATTTGTATTGATTGTTTTCTATATACACAAATATAATATGGCTTATTGTTGTTGCTTTCTCCTACACTTTCTCTTCATAATTACTTTGATCGTCTTCTTAGCCTTTTCACCGTCTAATGCTGAGAATCCAAAATATGCAGCTTGCAAAAATTTATTATACTCATGTGGGGATATCAAAAATGTTGGCTACCCGTTTTGGGGAGAAAATAGGCCCAAATTCTGTGGGATTCCACAATACAAGCTTCATTGTAACAACGATGAACAAAAATTTCCTCAAATGTCTGTGTTTAATGGCAGCTATATTCATTTAAGTGTTCTTAATATCAATATATCTTCCCACACCATGGTTTTTTCCCAAGATAATTTGTTTGATAATTGTAATTTGAAATATTTGAGTATAGGACCTTTACTTTCTACATTGAAGCCAGAAGCTGGTTACACGAACGTAACCTTATTTTATGGTTGTAATAATTGTACCTCGAGAAATCATCACTCCAACAGTTTTTCCTGTAACAATAGCTCCTTCGAGGCCAGTCACAGCACCAATGGTACTGCTTATTACTTTGGTAATAGTCGTAATACATCAGACATCAGCAGTGGAGGTAAGCGGTGCTCGTGTAAAAACAATGCTACTGTTGTGGTGGATAAGAGAGTGTTGGATGAGCTCAAAGATAGTACAAATGCTAATGCATCATTGAAGAGTATTTTAACAAAGTGGCCAATTCAGTTTGAGTATATGGGGAACTTCACAGCCTGCTCCAAGTGTGAGAAGTCTGGCGGCAAATGCGGGTCACCAAAGGATGAGTCTTCGAATGAGTTTGTGTGTTACTGCCGACATGGAATCCATAAATTAGTGTGTCCTAAATCAGGTCCGTTTTTATTGTTGTTACTCCCTGCTTCCTTAAATAATAGTCTCATTTCTGATAATTTTCTTTTTTTAAAAAAAAAAAATTTGGCTTCTGGCAGATAAAAAGTTGGACATAGCTCTGGGATTAGCTGGTAATATGAGTAAAAAAATTTAATTTAGCCAAATCTTTTGTACTTGTAGTTATTATACAGAAGTATAGACTAACACATGCCATCTCAACCAACCAACAGGCATCGGAGGAGGTATTTTTGTTCTTGTAACATTCATAGCCATATGGTTTCGGAAGAAGAAGTCTGGTCACTCAAAGTTCAGAACTCGGAGTGCCTCACTTGACAGTAGTGCATCAGACCTCGAAAAGGGAAGCAAACTCTTTGGCGTGCCACTCTTCTCCTATAGTCAACTTGTAGAGGCCACCGGAAATTTTGATCAATTAAACGTACTTGGCAGTGGTGGATTTGGAACTGTTTATTATGGTAAGCATAAATTTACATCAATCATCCCAAACAAAACATTCAAGTTTACTCATTTTACTAAAGAACTATTGTCTGAATTTATCAGCCCTTGTCTAAACATGTTATGAAACATAATTTTCGTTATTTGAATTTATTTTTGTAAGGTGAAAAGAACTGACCCTTAATAATGAAAAAATATGCATATAGGGAAGTTAAAAGATGGAAGAGAAGTCGCAGTAAAACGCCTTTATGAGAAGAACTACAAAAGATTAGAACAGTTCATGAACGAAATTCAATTACTCACTGGTCTGAGACACAATAACCTTGTGTTACTCCACGGCTGCACTTCCCCTCATAGCAGGGAACTCCTCCTTGTATATGAGTATGTGGAAAATGGAACAGTAGCTGATCACCTGTATGGCGAAAACACAAAACCAGGATTACTTCCATGGCCTGTTCGACTAAGAATTGCAATCGAAACAGCCACTGCACTCTCCTACCTCCATGCTTCAGAAATCATACACCGCGATGTTAAGACAAACAACATTCTCCTAGACAGCAACTTCAGTGTCAAAGTTGCTGATTTCGGGCTTTCTAGACTCTTCCCAACTGATAAAACTCATGTGTCAACAGCACCACAGGGGACTCCAGGGTACTTAGACCCAGAGTATCACCAGTGTTATCAGCTGACAAATAAGAGTGATGTTTACAGCTTCGGAGTAGTCCTCATCGAACTAATATCTTCTCTGCCTGCAATCGATATGGACAGGTATAGACATGAGATCAACTTGTCTAACTACGCAATGAACAGAATCCAACGCTGTGCATTTGATGAGTTAGTAGACCCACAGCTCGGGTTTGCATCAGATTTCAAGGTTACAAGGATGACTATTTTGGTGGCAGAGCTCGCGTTCCAGTGTCTGCAGCATGATAAAGAATTCAGGCCGTCAATGGAAGAGGTTTTAGAGGCTCTCAAGAAGATTGAAAGTGCGGATTATGAAGCATTGCAGGCAGAAGAAATGGTACATAATGCTGCAGAGGAAGTTGTGAAAATGCATGTTGGAAACACACCAATGCTTTCCCCTACGGAAGATGATCATGCAAAGCTGTTAAGAAATCATCAGCTAATTCTGTCTTCACCAATCTCAGTGATAGATAAATGGATCAGTGGATCTACTATATCGAGCAGCAGCAATTAAATTGTTAGGATTTTTTTTTTTTTTTTTTGTGAAAAATCAATCAACTATATCTTGGTTGCATAAAATTGCTCAACATAATATGATTGTATAGTGGTTGGTGCGCCTAACTTTTGCTAAATTTTGGTGAATCTTTGTAGTTTTTGGCAGTGGTAACACAATTTAAGGGAGTCAGAAGAGAAATGATAGGTTTTTGGAGGTGTTTGGATTAGAAAGGCAGAGATAGATTATAAAGGCTAAAACATTATTTGAATATTTGGTTGGAATTAAGATTATTTTTATAGATAGAAAAATTTGTCAAAAACCACCTTATATAGAACACAAATATTGTAACAAATCATCTTATAATTACTAGCTTTGCTACCCTACCATCCACCCTAACCACCCTCCCAACTTGAAAAGACCCTTCAACACAAAATCACGAAACGAAATTAAAGCAAGTTATGTGAATAGTGCACAAAGTCAAAGTGTATCATCTAATTGTGGAATTGATTATTTTAATTTTAATTTGGGCTACATATACTATAGACTATTTGTGTTTGGTTAACATGTAAGAAGGAAAAAAAGTTCCTAGCTAGAAGATTGTTGTAAAATTTCATAAAATGCAATTTCGTAAGAAATTATTCTTTCTTATTTGTAATTTAAACCCAAAAAAAATATATAACACTTTTATTGTACCTTATTGGATGTTTATAGGACAATTTTAAAGAAGGCACTGGATTGTGTAGTCGTTCCTCAAACCATCACAAAGAAAGCCTGACGGATGCACAAACACGATATAGCCTAGGCATGACACAATAGTGTGCATGTCGGGTTGTGGGATGGCTTGAGTCAATTATATTTAGTAGAAGGACGACTAGGTATGGCACAATCCGGCCTTGCACGACAAAGCTAAGCACATTAAGATAAGTGAAATTTGGCTTAAACACATATGGTTGGCATGATGACACATGGGCTTGGGCTGTGCACGAGCTAAACTTTAATTTTGAAAATTTTGATATGGCACAAACGTAGCTCATAAGCTAGGCCTAAAGCACATGAGCTCAACACGAGGCACAATCTATAACCAATTAACCATATTGGTACAATATCACCCTATTATTCTTGCTTATTGTTATGTTTAATACTTGATGGTTCCTTTTTTTCAGATTAATTAGAAAGGTACACGAAATATAATATCTTGATGGTTCCGTGAAGTAAAGTATATGCCATAATTATTACGAGTATTGTATTTTCTAAGCCACATAAATAGTGTGATTAGATTAGGACGGTGCTCAGAGTTTTGGGTCAAGTCTCTAAGTCTTTGTAACAAAATGCCAAAAAAAAAAAAAAAAAAAAAAAAAGTCTTTGCATGTTCCATAACATTCATAGCACGCTAAAAAAAAAAAACAAAAAAAAAAACTTATCATTTCATGGTTCAACACACATAAATTTCTGTAAATTAACTATACATATACACAAAATAGAAACACATATATAATTTTCCTATATTTCATGGCTTCCTATTGCTTTCTTCTACACTTTTCCTACATAACTTTGGTTATTTTCTTAACCTTTTCGTTGTGTAATGGCCAATCTCCACAATATGCAGCATGTTCTTTAAAATTCTCATGTGGGAAGATCCGGAATATTGGGTACCCATTTTGGGGAGACAATAGGCCCAGTTTTTGTGGGGATCCAAATTTGAAGCTCCTTTGTCGCAACAATTCAAAGTACCCTGTGCTGAATGTATTTCAAGGTCATGTCCATGACTACGCCAAGTTAAGTGTTCGTCGCATTAACATGTCTTCCCGCACCATGGTTTTATCCCAATATGAGCTACTCGGTCATTGCTATTCAGATTCGAGTAATAGAGCGTTATCTTACTCCACATTATTGAAGCCATTAAGTGGTTGTAGCAATATAAGATTATTCTATAATTGCAAAAACTGTAGTGTGTACAACACTCACCACAACTCTTTTAGTTGCAATAAAAACAACATCGATTATGTTGGTAATAACAACTCCTTTGATACTGCTTATTACTTTGGTAAAAACAAGTCGTGCACTTGTAGCAACAATTTTACTTTTGTGGTGGATACAAAAGTGTTGGATGAACTTAAAAACACAGATGCCTCTCTGTTAACTATCTTTAAAAAGAATCCAACAATTAATTTAGAGTACACCGCGAACTTCACAGCTTGTTCCAAGTGCGAAGAGTCTGGTGGCAGATGCGGATCATCAGGAAATCTATCTGAGGATAAGTTTGTGTGTTATTGCCGAGATGGATATCATCAGTCACTCGTGTGTCCAAAACCAGGTACTTTGTATTTAAGTATATTAGTCCTCTTGATTTACCCTGCCCTGAATTTTATCATCGCGCTTTATTTATAAAACTTAGCACTAATCTGCCAGTAACAAGAATATCACTGCTATGTACCTAAGTTGTGAAATTGCTGCAACTCAAGCAGAAGAAATTAGTACAGTATATGTTTGCCTAATTGCCTGTTTTTAGCATGCATCTGTAGTAACCTAGACAGGTTATTAAATGACTGATATGAGGTTATACCAGCACTTACCTAGCGTGTTTCCTTAACAAGTTCATATTCATTAGTTATACATAGCTCGATCTATGTTGCCATATTGACATTTCATTTGCTTATTTGCAGAGAACAAGGATATTGGTATAGCTAATCGTCAAAAGAAAAAGAAAGATTTTGTCATAGGTAAATTAAAACAGTAAATATCTGTTACTCACTGTGAGAAACGTTTTTGTTCTTATTTTGTACTTTGTACCTTGATATAAATTAAAAATTCTCTGAATTAGCCAATTCCATTTATTCTTATTTTGTACTTTGTACCTTGATATAAATTTAACCAATGATCAGGCATTGGAGGAGGTTTACTTGTTCTTGTACTAATATGCATAGCCATTTGGTACCGGAATAAGAAGATGTCTGATCACTTGAAGTTCAGAACCCGGAGTGCCTCTCTTGACAGTAATGCATCAGACGTCGAATTTGGAAGCAAATTCTTTGGCGTGCCACTCTTCTCCTATAATCAACTTGTAGAGGCCACTGCAGATTTTGATCAATCCAATGAACTTGGCAGTGGTGGCTTTGGAACTGTTTATTATGGTAAGCATGAATTTGCATCAGTCTTACAAAAAATCTTGTAAAATCCGATAATTTTATAATAATATAATAAATAAATGAACATGAACATATTCAAGGTGAAGAGAACAAAGGCTTACGTTATTCAAAACTTATTATTGTCTGTAAAATGAGCCTGAGATACTAATTAATTAAAGTTTTACCTGTAGGGAAGCTAAAAGACGGAAGAGAAGTAGCGGTAAAACGCCTTTATGAGAAGAACTACAAAATATTAGAACAGTTCATTAACGAAATTCAAATACTTACTCGTTTGAGGAACAATAACCTTGTGTTACTTCACGGCTGCACTTCCCATCACAGCAGGGAACTCCTCCTTGTATACGAGTACGTGGAAAATGGGACGGTAGCTGATCACCTGTATGGCGAAAACACAAAATCAGGATTCCTTCCATGGCCTGTTCGACTAAGAATAGCAATCGAAACAGCCACTGCACTCTCCTACCTCCATGCTTCAGACATCATACACCGCGATGTTAAAACTAACAACATTCTCCTTGACAGCAACTTCAGTGTCAAAGTTGCTGATTTCGGGCTATCTAGACTCTTCCCAACTGATAAAACTCATGTTTCAACAGTACCACAGGGGACTCCAGGGTACTTAGACCCGGAGTATCATCAGTGCTATCAGCTGACAAATAAGAGTGATGTTTACAGCTTCGGAGTAGTCCTCATTGAACTCATCTCTTCCTTGCCTGCAGTTGACATGGAAAGACACAGACTCGAGATCAACCTGTCTAACTACGCAATGGACAGAATCCAACGTTGTGCATTCGATGAGTTAGTAGATCCAAAACTTGGGTTTACATCAGATTTCAAGGTTCGAAGGATGACTATTTTGGTGGCAGAACTCGCGTTCCAGTGTCTGCAGCATGATAAGGAATTCAGGCCATCGATGGATGAGGTTTTAGAGGTTCTAAAGAAGATTGAAACCGCGGATTATGAAGCATTGCAGGCAGAAGATATGACTAATAATGCTGCAGAGGAAGTTGTGAAAATGCACAATATTAACCCACCATTGTCTTCCCCTACAGAAGATGATCATGCGCAGCTGTTGAGTAATCATCATCTAAATCTGTCTTCACCGATCTCAGTGATAGATAAATGGGTCAGTGGATCTACTATATCAAGCAGAAGCAAGTAAATTGGAATTACTTTTAAAATAAATTTGTTAAAAGAACTGACCAACTGTAGTTTGGGTGCAGAAAGCAGCTTTAAATTATACGGGTGCACAAGGCAACATCAACTATAGTGGTTAAGGCGTTGCGCCTAATGACATATCGCCATTATTTTTGTTAAATTCTAGTGAATATATGTTCTATTAGGAAGAGACATTGCAAAATCCCCTCAAATTCAATTAAATGTAACCTTTTGAGTTATTATTTTAACCGTTCACGTACAAACTTTGACCTTATTCTCTAAAAAATATGAGTATCTTCGCAAATATATATTCCTGCTATAAACTTTTACGAAGTAGAAAAGCCCATAAATTTTTTCTGGTAAAAACATGCATGTTGAAGAGTTCTACTATTCTAGACTTGCTAAGTTGTATAGTTCTACTTTTCCGTTATTGACAATGTCATGTACTTCTATATATAATCATCTCCATCAACCACCAGCTATGATTAATAATTAATCAAGGCTTTTCAATTCATTTAACAACTCGTTAACTTATTAACAAAATCAGAAACGCAATTAAAATATTCAAAGTTTACTTAATTCTATACAAAAATAATACTGTACGAAGTATAAGAAGTAAAAGCAAGATTTTAATCAAAAAGGTCGGCCAGAATCAAATGTGTTTTGCATTGTGGAATTGATTCTTATAATTTTAATGTGTTGCATTGGGCTACATTAAAATATAAAATTATCTGCTAAAAATATTCTTTAATTATTCAAATCCTTGAGTTTAAAATAGTTCGTTAAGATTGACCACAAATTCTCATATGAAGAAGATTATTAAGTCGTATTAAGGTGTCTAATTATATACTACTAGTTGATTCGATATAGGAAGTGTAATTCTCACGATTTTGCAATGACATAGATACATGAATTTAAAGTAACTGAAGAAGTGAAGAGATGTCACTGAAATTTGTAGACTTAGCTTCCTATGAAAAGTTTCAAGCGATTACCAAGAGGATTAAATAAACAACTTCATATGCCGAGAAATAAAATTTCCTAGACATGAGTACATGTTTAGGTGTCAAACTCGACTTAAAAACTATTATTAAATTTATGAGTATACTAGTATATAGTTCAACATAAAGTGTCAAGGGTCTGTATATATTGTCGTTGTCATAACAGAGTGAAGAACCAGGGATAATGGTTTATACATTTCAACCCCGAAGTTTGAATCTTATGTAGTCAATTTTTTAATTGCATAATAATCAAACACTTTGTGCTAAAGAGAAAATGAAGCCAAATGGAGTTTTGGATTGGGCCCCATTAAAATGTGTTTAGGTGACCTGTCAGTGTTGTGACTCTTCACTCTTGTGTCTTGGAGAGAAGGCAATTGGTAGATTAGCTAGTTGTTGATTCAATAATAGTATCATTCTTCTTATTTGGTTTATACATAGAATATAGAAGGGGATTCTTCTTAATAATAGCATGAAGATTAAGTAACATTTTCAATACCCTAAAGAAAAAAGTAACATTTTTCAGATCAATATTATGCTCGAGAATGTTACTAAAATAAGTGTTAAAAAAGCGTTTCATTTTGGCGAATGATAATTACACATACTCCGTACTATATGAAGAGCGTGTGAGAAATACATTATGTTCGTACCATTTCGTGGAATTCTTGCTTCATATTCTTCCAAAATAGGGTAAACAATAAAAGTAAAATAAATCACAAATTCTTATATGTGGTCGTCACATGTGTAACAGTCATTATAAGAGTTATTTCGTTAGTGTAATAGGGATTACTTGATCAGTGTTAAAGGGGTTACTTCGTCAGTGTTATAGGTTACTCAGTCAGTGTTATAAGGGTTACTCGGTCAGTATTACAGGGGTTATTTGGTCAGTGTTATAGGGATTACTTTGTTCTTTTATAAGTGGTCACACGGTGTGGCCTGCCACACATAAAACGAGCTGAAAATAAATTGACCTAGAAAGGTGGGTCTTTTAGTGGGATTAATAGTTTCCATCGTGGATCAAGCAAATTCAATTACTATAGTATTTTCAAAATTATTATTGTGGCTTAAAATTAATAACTTGTCAAATACAAATGTTATACATAGTTCTTAGGTCTACATATAAGGAACTGAAAATGGAAAAAAATAATATAAAAGTATAATACTCCCTTCGTCCCTAAAAAAATGACCCTTATAGCCTAGATCTAGTCCAAAAATGATCATCCCATTTGCATTAAAATAGTCTCCAATTTGCAATAATATTTGTACAAAGTTAGCTTTTCCATGTAAATTTTGTTTTTCCGTGTACTTTTATTACTTTCTCTCCTTACTTTTTTTCAAACCCCATGTGGATTTCACTTTTCAATGTACTTTTATTACTATCTCTTTCACTTTCTTAATACCCGTGAATTTTGCTCATAAGGGTCATTCTTTTAAGAGGACAGAGAGATTAATTACACTGATTTACGCGTGATTTTTGTCATTTACTTCTAAATTAATACGGAGTACCAAATTACGAAAGATATTAAATAATTGTTCGTACCCCTAAGGGCTACATATAGTATTTTCATAATTAACGATTAAATTGTGTGTTGACATGCGTTAAAGGTAAAATTGACCCAACTAAATAAATTTAGAGAAAGTATAATCTAGTAAATCGACCCTCTAATTTCGAAAGTATTGATTTTAACATGAATTGACATGTCATTGACGTTGTAATTTAGACCCTTTTATTATCTAATTAATCAAAATTTGATTAACAAGCAACAACTCCAATATGATGGGATTGTGCAAATGGGGTTGGGTCCATTGTTGACCAAATCAAATGCAAGTCTCTATATCTCTCAAATTCTTCAAATAAGCATGATCAAGCGCCACCAAATTGCGTGCCCACACGGGTAAGATAAATTATATAGCCCAGGTTTTTTTTTTTTTTTTAATTATTATTTATTGTGAACTCACTCTTCAAGTATGAAGTATCCACCTCAACTAGTTCGAATTTGAGATAGATCAAATTGAGTTATGAGGCAACGATCTAATCAATTATCAAGCAAACATGTAATCCCATAAACTTTTCTGTTTGCCTCTTACGGAATATAATACTCCCTCCGTCTCCGAAAGAACGACTCTTTTGGGTTGATTTCGCGGGTATTAAGAAAGGTATTGGAAGTATAAGAGTGCATGGGGAAGCTAAGAAAAGTAAATTGAAAAGGGAAATTTACATTGGAATTGCAAAAAAGTAGAGAGAGATGGTAATAAAAGTATATAGAAAAAACAAAATTTGCATGGAAAAGCTAATTTTACACAAATATTATGCAAATTAGAGGGTATTAAAATGCAAATGGGATGAACATTTTGGGACTAAAATTAGGCCAAAAGGATCGAACTTTTAGGGACGGAGGGAGTAAGAACTTTTATAAATTAGCACATAGAATCTTAGATAATAGAGAAATGCAAATAAAACATACAACACACGAACCAAAAAGAAGAGTTTAGTGATATTTTAGTGACCGAGGGAGTACTGCAGTATACGGAGTGGTTATTGTTTTTTTTTTTTTTTCCTTCCTCTTAAGAAAGCACAGCCAAAACAGCTGTAGTAAACTGTAGTCTTCCAAGTTCCAACTAATCAAATAAAACAGTGGTACTGGTGAATTTAATTACTGCTACAAGCCTACAAAACAATTAATACTCCAAAATAATCTATCACCCACTTTAAATTATTTTTTCTTTTTAAAAAAAAAAGAGAATCAATAAATAATTTTTAAAAAAAATGACAAAGTCAAAGTTTTTGGGCAAGTACCCACATCTTTCCGACTTTTCACCATAATTTCTCTTTCCTAAGGTAGCCAGCCAATTTTTCTCTCTCCTCACGAAACCTGAAACCCCTTTACACTGTCAGCTTCAATAATCAAAACCCTTCAACAACTTTTTAATTCATGAAGCAAAATCTCTTTGATCACTAAAACTGTTGTAATTTTTCCTGCAATTTTTGTTGGGTCACTTGGAATTTTTTGATTTGGTAAGTTAATTTCTTAATTACCCACTTGCTTATAATTATTTAAAGTATAGATTTTTCACTAATTTTGGTGTTTTAAAGATATGGTATATCAAGTTTTTTTGTTTTGGTGATCATGGTTGTATGTTATTGCTTTGATGATGCAGTTTTTGGAAGAAATTTGTTGGTGGGGTTATTGGGAAAATAGATGTTGATTAATAAAGATAATAGAAGGTGAAGCTGTAGCTAGAATTTTTATGGATAGCTTATGCTGCTTCAGTTCAGTTTCTCAGGTAAGGGCTTAATTTATTTGTGGTATTTGCTCATAATTTTTGTGTTTAATGAGCTTTATAATGTTTGTTTCAGTTGTTATTATTTTGGCATCTTTAATCATAGATATTTAATTATATGCATATACTTGTATAATTGTATGTTGTAATTGGTCAGTACTGCATGGATCATACTGTGTTTAATGCTGGATAACAAAGTAATTTGTGAATTGTGATGGATTAGTTTGGTTAATTAATTATTGTCTGTAAGATGAAATCAGATAGCTTTTTGTTTCCTGTTTTGGGGGAAGAGGAGAAACTGGAGAGGGGGAATCATATTTTTTTTTGGTAAGAAAGAGTTATGTTCAAATGATTTGGTTCGAGAATCGTGAGTATTGGGTGGTTACTTGAATATTGGAAGGAATTGTGCAAGATTGTTCAGAGGTTTTCTATTAGAAGATGAAGACTAAGGTCTCTCATGAAGGGTAGAAATGTTTTGGTTCTAACATGAGTGTTTCAAATGATAAAGGGGAATGATCATTGCTTGATTAACAAATTGCCTCCACTGAAGATGAATAGGCCTATCAAAAGAAACTATTACCACCGGAGACTGATAGAATATTAGAGCTTGTGATTGATGTCTTGATACATCAAGATTCACTGGCTTGGCCATGGATTAGTCCACTTGATAATTATTTTTGTTGCAAGCAGTGAATTACGAGACTCTGCATATATTATGGCTTAGAAAAGAGAAAAGATATGGTGTGGTGCATCGTACTTTATATCCTTAAGCTGTTGAGGTGACCAGGAAATGTGGTTTCATACTGCAGATATAAAGAGTGGACTTGACGTTTAGAACTATGACTTATTGCTTGGTTACTTTGTTTTCAAGTTGCAGAGTGAATAGTGATCATAAACTATGGGGAAAAATGTTTGTAAATTTAAAAAACCCCTTAGCATCTGGGAAATCAAGAAATGAATTCACAGAAACAAGAGGGCATTCACATGCATAGGAAGTTTTCATTTTATTATTCAGAGTAACACAGGCTGATTTGGTAGTGTGGAGGGCAAGGGGGCTTTGGGTTAGTCACACTGCAATATGCCGACACGGTAGGGGTGTGTTTGCGAGAGAGATCAGGGGAGGTGATTCAAATGGCTGACATAACTAAACCATAAATGGGATAATTGCTGACAGAAGTTCACATATCAAATGACTTTGCACTGGCGATTAAAGGCTGAGATGGCTGAACCATTAACCAAATTGGTTAATCAGTGGGTTTGTTCACTTACTTTTGTACAAAACAGTGCTGAAACAGATATAAGATGACTGTCCACAGTAATGCCTGAAGATTTTTTTTATTAGTTAATGATTTTAATCCCTTGGGAGCTTTCATGTGGAATTGTGGATGAACATATAAATAATATTTCCTCCTTACAAGAAGATCAGCCTTTTTTGACCTTGGAGCTCCAAGCCTACAAATTTTGACCATTTTTGTTTTTGTTAGAATTGCTGCTTTATATTAATAAATGATAATTTTGTGGAAGTAATTTTTGAAATAGTTTGCAACTTGCAAGAACATAAGCCGATGTATGTATTAATAAAATAATGGTCACAGTTAGCAAATTGTCCCAAAATTCATATTGAGGCTTATCTTTAAATGTTGATGACTATTGCCCTTATGGCCTTATTGTACTGGCATCGATTTTTTTTTTTAATAGCCAATTGATTAACATACTCTTGTTCTTCTCATATTTGTTGCTTCTCTTTTATACTCTGTATTCATCTTTTTTGCACCTACTTAAACATTCTAAATTTAAGCCCATTAGTGAAATTTTTAGTGGATGCTAAATGATTACTCTCAAACCTGAAGATTGGATCATATGCCTCATAGAAATAAGATTAGCTTGCTTTGGATGCATGATGCATCCCTGAATCTTGAATGCATATCCAATTGGACACTCTTCAAGTTACGTCCATAGTTACTTGGTTTTGCTCATATGCATATTTTGTATTATTAAACTTAAGCTTTTACATTTCATGTCTTGGAATATCTTGAGGTTACAGAAAAACATTTCGACAATTAGTTTGTTGCGGTCCTCCCACTAAAACAATTGGCTTTACAATCTAAGATTGTAGGAGGACGTTCTTATAATGGCTCTGGCAAGGGTAGAAGTCATCAAGGTCCTGCAAAGTATGGATTCAGTTTGGTGAAAGGAAAGGCAAATCATCCCATGGAGGATTATCATGTTGCTAAATTTGTGCAGGTCCGTGGACACGAACTTGGCCTCTTTGCCATTTATGATGGCCATTTAGGTGATAGTGTGCCTGCTTACCTGCAGAAGCATTTATTTCCCAATATTCTCAAAGAGGTGGGTTCTTCATTTTAAGTGTTTAAATGAGAACTATCTTCCTATTTTTGGAGCCATGTATTCTACAGGTGTAAAATACATCTGATTTCAGTACTGCAGTGTACTCAAGATGCTAACAGATCTGGTTTTATAATTTGATTGTCAATAACAGGACGAATTTTGGACCGACCCAAACAGGTCAATTTCAAAAGCCTATGAAAGTACTGATCAAGCCATTCTTAATCACAATCCTGACCTGGGACGAGGTGGGTCAACTGCTGTCACGGCTATTCTTGTGGATGGATCAAAGTTGTGGGTAGCAAATGTAGGAGATTCACGAGCTGTCCTTTCTAGTAAAGGTCAAGCAATACAGATGTCTACTGACCATGAACCTAATACAGAACGGGGCAGCATTGAGGACAGAGGTGGTTTTGTGTCGAATATGCCAGGTACATTGGTAGTTTTGGTACTACCATTTGTGCTTTTTTTATATTTCATTTACAGCTTTGATATCACATGCTCTAGTTTGTCACATTGTCGCAACTTATAGTTGTTTAGGATTTAACAAGATTTGTCCAAACTACCCTTTCTTAGTCGATCATTTTAAATGAGGGTGTCTTGGGAAATCTAATCATACTACATATGGCTTAGGTATCAATGGAATGATTAATTTGATCAATGCATGATTAGACTTGCTTCATTTTTATTCACTGTATTTTTTTTCTTTTGTGTAATGAAAGGGCGTGATAATGAAGAGGTGCCCATAGAATTTAACTATTTTACGTTTTTGCTTAGTATGGCGTTGGCTAAGTACAATCATCACATTACAAACATTCAACTTTCATTCCTACATTTTGGTCAAGATTAAATTTTTTCCCCTGTGTGACGTAACTCATATCTTTTTGCCTATTGTCTCAAATCTGCTGATATGTTGTACGATACACGCTACATAATGAGAGATGTTGCCTGCTGATCTAGCGTTATAAACTGAAGTATTCTCTATCTCATCCTTCTAATAGGAGATGTTGCTAGGGTCAATGGGCAACTTGCTGTTTCTCGTGCCTTCGGAGATAAGAACCTCAAGTCACACTTGCGGTCTGACCCTGATGTAAAGACTGCTGATATTGGCCCTGACACTGATCTTATGATCCTAGCTAGTGATGGTCTGTGGAAGGTATGTACCTCTATATCTGTTGCTTATTTTGTGAGTCTAGTGCCTACCCTCCATAGCAAAGTCATATGCATGCACGCATGTAGCCATGTTATTGGGTGGACATAGGGTGTAGTATTTCTAAACTCACCTAGGCTATGTCATTTACCTATAACTTTTGTCAAAAGGAGGGGAATATCTTGGCCTCTAATATCCTTTCACAAAAAGGGGGAAGCCATAAAAACCTGATGCGTCGTTGATCGATTCTCTTTTCCCGCAAATCTGATTTGTTTCTAGAATTATTACAGTCTGCTTTCCATCAACTTCTTAAAGGGAGGGGTTGGAAAACAAATCAATTTCTATGTTATTAGAATGTATATCCAAAGAATATGGTGATCCTTCTGCTTACTATTATTTGTCAAATTTTCCAATTTACTTTCCATACAATTTTTGTCAAGTTTCTAATCATGATGTAGAAGAGCACCTAGTATGCCACAACTCGAATTGATGATTGGGTGGTTATGGATAAGATTGTAAAAAGAAGTGGAAGGCATCATTATCCATTTGTTTATTGCTTTCTTCCCCTTAACATGACAAATGATAGTAGACAAAGGGAGTTTGAATATTTACTTTCGAGAAGTGCTGATCAGTGATTATGTGCTCAGTTGGGTAAAACTCTTATTAGCTGATGGTTATACCTTACAAACAACTTAGGTAATGTCTAATCAAGAGGCAGTTGATATTGCAAGAAAGATCAAGGATCCGCTAAAGTGTGCCAAGCAATTAGCAACAGAAGCTCTGAATCGAGACAGCAAAGATGACATTTCTTGTATTGTAGTCCGTTTCTGAGGATAAATCACTTGTGGATGGAAATATTTGTACATTCCTGGGGGGCTTTGTATAAAAAGCATGGTGATCAAGTTCTACTGATCAATCGGCTTCAGGTTAAAAGGTTCATGGAAATACTTACGTAGTACTTTTGAGGTAATCCCTAGCTTTTGCCTTGTAAAAATAGGGCGGGAAAGATTTCTTGATGTAAGATGGTTGTGTGGTGTTTGATAGTTGCAAATATTTCTTTTATATATGTAGAATTATAGTCATTCTATCTGTCAATTGTTGTAGCACTCCCAGATCATCTTGAGTCTGAAATTTGTAATAATTCTGAACGTGTGATGCACATTGTTTTCTTTTGATTAGAGATAAAACTCCCTTCTTCAGGCTTTCCTGTTTGGCCATGGCTGGCGACTATGCGTGCACCTGGTGCAATTGCACCCGAGAGGTTTAAAGTTCTAATGCTTACGGTCAAAACATTATGATCGGTGTGCAATTTTGAATTTTCAACTCGGTAGTCAGTACACCCTAGGCTAAGCTCTGTGCTAAATTCTTTTTCTCTTATTATGCTTACTTGAAGGTTGTAAATGAATTAAGACTCCTGCCTCATGGTCAATGTCTTGAGCACGTACACGGCTAACTGGCTAAGACATGTTTTATTCGTTTTTGAATCGAGTTACTCATAACTTTTTACTTGTAAAGCTTGCTCCATTATTGAGCTTGAATCTGAGCATAAGGTTTTCGGTGTTTATCTTGATTAATGATCAAATTAAGTACTCAGTACTTTCTAAATGAGCCAAGGTTGAACAAATTGTTGAGCTTAATTTCAAACTTGAGTTTTGACAAATTACCTAAATTTGAACATGTAAAACAGCTTTGCTACCCTTAAGTTTTATTAAAGAAGTCATTTTAGTATTGCATCAATATATTTAATAGTACGAAGTAAGAACTAATATTAATATTTTTTTTTAAGTTAGTTAATTAGAGAAATTATTATGAATACTATAAAGTGGAGGGAACAATAGTTGAAGCATTTTGACCCTAAACTTTTAAACTTTATAACAAGGAAACACTTATACAGTGTATTATAAAATAAATATTTTTTATTAAAAAAAAAAAAAAAAAAAAAAAAAAAAAAAAAAAAAAAAGGTGTTATATTCAATTAAAGAAAATAAAAATAAAAAAGCATCTAGTTGGGAAAGTCAAGGTGATCTTTACCCATGACACGTGGATATCCAACCATAGACGTGCCTACCTTAAAAAACATCACGTGTAAATGTTGTAATTTTTTTAATTTTTTTTTATACTTTTAACTTTTCTTTATTTTTCCCCGATTTTCTCAACTTTCTAACAAAGACAAATCTCATATTCTTATCTCATACATTTTTATTTTTGTTGTTGTTTTCAATTCCAAAAATTATAAAAATAAAAAGGAAAACTTTATTATATTAAAAAAATATACAAGAAGCTTCAAATTATGCGACGAACAAAGGGTTTGATGGCGATAGAAGAAAGTGATAATTATTTATTAGCGAGAGATTTGTTGAATAAGATGATGATGATGGAAGATGGTCTTAATAAGAGTCCTAACAAAGATGTTTATTATTATACACTTTGTGCTTCTTATGCTTTGGTAGCCATCATTGCTTTGGTATGCCCTTTTCTCTTTTCCTTCTTTTTTGCCTTTTTTTTAAAATCATTTTTACATATAGTGACCGCCCCGTTTAGACTAGGCGGGGATGTCGAAAGAGGTTCAGATGTATACAATATTACTCTTAAAAGAAATAGTTTATATTTTTATGTAATTGTTCAAGATTGATCAATTTTAGGTAAGGTATTGGAATTGATTGATATGCGACATTAACATTGATTTAAAGAGAATTAAAGAGCCTTAGTCCCACGTTAAATGATTTCCTTTTATGTTTTGATTTGTCTAGCTTTTTTCGCCTTTTTTAATTGATAAAGTGAATGCATAATTTGTCTATCTATAGTTTATATTCTATTCATTAATTTAATACTAATTTATAGGGAGAATTAATTAATTTGTTTTAGGTAAAATATAGTTTGACACCTCATTAAAGGTGATAAAGATGAAAGGATCAAACTATTACCACTTGAATGAATGGTTTTGTGTACATAATTGCACTCCAGAGGTGTCAAATTCCAGGGCAATTGTATTATTCATTTATTTGGAATCTTTCAAAATGAGGTGAAGTGGTGATATGATGCAACGCAAATTAAAACACGTACATGTAGTTTCTTTGATTTATATATTATTTTTTTTGACATATTTTGACTTTTGCACTATATATACCTGTGTACGTACTTTATTTGACCGTCCTCGTTGATTTTACAAGTATTAAAAAAATATAGTCATCGTTGTACTCCCTCCGTCCCTTTATTAGAAGTCTATTTCTAATATTTATTACTCACATAATAAAGAGAAATAGGCTTCTAATTTAGGGATGGAGGGAAGATTGTTAATATGAGAAATCAATGGAGAACAGTCATTATTTATATATAAATGCACATGTGAAAATTAAATTTGTCAATTAATTTCTTACTTGTATATAAAAGCACACGTGTAAATCAAATTTGTCAAACTAAAAAAAAAAAATAATAATAATAATAAACCGAGGAAGTATTGTGTTATTGGTATATACAAGGAAAATTGTCACATTTCCTATGCGATCTCCACTAGGAAATTGCCAAATTGGAATGTAAAGAAAGGAGGAGTTAAATAGACATTTTCATATGTAAATGGTTGATGTCATGAGCTCAAACCTTGTTCGATTTAAGAGGCTACATTGCATATGAGTATTCTTAAATCAATTGAGAAAAGCTAGATAATTGCTATACGTAATATTTTAGATTGCAATAACTGTTTGCCGGCTGTGCAAGCCTTGCAACGTATTCGAGTTATGCTCCACTGTTTTTTGTTCTGCCTTATGCTTGTGCATTTGAACTTGCTGCTACTAACTTGGTGATGAGCTAGATGCAGTTAACTCTCAACAATTACAAAGGTCTTTCAATCAGTAAAATCATGTTCAAGTCCTTAAGATATGATGCATTAGGATAATGTGATACGACGAAGTGATTGTATTTGGAAAGAATTGAATGAGTTTAATGCAAAGTACTCGTATAGCTTAGTGAAGCGATTTGGTAATGATAATTGATGATTCCCCTGTATTGTTCAAGTATTGCCAAGAAATGTTAGGGTTAGGCTATTGCTCCATCATTCTGTTCATATAGTCCGATGAAGTTTAATTGTATGAGTACATAGCATGACCTCAGTGAATGAAGTTTTTGAATTCTCATGTTTCCTTCTTTTCAAACTTTTGTAGGTGCAACTTGTCCGAATACAAATGCGAGTACCAGAATATGGATGGACGACACAAAAGGCCTTTCACTTGATGAATTTCGTTGTAAATGGGTGTAAGCATAGCATTACTATCTGCGTCTTTTGTGTCTTTCACATCTCGTATCAACTAACTAAACTTTTGAGTTAACTTTGGACAGTGAGAGCCATTCTTTTTGGATTGTACAAAAAAGTGTTTCAGATCAGGCCGCATGTAAGTAATTAGTTTCCTCTAAATAAGTATTTTTTTCCTACAATTATTATGCGCACATTTAATCTTTTCATGTATACGTTGTTTATTCTCTGTTGTAGACTCTTGAACTCGTGCTACTCGATTTCCCGGGACTTCTCTTCTTTTCCACTTACACATTGCTCGTGTTGTTTTGGGCAGAGATTTATCACCAGGTTCCGTTCTTTAGATTCTCTCAGTTGATCTGAATTGCTTACCTTATCTACCCTATAATTTATAATTTCTGTGAATATCACCTATGCAGGCAAGATCCCTACCCTCTGACAGACTTAGACCGGCATATTATGCTGTAAATGGGATAGTTTATGTCGTTCAGGTGATCATATTTTATTGATTAATTGAACAATTCTCTTATCTTTCTCTGATATATAGTAATACGGATTATAGTATATAGCAACTTTCATGATTATTGTTGATAGTTCTTTTGGTTTTGATTTCTTGTGCAATCACTTCAGATAATTATATGGATTTGCATGAGGCTCGTCAAAAGCTATGCAGCTCTCCAGGTGGCAAAACTCTTTTTATCCGGTAATGAACTTGAGAGCTGAGGATTTGTAGTTGTTTGTTACACCTACCTTTTAGACTGTTTCATTGATAATACTAGCATCATTGATAATAAGAACGTTTGGTTGTAGTTTAGCTGTTTAAAAGAGGTTTCCTGTTGGAATTGGGTCTTACTATAATTTTGGGCAACTTTAAGCCCAGTATTTAAAGAAAAATATATATTAAGACGTTTAATTTTCATACGGAGTACATACTTCATGAAATGGAAGTTGAAATGATAGGACCAAGATGATATAGATTCCACAGTACGGTTGGTGTATATATACATACCTCTCTTTTTGTTGCTTCATCGTTGCTATTGATAAAAACACTCAAGCTATCTGTAACGTATTGTATTTGGTTATTACAGTTATTTCATTTAGTGCGGCTTCTGGATTCTTGGTATACGGTGGAAGGTATTGATCGATTTTGGACCGTTTGAATGTAGTGAAATTTCAATCTGTTGTGAGAACTGGCTTGTTTATTTCCGTGCCATTAATATATGTACTGGTTGATAATCAATTTACAGGCTGTTCTTTATGCTGAAGCGATTTCCTATTGAATCTGTAGGCCGTCAAAAGAAGATCTATGAAGTAATATTTTGAACACACTTATCTTTACTCTAATCATAGGTTCAGTAAAAAATTTGCTGAAGTATCAAACTTCTTCTCAATGTTAGTTGAACTTTTGAGCTTGATGGCTGCAGGTTGGAGTAATAACCGCGATATGCTTCACATGTTTCTTAATTAAATGCTTAGTGGTGAGTGTCCAACTTTCAACTTGCTTAAGAACTTTTTGCTTACTTGCTGTTATAATTTAGCTCCAGGTCATCTACCAATGACTACCAAGCTAATCAATGAATTGTATTGTACTTTTTAGGCTGCTGTTTCTGCGTTTGATGATGATGCTGATGTTGATGTCGTCGATCATCCTTTAGGAAATCTTCTTTATTACATGGTAGGTAGTTAAACTTTCAGCATTGATGAGATTAATATTATTGGTAGGATGCCATGCCAATTTTAATGCGCAGTTGTAATCCTTGATGCTATCTCCTGACTTGATCACTTTTAGGTGGTTGAGATTGTTCCTTCTGCTCTAGTGCTCTTTGTTCTTCGAAGGCTACCTTCAAGACGCGTTTCTGATCAGTATCAAGCCATCCAATGAAGTGGTCCTCTTATTTTTGGCCTGATGATTGGGGTTATCAAGTCGGTGACAAGATGCAGAAGCCATTGGACAGACAGTCTTAATTTGCATTTTATTGTCCTCTGTGGTATAGGATTTACAAATATAGTATTTCATAGAGATACCCTGGCTTGGCAATGGACAATGGCAGCAGAATATGCTTTGTTAAATAAATTTTCCCCACTTAGAAAATGAGAAATTCGAATCATACATGCATATTTAGATTAGATAATTTGCAAATAAATACTGATTCTATTTCAAAAGTGTGTATATTGATAATGCATGTATTAAGTTTAGAGTCTTCTGTTCGAGCTGTATAAAATTTTCACTTGAAATGGCTTAAAGAACATAGAACACAATTCTCCAAAATCTTGACATGGAATCAAATCAATCAATGGTTAAGTTTGAAACTCATAGTCAGTCATTGGAATTGAACCTATCATTCAACCAATAGGATTTTGGAGAAGTAATATCTTCAGACTATACACCAAATAATTATTCACACCAAATAATTATTCACGATAATCAATCGATAATGCTTAACGTTTAATGAACTTAAAGATAAATGAAGGGTTGTATATAAGAAGCTAAAAAAGAATTATAAAATAATTAAACATTAGTTTTCTGCCATAAAATCCCAAATTTATATCATTTTAGAAAAAGTATTTAATGCTCAAGTAATACATATAGCATTACCCAAAATCTAGCCATAGGAGAACTTAGTATTGTTTAATTTTTTAGCAACAGCAGGACTAATTCAGGGCTCCTAAGGGGAGAAACAACAAATCAACAATCAGCCAAAAAAGAATTCAGATATCCTTAGTGAAACTACAAACTAATATTGATGACCCAGAAATATGGTTGTGAGGTATGTACAACGGTTGAATGAAGCAATTTCATAACATATCAATACAGTTTCAAGCAGCAGGTGTACGGCTTCGCAGCATTTCAGATCTTTTACTTCTTTCCATAGCATCAACAAGCCAATCTACACTTCCCTTGAACCCTCTACTGCAAACAGAGACAAACCCCAAATGTGTTGTGTTAGTTCCATACGGACATACAAGCAATAATGCCATAATATAGAGGGAAAAGGAAATCTCCGAGGGTATTCTGAATAACCCAAATATTAAACACGCAAAGGATGGAAGAAAGAAAGGAAATTGAGTCCTTTCAATAAGGAAAGCACTCAACCAATATAGAAGCACAAATAGAAGAGTAGGTAACATGCGTTTTCCATCATCTGTAATTACAAGGAGGTGGGAAGACCTGAAACATCAACCATAACATCAAATGCTTAGGAGAAGAAGGTGTTAGAACTGGAATTTACCCATCAAATCCTGAGACAGCTTCAAACATATATAGCCTTTCATCCAGCTTTTTCAGATCCAGATAACGAGCTACTTCTTCGGCTGAAACTGCTGAAGCAAGATCCTGTTGAAGGCAATAGATTAAAATAAAAAAGTCTGATACAAGTATATTTGAGATATCAAACACACAAGGCATTAAAGCACAAATCATTCTCTAATTAATATCCCAACATGGCCTCTGTATCTTAAAAGAACCATTTACTTTCTAGCAACATAAATGACAGCTGTTTAGTTTCTCACCCTTAAGAAGCCTTAACATGTGTGTGTGTGTGGGGGGGGGGGGTGTTTGTTAGAGTGGGAGTAGGCCTCTTTGGTTTATAGATATATAACAAGTTCTCATCTCTCTTTTCTCAATTCACATTCTAGATATCAGTGTGTGTGGATGTGGTTTTGGATATAAACATCAGAGGAACCTAAGAAAAACGACAAGGGAACGTGAGACCCATAAAAAAAAAACAAAAGAAAATGTTGACATAAAAAGAGAGGCGACACCCCACAATGACAAAAGAACTAATGTTTGATGCATGAAAGCATAGAAAACTCAATTATATCCCCCCCCCCCAAAAAAAAAAAAAAAAAAAATAATCTACAGCAATCTACAGCTTCCTCAAAAAAATTTGGAGAGCAAAACAGAAAGTCCATATATACCTGTTTGTTAGCTAATATCAGAAGGGGAGCACCTTGCAAATCCTGGTGTCGAAGTACCTTTTCTGCAAGATAATTGAATGTCAACGGGCAATGATTTAATTTGGCATTCAAAGAAATTAGACCTAATATCGTACTAAAAAAATTACCTAGTGCAGATTTAGAATCTTCAAAACGAGCCGGAGCATTTGCATCAACAACATAAATGACAGCATGGGCTTCTTCATAATATTTCTCCCATATTGAACGGAGGCCAGGCTGCCATAACAAAAGAAAATCCCCATAAAACCTAAGATTAGGCTAACAAACTCCTCAAAGCCTTTGAAGAAAAATATATATATATTTTTTTGTTGTTATGATTAAATGGCAATGAGGCACATCTCCATTACATCATCACTTTAGCTAACACATTTGTAGATCATTAGAAAACCTTTATCAAAGTTCATGAAGGACCAAATTTTGTGAAGCAAGCTTACTTGAGACCAAATTCAGCATGTCTGATTATATAAGAGGACTTTAGAGCCTTTTTTGGCCATTTTGGAGATACAAAACAATAAAATGATACCTCAAGTTAGCATTTTGCCTTTTGCTTGCTAGGATGTTAAACAGATAAATAAAATATTACTTAAACGAAATGCCTAGTGCAGTATTGAGCACGAGCTGATCTACATACCTGGCCACCCAAGTCCCAGAACACAAGTTTTGCATTTCCAACTTCAATACGACCAATATTGAGCCCCACAGTTGGAACAATTCGATCAGGTGGAAGGCCTTCCAAGTTTAAGTATAGTTCTTTCAACTTCTCCAGTAAAGTCTGCAATATATTGTTGGCATTTTTTAATATTATGAGCTTATGAGAAGATCTTTGATTGCATTTGCTTATACGAAGTATAATAAAGATTTTTATTTGGAAAACATATAAAGCAACTAGAAATGAGAAAAAAGATGAGAATATTATAGCAGGTAAAGTAACACCAAAAACAATAAACGTATAATATGTACAAGATTGGAAGTCAAGTGAAAGCCCCAACCCACTTATTCTACCCTTCCAGCCATGACTTCGTGGTTCAATACCATGTTGTCAACCTTTACAGTGGACAAAGAATGTGTGCAAAGGGTCTTTGGGTAAGAGAGTAAGTTTTCTACTTTTTAAGAGAAAAGAGAATAAAAAAAGATGCTGCTTTAAAATTCAATGAAAGATAGACTCCGATAACAACAGCAAGTTTTAAGCAATAACACTAGTAAATCAGTAGCTCAGCTAGATTACCAACACGTAGAGATGATCAAAACTACATGAAGCAATATTTTTTTACAAAGGAAGCACACAATAATTATTGTTATAATCATAATTTTATTGTGGTCCTCAATCAAATTCAAAAATTGAAAAATCAATTGATAGTTAAAATCTGGCAGAATGGGACAATCATTACCGTTTTTCCAGCCTTGTCAATACCGAGAATAAGAACATGAAATTCCATCTTGCTGAACATGTACTTCCAGAACCCATACATAAGAGAGAACATCCTTGCTGCCTTTTTTGATGATTAGCTTGCAAATTCTCTTACACTAGTAAGAGTTCGAGAAAGTGTTAATATCCACCATGTTCTTCTACACTCATGGCCTATATACACAAAACAAAGTGAAAACTTCAAATAAATTGATTGGAAAACAAAGAATTTCCAAAAAAGAAAAAGCTATAAGAAGACAAACCACATAGGCACACTAGTAGGATACACATTTACCCGTTTAGAATTAACTCTTGTTACTGGAAGTATCTAGGGCATAAAGCTTTCCACGAAGAATTGAAGCGCAATTTAAACTCAAGAAAAACCGAAATTACCAGCATACAATCATTATTCAACAACAAACATAAGGATACACAAATAGACAACAAACTGCAGATACATTCTACTAAAATTGAGTAATTTGTACTGAAAAGCTTCAACAATGTGATTTGGTGGTCTCCAAAATTAACCAACCATAATATTCTTCTCATTTTGTATCTAATAAACATCAAATTATATAATTAAAGCACCAATTTCACTACATGTATCATCATAGAGTATAATTGACACCTCAACACATCAACAAATTTCGAAAAAAACCCCAATTACATTAACATTTAGCTAATTCTTCTGATTAAATCATAATCTAACGAAATGATGAAGATCGAAAGTAAACAATTCGAGTTTAAATCATAAAATCAAGTCAAAATCAAACACTTCGATTATCAGATCCGAGTTTGAATCGGAAAAATTTGGGCCTAAAATGTTGGACGACAACGATAACTTAACAAAGCTAAGAAATCATCAAAATGAAAATCGCATCAATGAATCTAAAATTCCTGTAAATTAAAATCGATTGACAAAAACAAATACGATCTGAGAGATAGGATAAAAGAAAATTACCAGTGAAGTACGGAAATTGGTAAGTATTACTGAGAATTCGTCGGTCTGATTGCAGAGAGACCCTAAACAGAAATTAAAGTGGTGCTGCTGAAATGGAACACTTACTAATTCGTCCGTTGATTTTTATTTTATTTTTTATTTTTTTTTTTACAAACAAGAAAACGCAATACAGTACGGACTACGGAGTACTCCATATCAAATACGAAGTACAAAATAACTTGTAAAGCATTGTTTAATCTTGAGTTCACTTTATTTCTACTTATTTTAAAGTGTAATGCTAAGGGGCTAAGGATTGCATTTAAATTGGGAATTTATCGACAATTCACGAATAAATAGGTTTATTAAATGTTTATTAATAATCTATTTTTTCATTTTTAGATTCTTATAAGCATTTATTACTAAGTCTTTAGTCATATAATCACTAGATTGTATAGTTTTATTGAGAAATAATATGCATCATCAATGTAATATATTGTATACTACTTTTAAATATTTTCAACACAACTAATCGACAATAATTTTTTTTTCTCAATAGTAGTTTTAATAATTTTTGTCTTATTATTTTATTTTTCTATATGTGTTGCATTTGTTTATTCCACATGAGTTGCCTCATTTTTATATTATATCACAATTATTTATGGGAAAAAGATTATTACAATCTTGCATCGCACGAGCACTAATCTAGTTATAATACTAAAATAACTACGAAATAAAATGGTATTATTAATAGGCCAAATTAGAAAATAACACCCATAAAAAACCCCAATTTTGATAATAACACCACACACACACACAAAAAAAAAAAAAAAAAAAAAAAAAAAAAAAAAAAAAAAAAAAATTATTATAACACCACCAAAAATCCCAAAATTTTGGTTTCACCACCCACTAACGGATTTTTGGATGGAAACCGTTAATGGGTCCGCCATGTACACGTGTCAGTTGTTTATTGGTTTAAAAAAAATTATAAAAAAAAAACCTAACCTTTAACCCAACCAACCCCACTACCAGCACCACCTGCCCTAGCCGCCGGAACCTCCTGCCCCCACAAAAATCGGCTAACCAGCCCAATTACCGCCCTATATCGGCTTATCTGTCAGTCGCGTCAGGTCTGCCGCTCAGTTGAAAGCTATGAAACAAGTCTGCGAGAGTCTAAAACTGGAATTGGCGCAAGGTAGTTGACTTGCTTAGTGCTTGCATTAAGGACTAAGCCTGGGTTCCGTACCGCCGACTTCACCGGTTCCTCTCTTCCCCCTACCCGAAAACCACCCTAAGCCCATCAAACCACCGCAAAAACCAACCTGACCACCGCGCACCCATTCTTTTCCTCCACCCTTGAAACGGCCCAATCGGCCGTGGAAATCGGCCATTCTGGGTTTCCATGCTCGATTTTGGTCGTTTGAGGGTGAAGGGTTCCCGTGGTCCGTTTCCATGGTCGATTTCGGTGGTTTTCGATTGTTAGTTTTCGTGGTTTTCGGCCATTGTCGATTTTCGTTGGTGGATGGGTGGCGTGTTTCAAGGTTGGGGCTGGGTTTCGTTGGTGGTGGCGTGTTTCAAGGCTGTGGCTGGATTTCGTTGGTGGCTGGGCGTGTTTCTGGCGGTGCCAAAGGTCGGGATAGGATGGGGAGAGGGGTTGTCGGCGGCGGGTGTTACAGTTGCCGGCGGCAGCGGCGGCTGGGACAGGTGGTGCCGGTGGGGTGGCTGGCTGGGTTAGGGGGTTAGGTTTTTTTTTATTATTTTTTAAAAAAAACCAATAAACAACTGACACGTGTGCATAGCGGGCCCCACTAACGGTTTCCATCCAATAATCCGTTAGTGGGTGGTGAAACCAAAATTTTGGGATTTTTGGTGGTGTTATAATAAAACTTTTTTTTTGTGTGGTGTTATTATCAAAATCGGGGGTTTTTATGGGTGTTATTCTCTAATTTGGCCTTATTAATATGATATATAATTTTTGATATATATACTCCTTCCGCCCACAATTATCTGCAATATTTGCCGTAAATGGGTGCTCTATATTATGTGCAACAAATTTTTTTCTTTCCTCTTTTAGTAAATTTTAAAGAGTAAAAAGATCATCTTACCCATACTTTTATTTTTTAACTTTGTTTAACATCTTTTAATTACACTCAATTTTTCCACCTTTTTCCCACTCATAAAAGGGGCCCCTCAATTTTCCACCTTTTTCCCACTCACTTTAACCCACTCAAAAACAAAAAAATAAGGAACCACTTCTTTCCCTCCTTTTTCCCACTTAATTAAACCCACCCAAACTTAATTAAGCTCCACTAAAAGTTTTGTTCAGGAGTCCGCAAAAAGGACGTTTGGTGCAGATAATCGTGGGCGGAGGGAGTATAATACATAATGCTTTATTATTTTTAAAAAAAAATATTATTTAATATAATTATATTAGGCCTTATTAGAATTTGTTGGACCTTATTGTAACTTATTAAACCTTATTAGATACTATTAAACTTATTGGACCTTATGGTAACTTATCTGAATTGATATAAACTTATTTTTTTAAGTTAAAGAGAGCATGTCCTAACAAAAATTATTTTTGTTGAAACCTAACTTATTTTAATATTTGTTTTAAGCTCAATAGAACAAGGCCTCAATGGTCAAAGTTTTCGTTCACAAACATGTCTAGGTAATGTGGAACAACTAATGAAAAAAAATAAATAAATGGAGTATTTTTTAAATTGAAAATTTATAAAATATGTTTTTGTTGATTGATAATTATTACATATTTACATGTAATATGCTTTGTGTTATGTCTCTTACATGTAGTCAAGGAAAAAAAAAAATCCCATTGATTATGTAACATCAAGAAAAAACAATATCAAATCTTAGTAGTAATAATTTGTTAATACAAATATGGATATATGGCATGGTTTATGATTTGACTTTAAAGTAAAGACAAGTATAATTCTAATATGAAGGGAAGAATTTATAACATGTGACATGTGAGTCATTGACACAATTGGTCCCTTGTGGAATTTGTCCATTTTGCAAACGCAAGTTTGAAGACTTCAATTATACATACATGGTTTCCAATATGTCATGTACAATTTTGCCTATATTGAGTTGGTTTTGATTTGCAGTGTTAATCGACGAATGGACATTTTTTTTCTTATCTATCAAAAATAACATTTTTCAATGTGTTTTGGTTTGTAGTTGTCCGTCATATATGTTGAAATCTTTTTGTCCCGCAATCTTGACAAATGTTTTGGAATACCAAAACCAAATAATGTATGTAACTTTGTTAGTTCGATGAAGTGGAAAATACAACATCATATTTGCCTGTGTGTGTGTTTTTTTATAATATAAAAAGTATAAAAGAAATCGTCCAAGATACCAAATCAATTCAATATTTAAATTTTAATTTTTCATCAAAAAGCTATTTGTGGACTAGTGCAACATAGCAAATTCATGGCAATGTACAATGAATTGACTCAATTCAATCACTACTATTTTTATTTTTAAACCTCAAGTATTGTAAATAGAAAATAAGAAAATCAATGTCACCAAAGCATACTCAATAAAAAAAAAAAAAAAAAAAATGCCACAGGTGTAGTAAATCTCCTTTATATTTTCTCTCAGTCCTACATATGTTCAAGTTATTATTTGGTAAGGACAAATATTCATTTAAATCAACACTTTAATTAAACCGTCCTGCTACACAAGTCAACTTTAAGAAAAAGTTAAATGATCTTCCACTTACAAACACAAGTAAATGGTGACGCTTGAACTTGTGACTTCAAAGTCAGAATTTTACCATCTCAATCTACTTTAATTGCTTAATTTCTCGTATACATATCATGATCACCAAACACATACCAAAAAAAAAAAATAATAAAAAAAAAACAATGACAAGACAAATTAAAAAATGAACTAAAAAAAAATTATCCAAATTCCATAAAAAGAAAATAAAAGGGGAGTTTGGGTTTAGAAACCCAGTCAACGAGGTAAAGAGGAAAGAGAATCACCGAGTTTATTCCGACCCCAAAAAGAAAGGTGTTTCTTGCCTCTCTTCTTCTACTTCTTCATTTTTTCTCATATTTTCCACTCATATTTTTTTTTTAAAAAATTATTATTATTATTATTATTACCATTATTTTTACTCCTATTTACTTCATCATCATCATCTTCTTCTTACTATTTTCTCTCTCCTCCAAAATTTCTACTCTGCACTTCCTTCAATTTTTATGGCCCTTGTTTCTTCAATTTTCTCACAATCTGATGATATTATCATTTGATTCGTAGTTCAATTGCGTTTGATTTTAAGCTGAAACAAGGAAAAAAGATAATTTGAAATTGAAGCAGAAAAAAATTGGAGAAAATTCGAGGAATATTAAAGGAGAAAATTTGGAGGGAACGAAAATCGATAATGGGGGCAGCTGGTTCCAAATTGGAGAAAGCCCTCGGTGATCATTTTCCTGAAGGTGAAAGATATTTTGGCCTTGAGAATTTCGGCAACACTTGCTACTGCAACAGCGTTTTGCAGGTTTTTTTTTTTTTTTTCTTCAAAATTAGGGTTTTTATTCTTCATTTTGTATGGATTTTTGTCTGAATTTATCTGGGTGGTTTTAATTGAACTTTTTTTTTGTTGTTGTTGTTAAATTTTGTTATTTTACTGTGCGGAATCTGAGGATTGTTTGTTGCTGTTGCAATTTGATTGATTTAATGATGTATAAGTGAGCTGATCTTGGTTATATTAATGGGATATAAATGTTCACTTTTTTTTTTTTTTTTTTTCTTTTATTTTTTTATTTTTATTTTTAATTTAAGTATAATCTTTGGGTAAGTTGCATGTTAGAATGCTCTCCGAGCTTGATTTTCGGCTATAATTGTGGTAATGAATTAGATATTCAAATTGGTGAAAGTAGATTAGGAAGTGTAGAGGGGTGGGGACGCTGGGGAGTTTGGGGGGTGGGGATTCCTCCTTGAGGCTGATAGAAAGGGGGGATCGGGTTTTGTTAGATAGACACGAATATGCGCTTTGGAATCCATTGGTTGAATGATTGGCTGATTTGTGGCTAATGTGAACCAAGTATTGGTATTGTAGAATCAAGATGGGCTTAGCGTTTACATTCGCGTGGAAATTTGATATGGTCAAGTTCAAGTGACTTTGGACAGGGAGCTGGTGAACTATTTAGTGTAGTTTGATGTGGTACCTATTGCTGATATGAAGGAGGGACATATCACTTGCATGGTGTATCCTCAGAGGGTCTTTTTTGCTACTTTTTGAGAACATATTTTAGGAGATCTGGAAAGAGGACTGATGTAGAGGTTGAAGAGGGTTTCTTTATATCTCAGTTGTGACATGTGAAACTGTAGATGCAGGACAAACTTTTTCTAGAGAGGTCAAAATGGACTTAATGTTCTTAGGGCGCTGGGACCATGATGATTTATCATGTATGTTTTTCCGGCAATTGAAACTTCAATTTCTAAGGCTTTGGAGTAAAAAATTAGTGTTACTGCATTGCCCAATTTGCTGTATGTGCATTGCTCTGTAGTGGAGATATATGTAATTATGTAAAACACTTTTTTGTTTGAGAGGTGGTTTTAAATGATTTAAGAGGTATAGTCTTGTAATTTTGATCATTATAGACTTATGGTATCAGAATCTGAGAGCCTCCTAGGGATCTAATGGTTGTAGTTGAAGGTATAATTCGTATTTGGATACGTATATTTATAAACATAATTCATTGGAATTGCGCACTTTGTGATGGACTAGATGGAGGAAAACGTCTCATTGAATTGATGTGTAGCTGGTAACTTCTGTGCATTGGACTTGCTACATTTTTTTAACGTCACGTACAACCCCAACTACAACAAATCATTTAGGATCCACATATCCCATAGGGAGAGGGTCTGAGGAGGTTGTTATGTACATACCTTATCCCTAAGGCCCAAATTGTCCAAGCTTTTAAGACTGTTACGTATGTATTTCAGAGATCTGCAAATTGCTACTTTACTTTCTGTCATATTTATAGAAAACCTTGTCAAAATTGCAAAGTGGGTATGCATGTGGTTCATATAAATCTATTTCAGCTATTTAGTAGACTGAAACATGTCCAGCATTCCCTTACTGCTTTGAGGTGTTGTTTACCTTTACACTGCTCTGTGGAAGTGAAAGGGTTCCTCTAAGAAGGATAGGTAAACCAATAATGGAGCTTTCCAATGGGTATGTGTATATGGATTTGATGGATGTTAATGCTTGGTTGTGAAGTTTATAAATTAGGTGCCTATGGAATTGTATATTGTTGAGCGTAGCAGAGCTTATTATAGATATAGCTTCAGTCTTGAGTATTTGACAGTTTTCGTTGATGATCTATTTGATGTTTGAGATTCAGATCTCTCTTTCTTCCTCGATCTGGTTCCATGTATTCAGGTTCATAATTTATGACAACTTATGTGATATCAGTGTCATATATTTCCTAACATATTAATAAAACCTGCAAATATCTTCATTTCAAAGATTTGTAACTAGAAACCTTCTTTTTGGTTTTTTCTTGCTTATGGATTTTCCTTAGTTTGGGCAATGTTAGGGGTCTCGTGCAGTCCGCTGATTAAAACTCATTGATGATGTAGAAGGTATACCGTTTTTAAACTGAAGAAAATCAGAGTAAAACGTTTACCAAAAGACAACTTTCTTCTATGTGCCAACAATATTACACAGTTGTAAATAAGTCCTGATTTAATTTTCTCTCTCTCTCTCCTGTACCAGGCTCTCTATTTCTGTGTTCCATTTCGTGAGAAATTACTGGAGTACTATGAGAAGAACAAAAACCCTGTTGATCCAGAGGAAAATTTGCTCACATGTTTGGCAGATTTATTTACACAGGTACTGCACTTGATAATTCTCACAGCACACTGCTTAAGTGCTTATTGTACATGTGCATGATTTTTAATGTTGGAATGTCCACTGCAGTATTATTTTCCGTCTATCTTTTTCCTTCAGTTTTCTTTAATGATTGATACCCTAATTATTTGTTTCTGTTGCTTTTTTGAATTTAATGATTTTGAATGCTAAAAGAAATATTGTGAAGAAAAATTCTTGTACAACATTTACGTCTGGGCTGTGTTCTCCTCAACCATTTTGACTTATTTTATGACACCATGAGTTAAATTAAGTTTGGATAATTTCAGGTAAGGTCACATAAGTTAGAGTTCATATTTCAAACAAAATAAGTTCTAGTACATGTAGACAATAAATTCAGATGCTTTCATATGTATTAAAAGAATTAGAATCCTGCTTTCCATGATGCTTCCTAACTCTAGCAGGATTTTGTAACTACTTGGACAAGCTATATTGCAGGCTGATTGTTGATTTATAAATTCAATTATAGTAAAGTTCTGTGATGGAGCTCTAGGAGGGGAGCTGGCTGAGAGTTGTGTATGGAGGAGCTATGGCATGCTAAAAAAAAAGTATTATGTTTATTACTTGAAATTTTACTTGGGATTTTTGAAGAAGTCACTGAGTTTGTAAGGGGAAGCTGGAGTTGGAACAGTCAAATTGTGGTATGTATGAAAGCGATTTGGATATGTTTGGACTTTGGTAGTCATTTACTCAATTGAATCAACCCTATACCCATCTCTAGAGATTGGATGGACATGTACATATAATGCTGAGCTCTGGACGGTGATACACCCTTTAGTAATGCTTAACTTGCAGTTTTCACAAGATCACTCGCTTTGCCAATCATGTCAGTGAATATGTCTATTTGTCACATTTAAGGCTTATTGCAGAAATGCATGGCTACTTTCTTGATATCAGTGCAAAGGGTATTGTTCAAACTTTGAGGTGCGTTGAATTTCGATGGAGATCTCTTACTCGTTTCTGTTGTTATCTTTTTGAAGGAGGATGGTGTGATTTGTGCATTTTTTAGTCTTATGATAAAAAATTGTAGTTTATATTGTAATCCCTCTGAATGATAATTTATAGTGGATGATCACTTGTGATAACTTATAGTGGATGATCAAATGATCTAATTGATTTGAAAAAGGACTTGTGTCAGACGTTGTCTCATCAATTTTTTTTTTTTTTTGGTGTATTTATGCAGATAAGCTCTCAGAAGAAGAAAACAGGCGTAATTGCTCCCAAACGCTTTGTACAGAGAGTAAGGAAAGAAAATGAGCTCTTCCGTGGTTACATGCACCAGGTATGCTGCTTTGCATCATAATTGATTTGCACGTATAATCAGTTATACCTCTAATCTTTACTGTAAAAGCCTCTTTTGGCTTGATTTTCTTGTGTTAGCATTAATTAGTAATCATGGAAAGGTTTGTGTGATTTGCTTTATATGGCCTATGCTCTTTTCACATGAAAGGCTGAGATCCCTCCCTTATATATCCATTTGTTTCTCTAGGAGAGTTGGGTAACATTCAAAATTCTCTAATTGAATAGTGGACCAACCCCTTGTTTGAAGAAAATACCTGTCATTGAAATTTATCACACTTACATACTTAAATGATTTTGTTCTTATACAGGATGCTCATGAATTTCTGAACTTTTTGTTAAATGAACTTGTCGATATACTGGAGAAAGAATCTTCTGCTGCAAAAGATAGCTCAGAAAATTCATCGTCTGAAAAGGCTGCGAATGGACCAAGAAATGGCCTAGCCAATGGTGTACAGAAGGAACCTCTTGTTACCTGGGTTCATAAAAATTTTCAGGTCAGTCTTTGTGTAACTACTCAAGTTCTTTGCTGAGTTTTTCTCTTTCTTTTCCTTAGTAGTCGAGATTCATTACTTCATTTAAGTTTCTACTTAGGGATCTTTAGCATGGAATCAGATTAGAGTTGGCTTAGATTTGTGCCAGGATCACCCTAAGAATTCTGAAGTCTGGATGTGAGCACAGAAATCCCTAAATATGGAGAAAATCAAATACAGATTATGGAAAAAATGAATTGCTTTCTAAAATGGGTCTCTGAAAAATTGTTGTTGGAAAGAAGCCCCAAGGTTGTGGATAAACGTTTTACATCCTGAAATGCTTGGTGCATATACATGATTATCGAACTTGGGATATGGGATGTTCACTGGTGGCTAGCTGTCCCTTAGGACAGAAGACCCATTGCATTGCCACATCACTTTTTTGGTTCGGGGGAACAAATGCTTCTTCCTTTAAGTAATAAGATTCCTGCGATCTTTTGGAAACATCTCTGAAAAGTATTCAGGCTATTAGGTCTTTATGCACAATTTTGTACCTTGACATCCTCAGTCCCTGCCTCAACAGGACTTAAATTGGATGGTGGTGGTTGTATCAGCAACTCATTCTCTTATGGCTTTTGGTGAAATCCTACGATGTCCCTAGGAATTTAGAGTTGCTGCAAATTTGATTGTCATGCTCCTAGATGCTGATTTTTTACTGCAGCAATATATTGCAGGCAATACGTATGCACATTATAATATCTGTAAAATATTTCATGGTTGCTGATTGTGAGACACAATTGCAGGGTATATTGACAAATGAAACAAAATGCCTGAGGTGTGAGACTGTCACAGCTAGAGATGAGACATTCTTTGATCTAAGCCTTGATATAGAACAGAACAGCTCCATTACTAGTTGCCTTAAGAACTTCAGCTCCACCGAAACTCTTAACGCTGAGGATAAATTTTTCTGTGACAAATGCTGTAGGTATGTTTTATTTACTCCTAATTTTGTGTTGTTTTCAGCAATTTTACCTTTGTCTGTTGTCCATGCCTTAGTATAAAGAAATTTAAAGCAATTCAAAGTATGGACCATTTCTCAGACATAACTTTAACTTTTAAAAATCCTGATTATTTGCATTAGATGAAAAGCCTATTCTTGCGTTATTATTAAGATTTCGTTGAAATTTGGAACATCAAGAACCAAAGTGTTTGCTCCTTAATTACATCATTTATTAAGGAGCTACCTCGTTTTACAGTTTGCAAGAAGCTCAGAAGAGAATGAAGATTAAAAAGCCACCTCACATTCTGGTGATTCACCTGAAGCGCTTCAAATACATTGAGAATCTTGGTAGGTACAAGAAGCTCTCTTATCGTGTTGTGTTCCCGTTGGAGCTTAAATTAACCAACACAATGGAGGATGCAGATTCAGAGTACTCCTTATTTGCTGTGGTTGTACATGTGGGGACTGGGCCAAACCATGGTCACTATGTCAGCCTTGTGAAAAGCCACAACCATTGGTTGTTTTTCGATGATGAGAATGTTGATATAATTGATGAGTCTGCCGTTCAGACTTTCTTTGGATCAGCTCAAGAGTATTCTAGCAACTCAGAGCACGGATATATCTTGTTCTATGAAAGGCTTACAAGTGAAACAAGTTAACCAAAATTTTGATTTCCGACTTCTTGTCTCTACTCCTGTCATGTGTAATGTGTGAAAATGAGCTCCAAAACCTCAGAATGTTCTATTGTACAGAGGATGAATTATCGTTTTTTCTTATACATTCTCTCTGGTTTCCTAAGGGAACGACAATAAATTGATTGTAAATGACAGTTTGGAGAAAGATGTAAACTAACGCATGAGCTGCCGATAATTGCAAATCGGATTATACACTTCAGCTCATGATCTTTGGACTTGCTCTGCCTTTTGACCAGCTGGGCTATATCAATATTCATTAGCTTATTAATCCTTTCAAGTCCAATATTTTTTGCTATCTGTTTCCTATTGAAATTGCAGTTGGTCCTTGAATAATCTTGGTACATTTTTGGGATTTTTGTAGAAGAAAACCTTAAATAATTCCTTGACGTTTTGTATCCATGTTCTTTGAATTAATGTTTTTCTACTTTTATTTCTATCATTACTGTTATTAATCTTGTTATATTGCTGTTATTGTTAATGTTATTTTTATCACCATATTTGAGGAGATTAATGTGGTTTTTTTCAAGGAACATGGAAATTTTTTTTTGGAGCCATGATGAACCTATGATAAGGATACATGGAAGTCCAAATTCAATAACATGTCAAAGGGCATTATTTTTTACAACAAAGGCTATTATTTGTAAAATAAAAAATTCCCTTGTTGCAAATAATAAGAAATTGTTGATAACATGAATCATCCATTCATAGAACAAGTATAAGACATGGAGTGTATTACATTTTATCAAATTGTACTCCATAAATGTTTAGTGACCTTCTAACTTGTTAGAAAGAAGCTTCTTGGCAGTAGAAGCCTGATTTAGCATATACGAGGTATATAATTTTATACGTAGGATTAACACAAAGAACCCCTCTAATTAGGCTATTAAATACATTTATAACAAAAATACCCATTCCCGATGATTGAATTTTTTTTGTTTCCCTGCAAACTTTAAATTGATAAGCTCAGTCAAACAGATAGCAGATGTAACATAGATCAATTTTTTTTTTTTCCATACATGTACTAAAACTTCTCAGATTGGCATGCACGCATAGAGTAGAGTTTAAAGAAAAATTAGCTACAGAATAATACGCTCATATCTAACAATCTCAGACGAGTTTCTACATCTAACCTGTGTTGTCAAACTTAACCATGCCTGCCTTCTACGCATCAGTCTTCTAAAGGATCTCCTTCCTAATTAATGCTATATATAAGTATTTACAAGGGAATATTAACTTCCGTCCAATCATGGTGCAGACAGTTCACCTTATGTACAAATTGCACAAATTAGAATGAAAATAGAAAATCAAGTCATTCAAATGCTATAGCCATGAAGTTGTCATCATGTAGTAAGCTTTCAACATCAATCATGTCATCTTCACCTTCAGCTGGTGCAATATCTGTCCTGTTTAGGGTGCTGTCTTGTACCTGACTCTGCAAGGAAGTGAAAAAACAATGTCAGGTAAAGAGATTACAGTTAAAGAGTTTGTGAAGAGATAAGGGGGCGTATCAATGGCACACAAGACACCTAGCAATTCACAAACTACAATAGTCAAGTAGCATCTACAACAAAAACAACTAAGCGCTCTATGCAATTTGAACCTTCATCTTCTAAGACAATGTGGCAGAAAAGGTTTGATAAATCACATATGCCCCAGGCTGTCATAAATAATTTTAGTATCTCCAAATTTCACCTTGTGAAAAGGATTTAGTTAGAAAGACACAAGTGAATGACACCAGCCAGACTTTCTAAAGGTTACGCTTGCGCATAACCTTCTCCTTCGTCTTACACCTGTTACTCACCCAACACCATAGACGCAATAATGAAAGTTGTATTCCAACCATCCCAAGATAATGGGCCACACATTTCTAAAGGCTCTATCTACCAACCACACATTTTTTTTAGTTAGAAAGACACAAGTGAAAGACACCAGCCAGACTTTCTAAAGGTTACGCTTGCGCATAACCTTCTCCTTCATCTTACACCTGTTACTCACCCAACAGCATAGACGCAATAATGAAAGTTGTATTCCAACCATCCCAAGATAATGGGCCACACATTTCTAAAGGCTCTATCTACCAACCACACCTTTTTTTTTCGGGGGAGGGGAGGGGGTAAAATATTTTACACATCTGGGTGTACCGTGCACCCAACTAACCCAAAATTAGTTTTTGCTCTTCATTTGATGATTAAATGAAAAACAATCATCAAAATGTGAACAAAATGCTCATTGGTGTACCGTGCACCCAAGTGTATATAACAATCTCGGGGGTGGGGAGGGTAGGCACTAGGCAGCAACAAAAATGAACACTGGAGTGGGTACAGCGAAAGTACAACTACTTACTAGGTCTTGTAACAGATATATGCACACCCAAGTACATGACGTTGACTCAATTATGCTTTGGCACTCAAGAACCAAAAGATCATCCATTTAAACATATGAATACCTGATTCTTTTGAAAACCTTCTACAGCAGTCAGAAGCCTTCGATACTGTGCTCTTGCATCAGGATATTGAACCATGGACTTCACCCGGACAAGGGCTTTTTGCAACCGTTCTTCAGTTTGTTTCCTTCCTTCTTTCAGATAATCATAATCATCTTCTTCAGAAGGTGGCTTCTGTACAACTGGTGGAGCATCGGTGCTGGATGCTGCTTTATTAAGGGCATCAGAACGAAACCCACGCAATCCAGTCCCTTTTCGTCTCCACCGCAGAATCGCTTTCTCTAGTATTCCCACAGACCAGACAACTGGTTTGTATCGTTTCCTCGCCTGGTGACCTCTTACATGGGCCTTGAATAAAGAACAATATTAGATACTACCTCCATCACTTTGTTTTATTTAAAAAGGAGATTCATCATTTTACATTTCACAAGGATAGTAAACTGTAGATCAGAATACTAGAGTTGCAATCCAATAACATCTCAGAGCTGAGTATCACATCAAAATGCATGCATCAATGGGTGGGTATATTACCAAGTAAAACTCCACATCATTACAAATCACACCCAAAATATTGACAATGATAATCCCTATAAAACAAATAATGAACAGAAATGCTCTAGAATATAAGAGAAAGCAATAGGTTCAAGTACCTGGATTCTAACAACTCTTTCGCGAATAGTCAGAAATTCTTTCCTCTTTTTCCAACCACGAAATTTTTTCTGTATGTGAGTTGCAGCTGAATGGGCTTTTTCATCAGGATGCCCAGGCCTCTTAATTTTGGATGATACAAGTGAAAGAAACTGTTCATCAGTCAACAAAGACTCATCATCACCAGCACCCTTACTGACTTGCTTCCTTTGGAATGACTGCATCCTGAAAACTTGATGGATACGACCAGCAGCTTGAGTGGCATTGCGAACAGCAGCCAAGGAATCCTTTAATGACAAATCTGACCCATCGCCTTCATCACCAGGAGTAGCCACCTTCTCTCTCATTGTTTGTACAGCATTGTTCATAGAGTTTTCAACTGGACTATCCTTCTTTCGTTCGGTCATTGTAAGGGTCTCAAGGTGAGCAGTCAAGGAATGTTCTGCAAGGAAACCAGATATTCCTTTGTATCCATTAGCCGAAGCCAAGTCCGCAGCAGTTCTACCCAAAGGAAATTCTGGTGAAGGATCTGTTACTAATCCCGATCCAGCTTCCAGTGCAACTAGAAAAGCAACAGTCTTCTCTCTAGAGTAATAAGAGACGATGGAACAACATTAAATAAGACAATATAAGGCAGCGCAGTCACTATCAGGTTTAATTGAAGAAACTTACCACGGATGAAACTATTAAAGAGAAAAAGGAGCTAATATTACATATTTCAGCATATTAAAAGCTTTACCTTCCGTAGCATGCAGCCCAGTGGAGAGCCGTCCATCCATTTATGTCCCGGAAATTCACACTAACACCAGCAGCTAAAGTAGGGGGGATAATCCAATCGAAACCAAGTGCTGCAGCTAGATGCAACAACCCTTGCCCCTCTTCATCAAGTGTATTTGGTCCTTTTCCATCTTCACTACTAACCTTGTCAAACAGCCAAGAGACCACTTTTTCTTTCAAATGTTGTTCAACCCCCAAGACAAGTTCATCTTCCATTAATAGAAATATTTTCCTAAAAATTCGCTCCTTCTTTCTAATACTTTCAGAAGTAGAATCAAAATTCCCGGGAGAACTTATAGATAGAAGATTCTGAAGTCGGAGCCAAAGCTGATTTTCTGTCATACTGCTAACCGTGTTTTTGTCTTTTTTACCCTGAACAAGATATTCAAATTCTCGCACTTGACTACAAGCAAACCTGTTAGAACATGTTACATAGAAAGGGACTCGTCCAACACTATGCAGTGGTGCATAACAACAGAGAACACCATTGCCGAGAACTTTAGCAGGCACCTCTACTTCCCCAAACATGCAAGACCAATTATACTTGAACACCTCTGAGGGACTGACCATAAATTTTCCAGTGATCACAACCTATAATTTGATGTAAACAAAAAGTTAATGACGGATAAACAACTATGGTTCTATCTTAAACATGCCATTTAAAATCCTCATAATGTGAATCATGCAAGTCTCAAATGTTGATTTTACAAAAATCACCTTTGTTTCACTGTCTGTTGAAGCACAACTTGGTGAGAAGTCTTGAATGTCAAAGAGCTGATCTTGGCCAATTGAGGGACTCATTGAGTAGTCAGAAGGATCATCAACAGAAGCAGCAGCTTCAATATTTTGCCATGACAGATTTGAAGTCGACTTCAAATCCAAGTCATCTACTTCAGCTAATTCCTTGGTCATCCATTTATTGAAACTATCAACTTTTTGCAGGCCCTCCTCTGCCCTAATAGATCCCAGCAATGGCTGCTTAGCAGTAGCAGTAATGTTTGTATTGTCTTGATATTCAGTGAAAGAAAGTTCTAATGGGTTGTTACTCTGACAAACAGGAAAGATATGCATATTAGGACACAAATATATTTTCTTCAGAAATATACAAGTCTACTAAGAAATGAGAACTAAGCAATAAAAGTCCTGTGAACTGAATGCCCATGCATAAATGTGTATCAAAACATTTTCGGTTCAAATATAACAAATTCAACAAAATAAATACCAATAGTTATTCAGAATTGTAGGGATCCCGATAAGGTTCTGAATTACTAAAAACAATAACATTTATCATTTTGAACAAAGAGTTGAGGTAATTGTTTGAGTTATATAATCGTTGAAGAATTTTGTTGCGTGAAAATAGAGCTTCCTCACTTTCCATTCCCATTTCTGTGCAACAAAGGTTCCTAAGTATAAGATTACCTGCAAGTATGGGGCTAAAGAAGCTCCTGGTGCACCATTGACACCAAAGCCAGCATCCAGAAGCTGACTGAAACTCTCATTGTAACCATCAATGCTTCCAACAAGAGGAGCACCAGAAAGTAACGGATTTGGTAGTAAATTTTCCGGACCTCTAGTAGACTGCTGAAAAACTTCTTCCCAGCTCCCCAAGTCGAGTGTTTTTAATTGATTATAATCATTAGTTCCAGCTCCTCGTTGAGCAAGAGAAGTGTAATCCAATCCAGGACCAGGAAGTTGGCTCCCTTTATAGTTGTCTGGTAACAATACAGGGAAATGAAGGTTAACAGCTCTAAGAGAAATCAACAAAGCAGCTACCCAAGTAAATACATCAAATGCTGAAACATACCAGGGTATGTAGAAATAAAGTTGGAGTTCATAAGGGAACCTGGCTTGTTATTTTCAACAGTGTCTTCCATGTTTTGGAAGGTAACAGGTGATGGGTACTTTGACATTGCTTGGTAATTATCCTCTGTTCCAACATATCCCAAGAATGACATATTATAAATAATAAAAAAAAAAAATTTAAGAAAAAGGAAAAAAAGAAACCAAGCTCCAACTGCGGTAAGTCGTTAGAGCTAGAGTGATCACAAAGCAAGGGAAAGAAAACTACCAGATTCAATATCTTCATAAGAAGAGGTCAAAGAACTAACTGCACTTGGGGATCCAGTATTTCCAGTAAAAGCTTCATTATAACTGTTTGAAACACTACTAGACACAGAGTTGCTAATCTGGGAACTGGAAATCAATGGTTCTGCCTCTCTAATGCTGCTCCTGTTACCCTGTTTTAATGAGTAAAAATAGAAGAAAATGATTGGAAATATGACTAGAAACAAACAATTAATTTCAAAGAAGTATGTCCATATTATTGCTCAATTCACAATTTTCATCCAAACAGCAGAGTGATAGATAGATATAGGATATATTCATCCATATTCCGAATATCATTACCTTAAAAAATTTCCGAGATCGATTAACACTCCAATTCATTAGTAGAAAAAAAGACTACATCTATTTTAAAATGAAAACTCCAGATGTTGTAGTTAAGAGAAATAGACGGACGAAAAAGGAAGGGGCAAAGAGAATGTCCATGAATATTATCTTCAAAAGAGATGTTTCGAATTTCCCAAAGCCTTTTCTTGGAAGAAAAATATATACTACCTCCGTTTCACAATAGATGCAACATTTTGACTTTTTGTCTTTTCAACACCACTAGGACTATTTTTTTTTTTATACAATAATTACTAAAAAAATTAAATATTATATTTTACAAATATACATTGAAGTCAATCCACCAATACTATACATAAGTCTTAAAATCACTGATTAAGGAAAAAAAAAGTAGGGAGCTATATCTTGAGGAGGTGTCACAGCTGAAAGTTGACACACTCAAGAGAGTAACATATAATTTTTCTATCATCTGTAAAAGCTCTTTGACTTGTTTTAACAAATAAACAGCTCCTTAACTTCTCTCTAATACTCCTATATCTAGCAGAGGAAGTCACACATCCAAAGCATCCTCATGAGCATAAGCATAGATAATGACAAGGCTATAGAGGGTGATCCCGATCCATTAAATCCTAAAACAAATAAATTAGGTTAACCTGATACAATCATATGAACAAAACGATCAATGCCAAGATGGACTCAAGTAGGAAGAAAATAAATAAACAAATAAATAAATAAAAATAAAAAAAAAGGTACTTTCACTTCTTTGTGTGTGTTACCTCTTCTTACAGAAAACAATAAAAATATTACAGCATGTACACAAGAAAAACACTGCAAATTGGTTTAGGCGGAAACTTAACAATAGATACCAGAGCCAAATAGCATCTCATAAGAATAACTAGATAATAATGACACTAAAAAGATAGAATAGCATCTACACATGTTACTAAAAAGACAGGGATAAAATGAATCGAAGTTAAGGTTCCATTAATACCTAGATCGCTTTATTAATGAAATTAGTGAAAAAGTCTAAAAAATGAAATATGGTGAGGGAAGGGGAATTTAAATTAACAAATAAACATCAATAAAGGAACAAAAGAAATATGGAAAATTAGCAAACCTGATATGTCAAATCAAACAGTAAATCTGAAACAAACATACCTTAACCTCCAAGTAATGCACAAAAACAATATGCATGTACTCCCTGCAACATTTGCGAGGAATAGTAAGAAAGACGGTTTTTCCAAACTTAAATGCACTATACCTCACAGTATTACAGCAAAATCATTAAAAAAAAAATTGCTGTGAAAAAAATAATTTTAATTGACAATACATACTCTTCAAGCAACCAATAGCTGCGCCTCTGAAAACATTCATTATCTTCACCATGGGCATAGTAGCAATGCAGCACATCAACACTTCCAACCTATGAGTGCTTCAAGCATGAGATGTAGTAGAAACATATCTAATACATTCCTAATATTTGTAAAATTGTAACTCCTATCCCAAAACAAAATTTCCCTTCACATTTAGCATGGAGGCAAAATTGTTTTTTTTTTTTTTTTTTTTTTTTTTTTTTTTTTTGAAGGAGCATGGAGGCTAGCTATGCCAATGCTAATAAAATAATGTTCTCTAACATTGCAAATTCACCCTAAAAGAACACTTTAGTTTGAGGTTGGATTTTAAAGATATAGCCCCCAAAAGCCATAATCTGAATTTTGACTACTTCTTCTTATTTGTCTTTCATTGCTCTTCTTTTTTTTTTTTTTTCCTCACAGGAAAAAGTGTTTTATGTTACATAACCCAGTTAATTGACCCTAGGAACATACAACACGTGAGAAAAAAAAAATGAAAAAAGTTATTTATTGTCCGCCCTACCTTTAGCTTCTCATGAGCTTCCTTCACAGTCTTTCCATCCTTTTTCTTCCGCCAGTTATGGCCATCCTTCCTAAAGTATCTCAAAATCTTTCGATCAAAAAGAAAGAGAGAGCCGCCTAAGAAAAAAAAAGTGCACACCAAGAATTATAACCCTCACGTTTGGTTATCAGTTCATAATAGAATTCAACTTTGTTAAGGGGTAAACAGAAGTAAAGTGGCAAATAATTGAGGAACAGATTGTTCAATTTCTTCTGATAATAGGATCAAATTTGAGAATGACTAAACAATAATAAACAGGTCTCCGTAATACAAAAGGCATTGTGTTTGAAGCACTAACTGGAAATAGCCTTTCTATATGGCTGCTTAAAACTGCAATGCTGATCTAACAAGTTACAAGCACCTTAATTAGGACCCTACTCCACTCATCTTCTGCTGCATTTTGTCCTCCTCTAACCCTGTTCAACACAAACACTCTTCTTTCCAATCCTGATCCGAAACACTAATGTCTGTCAGTGTGTTTACATGTGTCGTGTAGTGAGTTTCCTAGAATGATAGGCTTATATTGCACGGAAAATATGAAACCTTGTGAACCAAGGTGGCATAAACATCAATAGCATTTCATGCAGCATGCAATTCCATTCATGCTGAATTACACTCCTGTCTCCACACTGAACTCCCTCTAGTTTCCCCCCTGATCCCAGTCACCGGTCCAACACCCTCCACCACCCAAATGGAAAATGAGTGAGAGAATTCCCCCACCCAAATGGATTTCATAAACAGCATAAAACATGCTGTAACTGAAACTCTGAGAGAGACATTTTCAGATTGAAAATCCAATAAACAAACTGAAATCTCCCCACCCACCAACCCACAAACACCACAAACAAATTAAGATAAAAATGAAAGAAAGTAAAATATATTGAAGTAATTAACAAAATGTTAATAGTTGTAAATAGCGGTACAAAATATATACGAAGAAAAAGTTGGCAATGGGTGGAAGTGTGGAACACTCAGCCAGCGCCTAGAGAAACAATGTTCAAATCATTCTACATTTAATTTCCTTTTTCTTTTGGTCATGTGTGAGGGGGTCAGTTAACTTGTAAAGTACAACATTAGCCGACAGAATTCTCCTCAGTGAACTATTCCTCTTTCCTGATTGATGCCCCATCCATGCACACCCCAAAACCTCAAGTTCTAGATCCGCTTTGAATTGAAATTTTACTTGGGTCAACAAGAACTTGCTGCATTCATATTAAACACTAAACATACTAAGGGTCCTTATTTCGGCACCAATATAAAAAATTCCTCACCAAAAATATTTGTCTTGTTAATATTTTTTGGATAAAATTAAGATACATAACTCGTAACCTAAAGTAAGACCATCTTGCGCTATACGTAACTGCATAAAAGTAACTGATACAAAACGCCTGTGTGTACCTTAACTAACATAAACGGAGTATTAGGTAAAACATCAATATGCAACAAGCTATAAGCAAAGGTTACACAAATCTTACTTGAGGGCCGGGTTGGAGGTTCTGAAGAAATTTGAAATTTTTGATAATTCCTGAGAATTTCACAAATTTCAGCTGGTCGCAACCATCGATGTTGAGCCTCTAACTGTAATTGTTGAATATCTGCAAATTATGAGTAAACAGTTAGTAGCAAGACAGCAAACTTAAAGATTTCATCTTAAATAAATTCCAAATTATTACAATTTAAGGCCCAAGATTGCACCTAAAAACAAACATAAAACGATATAAACATAATTCATAGCAAAACCCTAAAAAAACTGGATTGATTAGCTTAATTAAAACTCACTAATTCACGTCTCAACTGAAGCAAAATTATTCAAAACAATATCAAGAAATTCACCGACGGAACAAAATCACAATCAAATTCGAATTTAATTTCAAGCGACTCAGTCAAAATTAGAGCACCGTCAACAAGATAATCATTGAACACCGTCAATCACACAATCATTGAACAAAATAACCAACATGCAAGATAACACAATGAAGAATTAACTCATAAATCATCACAACAACCACAAAATCAAATTCATAACCTAAAATTCACAACAATCAGCTTAAAAAACTATATAAAAAAATAAACAAATAAATTCATCAATTAAACACAGAAAATTACCGCACATAATCAGCTACAAAACCTCAAATTAAACTAAAAAAAAAACACAAAAAATTCCAAAGAATTAAGAAATTAAAAAGATTGATATTAATAAAAATGAGTTCACACCAAGACGAATTCCAGGAGCAATAGATCCTCTATCCGCCATGAAAACCGAAGAGAGGAGAGAGAAAGAAGGTTCGATCTTCCAGCAAAAGTTGGATTGAAGGAGTGAAGCAGAGAAGAATGTTGGTAGGTTTAAGGAGGAGAGAGAAAGAAGACGATCCGAAAACGTAAGCTGGACAAATGTGAAAAAGGGATATTTCTGGGTTACTACAGTTCTTCTAAATTGGAGGAGAGAGGAAAAAAAGAGGAAGGTGAAATGGCAAGACTTTTATATTTATAGTAGGAGAGAGAAATAGGGGAGCTGTTGAGGTGTTTACTTTGCTTTTTGCACGTGACCTCATTTTGGAGGATTAGATTATGTGTTTTTTAAAGTAGTACGCGATTTTTTGCTTGCTGTATTCCACTTTTTTTGACGGTGGCTAAAGGTAAAATGAAAAAAATTAAAAAGGTGGAGATTGGTTAAGTTGAGGTAAATAGGGTTAGATAAATTGGGATAATTTAGGTCAATGGATGAATCATTGGGGATGGATTTGAATAGGTTTATGGTAATTGTCATGTCATTTGGGGTTGTATGTGTGTCATTTGAGTTAGATAATTATGGGAATGGAATTTTTTTTTTTATCGATAAAAGCAAATACTTTGTACGGAGTACAAGTATAAATTTGAAACCAGTGTTTGTATTATGATGTTTTATTTGACGAAAAAATGATTTTGATTGTGATCAAGACACTTGGAGAGGAAGTATAAGATTTCTAATTGCATAGGGTCTCAACATTTAAAAGTTTTTTTATTTTTTTTTTTAACAAAATAAATTAGCTCTATGTCTCTACTTTTGTTGTATCACATGCCATCAATTAGCAATTTGTGATATACTTGGTCGCCCAAAAAATAAATACAATTTGTGACATATTTCAAGACTTCGCATGTATCTTTGAAGTTGAAACAATATTACTATCACAATTCTCACTACGTGTTTATACTAATTGGTTGCTTCCCACCTCATGTATCATGATTATCTAATTTGCAAAAGTTTACTTTTTCACCCTCTTCTCTGTTTATTCTTCTCATTTTTACTATTTCTTCCTTTATGTACTGCTACAAAATTGCATATTGGACGGGTCAAATAACTAATTATCTATAATATTGAAAAAAAATATTGTCACATGATCAGACAACTTGAAAGTATACTATCATGATGACAGTCTATAATATTTAGATAATTAGATGATGGTTTTATAAAGCTACAAAATAGTGCAAGTCTTTAGAATCCAATTAATAAATGGACAATTCATAATATCACAAAAATTTTAAGTATACTTACAAACAATAAACCATATAAGGAGAATCCAAGTTAAAATACACACACAATTCTAATATACTGGATGAATATACATTCTTTCACATATTTAAATTGTGTAAACGATGTACATAATTTAACCATTAACACTGTGTAAATATTACTCAACCATGACCAACTAATCCTTAACACTAAACTAATTGAGTCAAATCAAAAAAATTGTTCAATAAAATATTCTTTAGTCTAAATTGCTTACAATCATGTAATAAAATATATTTACCTCAGTATGGAATATGATTTTTATACTTTTAATTGTTAGATAATGTAATATACAAATAATAAGAAAATGACTTTCTAAGATCACAAGGAGTCAATCTAAGACAACCAATCTAGAGTGAAGGGATTATGTTTACAATAAGATCTTGAACAGTCTCCCCCTAGCTAGTGACCTGGTGTAGCCATCAGAAAATCAAATTAAATTATTACAGATTGTTGAGCAACTCCAATGGACCATATGAATGGGCCTAAACTTTTTCTTGATGGGCTTTCCAGCCCGGCCTGCATATATTTATCCTTTTTTTTTCTAATTTTTATGCCTCATCTATTTATCTCACACTCACTACATTTACTTTCCAGGAGAAAAAAAAGCACGGAATTTTAAAAAGATGACACGTGGTCCCCATAAAATAGCAAAGTTCAAAAAAGACCGTACAATTTAGTGATTTACCGAATTCCAGTATGCTTGGAGCAAAAGAAATGGGTAAAAAACCGTAAATTCCTTCATTTTCAGGGGTATCTCCGTCTTTCCAATACGGCGGCTTCTCACATAACTGCCACGCTGGCACACTCTGTTATTCCATTAATTTTTTATTATTCCCATTATACCCCTGACCCCTATATAAACCCCCAAATTTCTGCATTTCTTCCAGATAAAGAACAAAAAAGAAAGTCAAAACAAAAACAAACTCGTCAAAGTAATTCACTGAGCCGACTCACCGAGTGAAGAAGAAGATGAATCGCATGGTAACAAACTCATCAATGGCGTTGATGATGATCAGAACATCTTCAGCGCTAACTCACTCCTCCTCTTCCGTCAATGGCGCTCGTCGTGTTCTCGCCGGCGGTGGTTTGATGTCGCCGGGGTTTCAGCGTTGGAGCTTTGCGACGCCGGAGTGGCATCGGAGTATGTCGTCATCTTCGGAGGGGAAAGCGGTGGAGGAGAGAACAAAGATGGAGGCAGAGAAGATGGAGAAGAAGAAGGATGATCTTCCGTTGGTTTCGAGCTACTGGTCGGTTCCTAGGAATGAAATTATGAAGGAGGATGGTAGTAAATGGGCGTGGAATTGTTTCATGGTAAAGTTTTTTTATTAATCCTTCATGTTTACTTTAGGTTTTAAAAATTTGATTTTATGTTGTTATTTTTGAAATTTTTCATGCAAAATTCTTGCTGTTTGTATGATTATTACCAAATGAAGATTTAATCCAGTGCTGATTAGTGAAATTGTCGATAATCTTCAATTATTTGGATTGCAAGAGGATTTTCGAGATTTTTTTTTTTTTTTTTTTTTTTTTTTTGCGAATTTGTTACTCGTATATTATTGTGTAAATGTGCTGGATTTTAACTCATAAGATCATCAGCTTTTTTTGCTGTTATTTTTTTTTTCTTTTTTTTTGTATGTTTGCTTGAATTTTGTTTTCCTGTTAATTTTCTGAGTTGTTTATACGTCTCGTATTACATACTAATAAAAAAATAAAGTATAAAACGTACGGAGAATTAATTTTTTTTTAATAAAATATTATAAACATTTTCCTGAAAGAGGGACAATAATTGTAATGACGTATATTCAATCATGTCGAATATGTTTGGTAATTAGTCTATATTCAATCAAGTCGAATATGTTTGTTTTTATTAAGAAATTGTCATTTGATGCAGCTCCTAAGTTTTGACATTATTAAGAACTGTTATATATGTGGATTTTGTTGGGATGCTGGCAAATTATTTGATAGATGGGGATAATGGGATATACTAATAAGATGACTAGAATCGGATCTATAATTTGTGCTTTTATTTTTTTAGTCGTGGTGGTACTTGAGATTAGAGATCAAATTTCATTTGCATTCCTGGCTGCCCTTTGTTGCTAAACCGGCCCGAAATAGTCCGTAGTTATAAGAATACTCCGGGAATAGTTGTTAGTTGATACTTTTCTTGATTGTTGGAGCAGGAAAGGAATTTAATAAAAAGTTAGGCCAGGATTTATTGTTTGTACCAGGTTATCTGTTCTCAGGAGTCAGGATATTAGCTTCTTGAGTACGGAATACGAGAGTATATAATAGGCCTTAGATCGCTATGGATCCAAATGGAATTTATGTTATGCTCAACATGTTTGATGATTGATTTTTTCTACTTACTGTATTGAATTCTGCGATATGTATGTGTAGAAGCACATATGACGTATGTATATAAACATAAAACATGTGATAAAGTAGATGGTTCTCGAGTTGTTAATGGTGTTACATGGATTTCAAATCTCTGTGCAGCCATGGGAGACTTATGAGGCAGACTTGTCAATTGATCTGAGCAAGCATCACGTACCAAAAACATTTGTGGACAAAGTTGCTTTCCGGACAGTGAAACTCCTGAGGGTTCCCACTGATATTTTCTTCAAGGTATGGATTATTCTGCTATACCATTAAACAGTTCGCTTGGATGATTCAAATAACCATCTGCTCTTGTGTTTTGACAAAATATACCATGAAATCTGTGGCTTTGGAGTTCTAATTTGAGCAGATTTCATCCATAAAGAATTGCTGATATACATGCTACAATTGTTTTGTTTTTAGAAGTTTAATGCTTAAGCTTATGCTCGACATTACTGATCTGTTCTTTTGTAAAAATGCAGAGGCGGTATGGTTGTCGTGCAATGATGCTTGAAACGGTGGCTGCAGTTCCTGGTATGGTTGGTGGGCTGCTGCTACATTTGAGGTCCCTCCGTAGGTTCGAGCAGAGTGGTGGCTGGATCAAAGCATTGCTTGAAGAAGCTGAGAATGAGAGGATGCACCTAATGACACTGGTGGAATTGGTGCAGCCTAAATGGTATGAGAGGCTTTTGGTTCTCGCTGTGCAAGGAGTTTTCTTCAATTGTTATTTTGTACTCTATTTGCTTTCCCCTAAGCTGGCACACAGAGTGGTTGGTTACTTGGAAGAAGAGGCAATTCATTCATACACAGAGTATCTGAAGGACATAGACAGTGGTGCGATTGAAAATGTGCGCGCTCCTGCTATTGCCATTGACTACTGGAGGCTGCCAAAGAATGCTACTTTGAAGGATGTTATAACTGTGATCCGTGCTGACGAAGCTCACCATCGTGATGTCAACCATTTTGCTTCTGTGAGTACCGAAATTATTACTTGTTTTACTGATCCATGGGCCTGCTAATGAACTGTCTTCCTGTCTTTCATCAGATAATTTTGCATTTAGACATCTGCCTGATGTCACCTGATCAGCTATGGCAGTATTCTGTTATCAACTTACCATATAACTCTTTAATTGGTGTTGAACTGATGAAGTATATGTTTTCGCCATGCAGGATGTGCACTTTCAGGGCAGGCAGCTGAAAGAAGCACCAGCTCCTGTTGGTTATCATTAGAGCAATACATAAGTCTGCATATTGCCACGTATATGAGCTCCTGAAGGATACAAGCGCGTAAATCCTTGCAAAGCTTCTTAAATACAGAGTGATTGCTTATTAGAAATCATAATTAGATTAACACCCTTTACAAGTCTCATTTTTATATTTTTTGGTCCGGTTGATCTGTTTAGTTGTGTTTGTGCGATGCATTTTTTACTCCTGTGGGTTTGTAATAAGTATAGGCGTGCGCAATTCTTGTTTGAACTTTTTTAAGGCTGTAATTCCTTGTCATGTTTTACAGTTTTTGAAGGTCTTGCTTACCCAGGAGGAGCATGTTATTTTCTTGCAACTAGCAGTAACAGCTCCATTGGATTATGTTACTAGACAGTAGACAACTATACTCCTTAGAATAATTGCTTTACCAGACGACGATTTTAGCTGTAATGCCGCTTTTAATGATACTCCCACTTAATCGTTAGTGGAAGTACCAATATAACTTTCAGAGGGGCTAGTGTGCTATAGTCACCACTCCACATAGAGATGCAAGGCTTATAGCGAGTCCATTTCCAGCATCTCAGCTCAGGTTACTGATCACGTTATAGTCAATCATGTTGCTTCTAGCGCAGCCTGTGATCAAACAAACACTACTGGGGGAAATTCCAACTTAAGCAGAGCCAAATTTCGGTTATCATTCGCCATTTTCAAGCATTATAACAAAGTCTCTAGTCTTTGGGTTGTACAATGTGAGTTGAACGAGCTTAAGTTGTTGGTCTGGGAACTGCACTGACATTTTTTTTTTTTGACAACAGAGCTAAAAAAGAAAGAACAAAACAAACAAACCTAGGCAAAAATAAAACTAAAACACGGAATACAGTAGCTAACGACGACGAGCACAACCCGCCAACTAGTGAGCTGGAGACACCCAGGAACGAGGAACCTTACAGACTTGACAACCCAAGAGTCTCTGAATAGAAACCCACAGTTCCTGAATGAGCCAGAAAATCGAAATGTCCATATTCCCCGAATAAGGAAGGACAGCCAACAGAGCAGCACAATCCGTATATATCCGAATATTCAAAAAACTCTTACGCAGTGCATACTCCAAACCCCATAAACAAGCATGTAACTCCGTCTGCAACGCCGAGGCGGCAAAGAAAGCACGACACCTACCCCCAAGTACCTCTGAAGAATCGACCTCTCGAATTATCCAACCTGCACCTGCTCTATTCGATAAACAATCCCAAGCACCATCTATAACCAAACAGACCGTAGGATCAATAGCAGGTAAACCCTGTAAGGATAAGAGCTGCCCTGACTGACTTGCCATAGAAGGAACCACATTGGAAGATAATACCGAAGCCTTCCAGCATTGAGCACACGTACTACGGGTCTTCCAATCAATTGCTAAGTGGACAATGGAGTACGGTGACCAAACTGACGAAACCCTAACTGATTGCGAGTAACCCAAATAGCCAACAACATAGCAAAGAACGACGAGATGCCATCCCAATTGTGCAACTTCAAAAATTGGGACACCGTTCGAGTTACCCAATCTTCAAACTGCGGAAGATGCATAAAATCCCATCTAATATCTAGGACACCAGAACTCGAAAGACCAGCAGTTTCGAAACAGATGGGAACGAGTTTCTTCAAAAGAGTGACAAAAAGCACATGTAGGATCAATAGGAAGCCCTCGGGTAGAAAGAATGATTGCTAAAGGCAAATCATTGTGTAACAATTTCCAACCAAATAGTTTCCAACGAGGCAAAATTGGCATGGCCCAAAATTTTCTCCACCACATTAAGATTCCGTATTACCCATAGAACCATTCCCACAAATATTAGCATAAGCAGACTTAGTTGAGAAAACACCATCCCTAGTAAACTTCCAATAGACAAAGTCATCCATCAAACGCACTGGCCTGTCTAGCGAGAGATTTCTAGCCGTTGTATCAGAATCAAAAGGGTCATGAACAGTCGAAGCATCCCACACGTAAGAACGCGGATCAATTAAAGAGGAAACAAGGGTCGGACGAAGTGACTCCGAACGAAGATCCTTGAACACTACAGGCCCCCCGGGACCCAACAATCTTCCATAATACGAACCTTAGACCCCGAACCAACCTTCCATGCCAAGCCTTGCGATAAAGAAGACAAACCAGCGAGAAGACTCCTGCAACCCCAAGAGGGGCGGAGAACTGGAGTCGGCCGAGGTGTCCAGAGGGCCGGATACTTGGAACAAAGGAGACGAGAAACAAGCAACTGCGGAGATTGAATTATACGCCAACTCTGTTTAGCCAATAAGGCAGAGTTGAAAGGAGCAATGCTTCGGATACCTAAACCCCCGAAGACTTCGGGAGGTGAAGCAGCGAAGAGGAACACAGAGCCATTCCCCGACTGGAGCTCGAAGATTTCCACCAAAATCTGGCCAGCAAATTGTCAATCCTAGAGCAAATGGATTCTGGAACCTTGAAAACCGATAAGATGTGGTTGAACGAGGCTATAAGCATAGAGTTAATAATAACAAGTTTCGTTGTAGGGGACAACTGAAGAGCAGTGAACACTTCCAGACGAGCAACCACCTTATCCAAGAGGAAACCAAAATCAAACACTTGCTACGGCTCAAATCCACGGGCAATCCTAAATAAGTGCCCAGTCTAGATTCATTCCTAAAATTCAAACAACCCGACAGAAACTCCCTATAATCCTCTGGCGTATTCGAACTGAATTTAACAAAGGACTTCTGTAGATTAATCATTTGACTCGAAAGACTACAGAAGTCCGAAAGCACCTTCATTACCTGAGGACAATAAGAAGGGGAGACTTGGAAAAACAAATGAGAATCATCAGCAAAAAAACAAATGAGAGATAGCCGGCGCGCCCTTCTGATTCAGCCTTACGAAGCATGGCAGAAAGAACCTCCATACAAAGCACAAACAAGTAAGGAGACAGGGGATCTCCTTGACGCAAACCACGTTGTGGCCGAAAAGTTTCAGTAGGAGCACCATTAACCAACACTTGATAAGAAACAGTTGTCACACAACTGTAAAATCAGATGGATCCAGGTAGGAGGGAACCCAAACACCTGAAGGACCTGGGCCAAAAATTCCCACCCAACCCTGTCATAGGCTTCGTTCATATCAAGTTTCAGAGCTACTAAGAAACGCTTCCTAGCTTTCGAAGCATTCATGAAGAGAGTAATTCATGTACCATTAAGCAATTATCAGACATTTAAAATAAGAAAACATGCAATGAGCTGATAAGATGCACCTATGCAACCACACTGAAAGCTAAATCAATACAATCGGAGAAGGAACTTTATAATATTGATAACTTATTCTTGGACCTTTATTCAAATATACAGTACAATACACCAACTCACAGGTATATGTGATTGGTCGTTACAAATCTTGAATCCCTGTGGTCGCTGATTCAGGAAATACCACCTGATAGTTCACTTCTTTTAGCCGAACTGGGATAGAGAAAGATGGATCTCAAATTGGTGAATGGGGAAAAGCCATATCAAGGTGCACTTCATGTAATCAGGTCACCTTTTTCACAGTTGAAAATTGGCAGGCTACCCCACTTCTATTGTCGCAAACTCACAACCTTAAGGTAATCTCCTTGACATGATAAAACATGGAGGAAAATTGTCTTTCAAGCTCAGTTTGTATTTTGGGAAGACATACTGACCAAGTTTTCTTACTCAAGAAGTCAAGATGCATTTTTCAATCTTGAATCAGAAAATGGAGTTTCCAACTTCTCCTTTTGATCCACTAGAACTTCAAGAGCAGATTGATCTTTAATGGTTGAGGAAAATTCTGAGCCATTTATCTGTTTAGATGAGAATCTCAATCTGAGAAGCAATGAATTCGTCATGACTCCAATTGAGCTCAAACCCATAAGAGCTCCAGCAATTGAAGGAGTGAGCATCACCCCAGTAACAGGAAGCAACATCCCTGCAGCGATTGGAAGTCCAACAATGTTGTATCCAAACGCCCACCAGAGGTTTTGTTTTATAGTTTTCATGGTCAATTTGCTGAGCTCCAATGCATCAAGTACTTGACTTAGCTTGTTTCCCATAAGCACAATAGAAGATACTTCACTTGCAGCTCCAACACCGCCACCCATGGCAACCCCAACATGTGATGAAGCAAGGGCAGCAGCATCATTGATCCCATCCCCAACCATTGCTACAATCTTGTTATCATTCTGGAGTTGACTAATAAATTTCTTCTTTTGATCGGGCTTAACTCCAGAGAAGACCCTGTCCTTGGGGATACCCACAATGGCAGCAACATGTTCCGCAGTTTGTCTTTTATCTCCTGATAGCATGTAAACATCTATACCTTGGTTAAATAAAGATTGAACAACATTCCTGGCATCTTCTCTTATCTGATCTTCAATGTAAATAAGTCCAGCAAGATTTCCATCTACTCCAACATAAACAACCGACTGACTATTGTTTTGATCCTCTAGTCCTTCAAATGGGTTATTATCAACACCATGCCTTTGAAGCCACTCTAATGTGCCAACAGCAACCCTTCTATTCTCAATGGTTGCCACTGCACCAGATCCTGGCTCCTCTGTGAAGGTACCATCAGCAGCTTTGAACGTCTGGCAACCAATAGAACGTGCAGCTTCCACTATAGCTTTTCCAACTGGGTGGATAGTATTTGACTCAACACTAGCGGCAAGTTTTAAAACCTCAGCTTTTGACAAATGCACTGAGTTATTATCTGATAGTGAATTACTCAAACTCTCATTTTCATGAGTGATAACTTGCATTACAACTGGTTTCCCAATGGTTAAAGTCCCAGTCTTATCAAACACAACGACATTAGCCAACGAAAATTTCTCCAAGATATCTCCACCCCGCAGGAGTAATCCTCTCTTTGCACCAAGAGAAGTTCCAACAAGCACAGCAGTGGGAGTTGCAAGCCCAAGAGCACACGGACAAGCCACAACCAAAACACTGCAAGAGAGCTGAAGTGCGACTGAAACTGAACTTCCCCCTGAGATAACAGATGGCAAAATGCGAGAGCCAAAAAGGGTCCAAAACATAAATGTAGCAGCAGACAATGCCATTACACCATATGTGAACCGCCCAGCCACTTTGTCAGCCAAACGCTGAACAGGAGCTTCCCTACTTTGTGCTTCCTCCACTAGTCGAACAATGTCACCCATAGTTGTTTCACCTCCAGGCCTTTGAACTTCAATAGTAAGTGTTCCATTCAGGTTTATACTCCCAGCAGAAACTTCTGTCTAAAAGGATTAGCAGGCAACAAAAGTAGGTCTTAAATTAATGATGATAGGGAGAACAAACACCGTAAAAAAGGAATAACCGGAGAAAACAGGTGAAAAGGGGCAAAAGAGAAATTTTCAGATTGTATTGTGGACAGAAACTCATACCCCAGGCAGTTTTGTCACCGGCAAAGGCTCCCCAGAAAAACTTGATTCATCGACTGTACTCCTGCCAGCCCTGACAATTCCATCAGCCGGCACACGGTCCTGAGCAGCGATGAGTCATGTCAAAAATCAGCCAATTGCTAGCCTCTATACTTCAACCTAGTATCACCATTATAATAACCACCACTACCTAGCCAATCTATTATATACAAGCAAATGGGAAATCGCTAGGCAACCGACAAAAAGAAAGATATTTAAAACATATGTATAGTGGAAGAAATGTGATACATGGATGAAGGACTAGCACTAATTATGACCATGATGACATTTTTTTTTTATTAATGATCCGTTTATTTCTATTTCAAATAATTAAGAGGTATACGTATAATACAGAATACTTACTCCTGGCAGCACCACAATCTTATCCCCAACTGACAGACTGCTACAAGGAATCTCAACAGTTGACACAGTATCTTCAGCATTATTGACTAAGAGACGAGCCTTTGAGGGTAGAATACTCAAGAGGCTGGTCAAATCACTTGTAGCTTTTATTTTAGCCCTTTGTTCAAGATTTCTTCCTAACAATACAAAGGCTATCAACATAATCGGTTCCTCAAAAAACGCCTTCCATCCCTGGACAGAAAACATGATGTCAGTAACAGCAATTGTGAAAAATGAATAAAATCTGCATAATAATAAAGAATATGTGAAGAAGCCCTATTAAAACATTGCATATGAGAAGTGATTGCAGACAACAAATTTTTCCAAGTGAGAGAAGTGTATGTGTGTGCAGAAGAAATTTCACAAAGTAAACAAATGGTGTTGGAATAATAAGAAAAATTTACCAAGTAAACTCATAGAAGCATAACAACAGACAACAAAGGAACATAGAAATTTTTAGATCCAAAAAATGATAGATGTAAAACCCAAAACTTCACCATCACTCTCAATTGATTCAAATCAAAGTGCAGTCCCATTGTTAAAACCACCTCAATTAGCCCAATAAAGGGAGAAGTAGAATCCACTAAAATAAAATAGCAAATCATAGCACAATTAAGGGAAAGAAACCAAAAGACTCTAGCAGAAAGCAACTACAGGTACACGGTACACAGCTAGAGCTAGCAAACTTGATATTTTGGTCTCCTAAGGAATCCTGCGAGCGGAACTACAGTAGGTCAAATTATTGATTAACCCAGCTTAAGCAGGTTTGTCCTAGGCTAAGTCAACAAGGGGCCTAGGTGCCTAGCCCACCAGCAATGTCAGATCCAAACATGACAATGTTGAGGCTCTATATAATCTGAATCTATATAAAGAGGCAGCAACTCATGCACATATTGAAGGAAAGATTTTCAAGTTTTACCAATTTTGGGATAAAAGTAGCCAACGAGCTAACTGTAAATGATGATAGAGCCCCAAGTCCAACTAAGGTGTTCATGTTGGGCGCACCTCTGAAGAAACTTTTCAGACCATCGAGAATCAGTTGCCGTCCAGGTCCAAGTAATGTAAATAGAGACAATGATAAATGGAAGCCTGTGGAGTGAAACACATGGATCCATGAAGCCTTAGCCCAGAAGAAATGAGACAGGTGACCAAACATACACACGGCACATAAAGCCCAAGATACTGCAAGTTCACGACCTGTATAAAACTTTCGTCAGTAATTGCACTTCAAAAAAACTGAAAGCAAACTGAAAGATACTAACCACTTTCTCTCAGTTTGTTGCGCTTTTGATCCATCTTCCTCTCAAAAATTTGAAACACATTTTCCCTTCCAGGGTCTGCAGATAAATAACGGAAATGACACATGAAGACCAATACATCTCATGAGAAACTTTCTTTCCAAGAATCATGGTAGTAGCCTCTTTTACATGTTTGTAGCAGGATAAGCCACTGAAGAACCAAACATTTGAAAAAACAAAAGGCCCAATGAGCTGAAGTTCATCAAAAAAATGGGGAAATTTTTTTATAAGTATGCAAAGCATCTAAATGAAATATCCTCAGATATTATAAATGTCATATTGTCATAGATATAGAACTCAAATATCCTTTTCAGAACGCTCAAATTGTTTTAAATATAAATCTACAGTACAGGCAAAGGAATACAGTCCTGACTTGCCTCAGCAGCTCAGCTTACTCTGATCAGTACGATAATGGTCTACACATCATACAATAGAACTTTTCAGACTATGGAAGCCCTCATTTTGCTAAATGTATCAGGAAAAAAATATACAGCTAAAATGTTCAAAATAATTATCCAAACTCAATGCGCTCGTGTGACAGACTGGCCTCCCTCTAGGGCCTCTACCCAAAGCACCACTAGTAGCCGCAACACATACCTATTGACACAAAATAATGTACACCATTCACATCTAAAAATGATAGCAATATAGCTTAATAAGAACTTGCTTTGGAAGTGAAACCCGGTCAACTACATACCATTTATGCTAGCTCCTTAAAAGAAGCTTTGGTATTTCCTAGTTATGGAGTATCTCCTTCCTTGTCCCCCTGACCTGCCAATTAAGAACCAAGCTTGACATGAATCGTCAAAACTAAACATTACACTTTTTGTAAAGCTAAAGAATTTCCAAGGTTGTTGTGTCCTTGTATAAAGCTTTAAGTCTTATTAACTAGTAAAGTTTTGACTTGCCATTTTAATTTGGACTTATACTAACATACTATGGAGCCATGGTTCTGGAACAGTTCATGCCATACCTATATATGATTTACAATGTAATAGCCACAGCTAAACATGATTTGCATGCAATTATCCCAGAGTTCCCAGAAGGTCTAAGTGAGATATTCAGCTCAGATCATTTGAATTCAACTCCTGTGTACTATACCTTACTGGCTTACTTAATAAGATATATTCCACTGATAAGTAAGAAATCTCTTTTCTTGCATGCTTTGGCAAAATCTCAAGTGTATGTAATAGAACCAAATCAATTAAATTTAACATGTAAGAAAATCAAGGAGAACTATGCAGAAATGTAGAGCACCAAGATAGATGTACCAGTTTTAATGAGGCATATGTGGCATATTTCTAATCTTATGAATGTATAAGATCAAGAAATACAATCCTTTGAGTATTTAGCAATACAGGAAAAAAAAAATATATAAAATTTAACAGATGCAAAGCAAATGTCGATGCTGCCATTTTGGGGTAAAATCATTGAACCCAAAACTAGACACATTATTTTTCCATTTCTCGATTATTTTCCACCCCTACTCCAAAAAACATTTCAAGTTACAGTAAATGTGTTCTGTTGAAAACTTGAAATTTGAAAAACAAGGGTCTTGCACATACCAACAGCTTGGATAAAAACTCGGAACACAGGATCTATAGCAAACCATTTTATATATCAAAATGCAACACACTACATTAAACAATATGACCGTTTTCAGGAAAAATTAAATAGATATTTTCAGGATAAAAGGCAACCAACCTCGAAGATTTGACTCAAAACCACAATTGGTCAAATGTTTAGCAAGCATGTCTCCCAACTCTTGTCGCCAGTTTGGCACATCCTTGGCTCCAGATACAGGCCAGACAATTGCAGTCTCTGTTGCAAGATTGACACTCGCAGAAGACACCTGAGACTGTTATTCACAGCCCAATGAAATTACCTTAATCAACACCAAAATTGCATCATAAAGTAACAGGAAAGTAACAAATTCAAGGCATGCTTGGCAATATCCTGCATAGTTTAACACAAAACAGAAGAATGATCTAGATCACATAATATGCTTTCATTTATCAATTGAACCTCCAACTGTTAATTCTAGACCAACATATATTCCTTGAGAACCTGTAAAAACTTCTCAAAAGACGTCGATTAATTTTCCATGCCCATTATTCTTCACATGTGCTTTTGCTGAAATCGACAGGCGACTAAAACTATATTTCTCAAGGTAAGATAGGCCACAAAAGTTCATATAAGAAGACAATACTACAACTACAAAAAGATTTCAAATCTAATAAGACTTCCTAAAGCTTAATTGTTTGTACAATCAATCTATCTCCTTCATAGATGAAGCTTACAATGTGCATTCAATAATTCATTTCTCAAATATAAATACAACGAAGTATTAAACTAACAAAACGCATCCTAAGTGCAATATCAAAGATAAAATCATCTACTAAATTATACCAATAAGCAATTTCTTGACTAGTTCAAATTCAACCTTAAAAAACGAAAGACTCACTTGATTTTCAAGTATTTTCTTCACTTTAGCAGCACAACCGCCACAAGTCATCCCCTAACAACCAAATTCAACAACAACTTAGCACAAATTAACGAATAATTTCACATTCTAATCAAAATTCTAGTAGAGAGCAAAAAATTACTCCAACATCAAGCACAATAGCATCAGGCGAAAGCACGGAAACATCATCAGCAGCAGAAGCCGCAACCTTCGGAACTCCGCCTTCCGATCCATCACCACCTCCGCCACCTCCACCGCCATTTTCTCCGCCGATTCCTCCGCCGCCACCTGCCGAGAACGAAACGCAGCGTACCGGAGAACAGAAACCTCGAATTGAAGCGAATTTCGAGAAATCAATGGAAGCGGCGAGTCGGCGAGTCAAGATTCGGCTAGTTAGCGAGCGAGTCAATGGAGGATTCGAGGTGGAGAGGCGACGTAAATGGATGAGAGAGAAAATGGAAGGATAAGAGGAAGAAGATGATCTTAGGGTTTTGGAGAGGGTTAGGAGAGTGGAAGCTGGTGAGAGAGTTGACTCCATTGTTGATAGGAGAGAGAAAATTGCAGAGGAATTCAGGAAAAGTGATAGTGGTGGTGTGTTTGTTTGGCGTTGGAACTAAAATGGAAAGATGTGTTTATCCGGTAAACTCAAGATGTGGATTGTGTAGCGGGAAAATTGTTCCAACAATTTTGTTCATTTTGGCTATGTTGGGCTTATGCTACAATAGTTGAGCATTTGAGCGGAGTAGCTTCACCTCATCTTGCGTTTATGACGAGTTGTTAGTCTAAATTTACCGTTTTAGTTGTTAGATCTTTGAGTTTTTAAGTTTCGAGTTTTCATCTTCGGCCCCTATCTTTCCCAAAAAATAAAAGATAGAGCCAAGTAGATGAGTTTTTGTTCTATTAATTGATTTAAAAACGATCGTTTGATATTTAAATTTAACGATTGATAACTAGTAAAGCATAATGCATACAAATTACTTTGATTATTAAAAAGGATGCATAGGTTTATTTTAGAATATATTTAATTTTACTTTCTATACAGGGGCGGATCCACGGTGGGTTCAACTGGGTCTATTGAACCCACTAATTTTTTGAAGAAAAAAAGGTTGAAAAGAATAAGTTCAAGGGTAGGATTCTCAAGTCTCATTGCATAGTTGAAGATTGTATCTAATCTTACCATTCATCACCTCAAGTATTGCAGTAATTTCTTTCTAGGTTAAACACCCAAGTTTCAATCAATATAAGTATGATTGAAGTTTTCGTAGATCTTCAAATATTCACCCCCATCCTCAGCTCCACATACATACAAGAGACAATGTTATAAGGCAAAATAATACGAGGTTGCAACTTGGAAGCTCCACAATTTTATTTTATTAAAAAAGGTTACTCTTTAAACTAATCATAAAATTTGAATTTCTCTACTCTATTTGATGAAATTTATGCAAAAGAAAGATGTACAAAATGTCGATAATGTATTAAGATTCAAAGTCAATGCATCTACACAAATAATGAACAAATTATTGTAAGTTCAAGGAGCCTTGGGAGTGATTCACATATTCAATAGCCTTATTTATGTCTTAGAGCTACAACCTTCGCCATTTTCTAGCTTCATTATTGTCTTATTGATGACCTTGATGTGATCGATACAATCGTGCGCCATAAATGGCTTGGAATGAGGTGCAAATGGAAATGTTTTTAAATTTTTGTGTGGAGAGAATTATAAAGGACAGTGATGTAGACGGGATTTGATCTCACGTATTGAGTATTACCTCAAAATTTTAATTTACTCAACCAATTGACATTCATGACTCCACATTAAAGATAATGTTGAGAGCTTATGAAAAGGCATAATTTGAATTAACGCGTGATATCAAATCCCGTATTAATCATTCTATTTTTACAATCATTTGCTTCTTGTTATTCTCATAAGTCATTACTTAAGATACTTTTGTTTTGGTGTGTCTAGCTCAAGGTAAGGCATACTCATCAGCGTCCTTCAACACAACACAACATCCTCGCAGCACTCACCTGCGACATTAATTGATCAAATTCAAAGCTTTGATCGATCTTCAACACCTAGTTCGATTTCAACCTCGAACTCGACATTTCAATAAGATCCGTCGCTTTCTCATACCAAGTTCGCTTGCCAAACCAAAGATATCTCATGCCTTCATCTCTCTTGTAATCTCAAAAGGTAAAATTTTGATCCCGAATTCGTAGTTTATGCCATTGCATTCAATTGATGTTTCTCATGTTTACTACCATTTGGAAATAGTTAATCTTTTGAGCTGAAATCGGGTTGTCATTTGAATGCCTACTACGTGTTCGACGAAATGCCGCTTTGAAATCTATATGCTTTGTAAATTCAATAGAATGTCTGACTTTGAATTTTCTTGTCAGTTACGAGAATTTCTAATACCATTATTTGGAATTTTGAATTTTACTGTAGAATCAACACAATTAAAATAGAATCTAGTATCATGATGTTAATCTATGATCTTGATTTGTTCATGTGGGATTTTTGAAAGGATGTAGTTTATTAGCTTACAGAAATTTTATTACTGTAGTAGAATGTGCAGCTGGGTTCTTTTAGTGCTTTCTCCTGTAGTATGTTTCTAGGCATTTTCTTCTGACTGGATTGATGATAGGAGTTTATGAAAATTGTTTTCATTGTTTAATCAAATCATCTTGAGCTGGTATGTTTTTCTGTTTGATGTAGCTTGGTTTGAATCTATTCATCCTGTTTGAGTTGGTCGGAAATTACCTCTGCCAATACTGTCAAGATTTTCGGTAGATAACAGATTGATGAAGTTTTTGCTGTTAGTATGATTCCGGACCAAAGGTGTATACAATTGTGTATTTGTGTGTGCGTGGGTGTGGGTGTGCGCGCGTGTTTGTGTGTGTGTTGTGTGAACCGAACTAAATTCGAATGGAAAAATATCGTCTTTTTTGATGATGTTCTTTCCTTAATAGCATGTTTGTTTGTGGGGATTATTGATGGGATAAGGATTTAAAATCCCTCATGTCCCATTGTCCCTTGTTTGTTTGAAAGGATACAAGTTATCCATATAAAAGGGATGGGTAGGGGTTTATCCCTATATTTCTATAACAAGGGGGCAAGTATAAGGTTTGGGGATAAAAATTAAAAGGTAAAAGACAACTTTACCCTTAATGAAAGGGGAGGAAGAGGAGAGAGGAGAAAACTTAGTAAGGATAGTTAAGTAAATTTGCTACTTATCCCAATTTAATTCCCAACTTATTCCAAACAATGGATACCATAATTTTTATCCTTATCCCAACTAAAAATTGTCTATCGTTATCCCACCTTTTTATCCTCATTATCCCTATCTCTGTTGCCAAACGCCTCTTAAAGGTATTTATTTGATGGATATTGTTGTCCTCTAAATAGGTGCAAGGAATTTTTTGGTAGTTTTGATTCTTTCTGATGGAGTGATGGACAATTGGACATACTAGAATGAAATGAACTTACCTCATATGAGAAACCTAAGCTATTGAACATAATTGGTGTGCCATTTCTTACTCACAGCTATGTATTTATCACTTACTAAGTAATTGCTAACGTCTCTACCAACTGTGTTAATTTGTAGCAGGTGCAATTAAGGCTGAATTATAATGAGTGGTTCTATCAGATCTAGTAGCCTTAAATCTGCATTTTCATACTGTGTACAACAAGTAAGAAGCTATGACTACCACAATTACCTTTGTCTCCTAGAACTCCCTCTGGAGATGCGAAGAGCTGCATTTGCACTTCGTGCCTTCAATGTTGAAACAGCCAAAGCTATGGATGTTGCTTCTGATCCCAGGATTGGCCTAATGCGCCTTCTTTGGTGGCAAGATGCAGTAGACAAAATTTATGCCAATAAGCTGATTGAGCATCCGATTGCCCAATCTCTTTCATCCATTGTGTCAGAGCATAAAGTAAGCAAGTCCTGGCTGAAAAGATCTATTGAAGCTCGTATAAATGATGCACAGAGGGAACCCAATGAAATCCTAAAAACTGTTGAAGAACTAGAGAAATATTCCGAGGACACACAATCCACTATCTTGTATACAACATTACAATCTGGAGGTATCAACTCCACTGCAGCTGATCATGCTGCTTCTCATATTGGTAAAGCTGCTGGGCTTGCCTTGCTGTTGAGGTCTTTACCATATCATTCCAGTCGCCAACGATTATTTGCTTATATTCCTTCTGATGTTGCTTCCAAGCACGGTTTATTGATTGAGGATGGGGGTCAGACTGGAATCACTGCGGATTCACGTGAGGGGCTCTGTAATGCAGTATTTGAGGTGGCTTCAGTGGCAAATTCTCATCTCCAAAAGGCACGGGAATTGTCTAAAACGATACCTGCTGAAGCTATTCCCGTGCTCCTCCCTGCTGTTCCAACTCAAGTGCTCTTGGACTCTCTGCGCCGGGTGCATTTTGATGTTTTTGATCCTAAATTGCAGCGAGGTGTTTTGGGGATCCCTCCACTATCGTTTCAGCTAAAATTGAAATGGCATTCATGGAGGGGAAGATATTGATTTTCTTTCTTTAGATTGTAACAGCAATAAGAAAATTATGCAAACCTTTTATTTACTTAGATACATGTTGAGGAGAGACAATTAGGCAATTAGCTGCTTTTTAAACAAATTAGGATTGCAAGCAGAGGCATACACCACACTTAAGAGCAGTGTATTTGAGGTTCGAATGTCTATTTTCTCTCGTTTTGGAATTAAGATCTACAAGAATAATCCTTGTAATTGAGATTTACAAGAATAATCCCAAATTTGCTGTGAAGTTTGATTGGTTTATTTTTATCAGAGTATACTTAAGAAACCTCTTTTTCTTTGGGAATGTACAATGTAGTGTGCAGGGTCATTAAAAGTTAAAAAGGAAACAAAAATATTCGCTAGAAGGAGGGGTTGAACCTCCGACCTTGTGGTTAACAGCCACACGCTCTAACCAACTGAGCTATTCCAGCTTCTTATTAGGTGAATCTTATAATATATTCTAATATTATATATAGGCAGTTTTCAGGTCCAGGCAAAATTTGACAATTTCTTGATTCAATATTTTTTGTTTTTTGGCAGAAGTTTTTGTTTCTATTTGTTATTTCTAAATTGGTTTTCATGTGACACAAAAACCGTCAAAAATAAGAATAACATTTAGATACTTTCGATACAAGATAATTGGAGAACATAATTATTTGGACAACATATACCCACCATCTAGCTTATAGGTCACCTAATAACAATATACTTGGAGTAGATACATGTACAATAACTTTATTTAGATTGTTCATGCAAGTAAGGGGTAGTTCTCATTCTTCTTAATCTTCCCATGCGTACTTCAATCTCTTTTACGTGCGAAGAAAATATTACCATTTGCATCAAATAATTAATGGTATGACAAAATTGGTGAAAATACGTGTTAGAAAAATCAATATCTATATCATTGAAACTTTCGTCCTGATTATTTGTATAATAAAATATTCATTTTGATTCAATGTACACTTAACAGTGACACAGTACAATGACACACTTATTTAGAAGCAAATGAGTTACCCCGTTACATTTTTAAAAAAATCCATATCTATATTATTAATCTTTCAATTGTCATTACATATCATATCGTATATTATGTGCAACTAGTTTAGCTCCCGTACGATGTACGGTTTAATAAAAAGAACACAAATTGATTAATAATTACAAATTTAAAACCATTCCTTCAAAAAAAAAAAACAAATTTAAAACTATCATAATTTTTTACAATGAATTGAAATACTTTTTAAAATAAAACAATTGTATTACATTGAATATTAATCAAAATTATAAAACAAAAGAATCAATAATTACACACATTAAAAAAAACAAGAGAGAGAGAGAGAGAGAGAGAGAGAATTTAAATATTGAAATAAGAAAAAGGCAACAAAACAACGTAATTGAGAAAGAAGAAAAGCAATAAGGGTTTTCAATAGTTGGGTGGAATGGGAATAGTTCTATTTTCAAGGCATAATAGATGGAAGGATTTAGCACAAAAGAAAAAACAACTATTAAAATGATGTCATCAATACATTTAGGCGGGAAATTTTTTTATGGGAGCATGACATGTGTACAATTTAAGAAGGGAATGATGTCAGCGGTTTCTATTTTAGTAATAGTTATAGATTCGTTTCGAGACAGTATATCTATAAATCATAACTCGACAAATACCCAAAAAAAAAAAGTAAAAAAAAACCTCACAAGAGTCGCAAAGATAACAAACTGAATCCAATAATGTGGGTCGTTTGGTTTGCACAGGGTAAACGGAATGGAATGAACAATGGGAATGAAATGAAAATTCTTTAGATGTAGTATGTTGTTTGTTGTAAAAAATACAATGGAATCACAACCACTACACCACCACCACCACCACACAACCCCATTTTTCTTCATTTCCCACTTTTACCGGCCACCTCACCACCTCGCTGCCCATCCCTAACCCTTCGCCGAAACTCGTCGCCCATCCCTAACCCCTCGCCGGAACTCGCCTCTCGCTCTTTCTTTGCTAGGGTTTTGAAGGTCCGTCACTGCTCTTTTTTCGCAGCTTGGAAGTGGGTTTCGGGGAGGGAAGGTCCGTCGCCGCCCATCCCTAACCCCTTGCCAGAACTGAGCTCGCCTCTCGCTCTTTCTTCGCTAGGATTTCAAAGGTACGTGAGTGGGCGTTCTTGGTCTCGCTCTTTTTCGCAGTTTGGAAGAGGGTTCCAGGGGGCGGCGAGGGGCAATAAGGGATTAGGGAAGGGCGGCGAGTTCCGGCGAAGGGTTAGGTATTAGACGGTGTGACGAGGGGATGGCCAGGATTAGGGAATGTCTTCGAGGGATAGCCGGCGAGGGGTAGGTGGTGGAGGGGAGGGCCGGCTAGGGGTGGGGGAGGCGCGACGTGGGTAGGTGGTGGTGTGGTGGTGCGGTTTTCCGGTGATGTGTGTAGGTAGGAGGGTGGTGGTATGGTGGTGTGGTGGTGGCCTAGAAATGGAATGGAAATACCTTGGGGGGGGGGTGGGGAATGAACTTGGAAGGATTTGAGGGAATGGAAAAACCACCATAGAACCACCACAGCACAACCATTGCACCCCTTCCTTCATTAGTTTCCACCTTCTCCAGCCACCACACCGCTTGACTAACACCACACCGGAACCAGCCGCCACTCTTCCGACCTTCGCCGCCCCTCCCCCGACCTGGTGAGGTCTGTCGAACAGAAATCCACAACGGAACCCTTCTCGTCCTCGACCTTAGAAATCCCGACCGAAACCTGACCAAAACGTAACTATTGAACTTCCCCAGCAACACCGATGGTTTGTGCGGAATTCCGACGGTTGTTCGCTGCCCCTCCTTCGACCTGGTGAGGTGTGGCTGGTTGTTCCGGTGGAGGGGAGGGTTTTTTAGGGTTACACGAGGGTCGGGGGAAGGTTTTCCGAGTGGGAGGAAGGGCGGCGAAGGGCGGCGAGGGTCTAGGGAAGGCCGGCGAACATCCGGCAAGGTGAAGCAAGTTCCGGCGAGCAACAACAAGTTCCGGCGAGCAGCAAAAAGCTGATGGGGTATGGTGGTGGTTGGGGAATGGAATGGGAAAGGTAGGGGGGTTGAGGAATGAGTCTAGAAGACTTTTGGATAAACCCAAAATAAAAGGGGGAATGGGAATGACAAAATTGTGAAAACAAACACTAACAAAGGAAATCATTCCCATTCCCTTTCCCTATTCCAGCAAACCAAACGACCCCTAAAATTAATCCAAAGTCGAGGTTAATGCAAGAAAGTAGTAAAGAATTGTGGATTAATTCTTATTAATATTGTTCTAAAAGAACTTCTCCTTCAACACTCCCATTATCTCTTTCCTCTTCATATCTTTATACAGCGCCATTACTCCTGTAATTCACTCAGAATTTTCGATCTTTTTCGTTCGATTTTTCTCTCACGGGTAATCTACAATTATCTGTATTTGGTTTCTGGGCAACAACCTCAACGATGTAAGTGTTTAATTTTATTCCACCATCAATTATTTATTTACTATGATAATTGTTAGTTTTTAAACTGTTAATCTTGATATTATATGATCAAATTTTGGATCAATTTGAATTAAATTTGTGGTTTGGTTTCAGATCGGTAGTATAATTTTTTTGGGTGTTTTTTTGGTTTTTGGTTGAATTTTCAGATACGGGCAATTTGGTGGTCGATTAACCAGCTAACCCTAATTCAAAGTTGGAGTGATTCTAGGTTTGTTTCTATCATCATTGTCAACTTGGAAATTTCAATTTATGTGATTCCGTCATTTACCCTTTGATGCTCTTGATATGATTATTACCCCGTATTTCTGTTTTATTGCGTGATCAAAAAATTATTCCTCAATTGTTGCAAGTATTACAGTATTCAAGTAATAGTTGGTGTATCATGTACGATAGACAATGCTTGATGACCCTTGTGGCTGTTGTCGTGTCCCGGCAGTCTGGCTGCATACATTGATCTCTTGTTTCGTGTTGGCAGATCCAACAATTATGTTTACATCATCAATTAAGGCATGAATATTACAGCCGTAGTTAGTATGTCTTGGTATCATGATTTTAGGCTTTGAGAATACAATCGCCATGACACGTGAAATCGAATAAATGCAAGTTTTGAACTATGATACGTTGAAGGGGTTTCGAAGCAGAACTTTCCTTGTCATCATAAACTGATTGCTGAGGAACTTAGGTAATGGCCAATATTGAATGGCTTTTATTGTCTTAGGTTGAAGGCAGTCAGTCTCTGAATACTACATGAAGGGTAATTTGTATTCATATATTCATATATTTTCTAGTTGCACTATTGGCTTTTTTACCGATAAACTATATTGTGCACTAATACAGCTTTCTGAATGTCATCATTTCATTTTTATCTGGTTTAAGTGACCTCAAATCCAACTTACTGAACAGATTAGCCTACAATTAGTCCAATAGTCCCACCCCCCACCCCCCTTGCGTGCGGTGAGAGTTAGGGGAGTAATCTTTACTTTAGATCACCAAAATGAATCTACTATTACTGCCATGTCTTAATCTTGCTTTTAAGAAAGAAAACTTGCGTGAAAGTTCACCCCCACTCCTTTTAAGTAGTGTTTCTGATTCATATGGCTGCCATTTTGCTAGGACCTTTTTTGTCATCCAGTCGTGTATCCTATTGAGCCTTTTCCTCATTTATTTTGAGGTGATCAGTGTGACCATGAAGATTTTGTAGATGTGGGTTGATTAAATGGAGTGTGAACCTTTAGAAGGTTTGAATTTTATGAATCTCGCCAAAATGACTCTTGTGTGTAGTTACAATGTGTTTAAATTGAAGGAATTCGGAGGGATGGATGGGGGAGAAAATCTAGGATCTATTTTACTTTATTTGGATGTGGATTTATTGGAGGAATGCATTTTACTTCCCTTTTTTAATGAATCAAATCCATCCTCCATTAGAAAGATTAGTAGAAAATTCAAGCATACCACCATACCCCCCCAATCTCCTTCCTCCCTTTTCTTCCCTCACCTTACTCTCCATAATTGCTAACCAAACACACTGTAAATGTGGTGATCTGGAGTTCAAAGAGTTCTGCTGGTGGATTGGCTCTAACAAAGGAGTTTTATAGTGGCTTCATGAGTTCATGCAGCTTTGTGAAGATGTAAGCCTCATATAGTGGTTTTGGGTTGAACACTATGATGGGGGACATATGATATTTCATTCAACCCGCTCAAAAAATATAAGGGTCTGGGGAAGTTTACCGTGCTCAATAACTGGTTTTTTACATCTTGATATTGTTGTAAACTTGAATTTTTATTTTAACTAATTACTTTAAGCCATGGAAACTGTCTTTTTAATTTCAATTCTGGCTATTAAATCATCCTCATGCACTGCCTTAATTTTATACGAAGTATAAGTTTCGAAAAATAGTATTGCTGTGCGAACTGCTATCTTCTTTGTGCTAGTTGACTAGACACCAAGGGGGTGTCTGCCACTCTGTCCTATGGTTTCTCCAGGTTAAGGCAATTGGAGATTTGGATCAGTGTTTGACAGGGTCTGGTGCCATTGTAGGGATTTGGAAGTTTTTGTAGGTTCTAGCTGCACCTGTGAATCTGTGATCATCTCCAATTCTCCAGTATTGTAAAGGAAAGGAACTGTTTGGATTAGCATTACCGATCTCTCTAGATCATCTCCATTGAATTAGAGGACTCACCTTGGTAGGACTACAGAGTCTAAGGCTGGTTGCTGTAATTTTCAGTGTTAATTCGATATACTTCAACATTTAGCTCTGTCACTGGCTTAGCTCATTGAGCAATAACTTCCTCCTGCTTCAGCTGCAAGCTCTGTCTATTTGTCTAAATGCAATCTTCTTAGGGACACCTCCAACCATAAGGTCCTTAGTAGGTCTGGCTATTGCCTATTCAGAACTTTTGCTATGGAGTCCTCACATCCCTCTTTGTAATGTGGCCTTGTGGGCCTGAGATAGGCATCAAAGAGGAGCCCTAGTCCTACCTAGCAAGAAAGTAGAAAGAGATTTAGCTGTCTTGATGTTGGGGTCCACTATCCCATCAGGCCACCATTCCTCAGTATTGCTGCTCTCCCTAGCTAGAACCACATAACAAATTCTCAAGTAAATTAAGAACTTTGATATTGCTTGTGCAATTTACCTTTTAATTAAGGAGTTTACTAAGATTATGTAAACATATAGTCATATATGAAATTGGGGCCAAGACCTTGGGTTATGAAGTCATGGCACTCGTATGTATCAAACCTCTGCTGTTCGTGTTTTTGAAATATTGGCTACATGGTGAATTTCATTAACCCTCTGGTATAGACATCATGCTTACTGATGTCGCTGGAAGTGGTAGTTAATTAGTTCCAAGGTTCATTAGTTTAGAGGTTCTGTTATGTTTTATGTTTTGAAATTTGGTTGCGCTTTAAGATAATTATTTTTCTTCAATCAGTTGTATTTTAGCAAATGATGTTGTTTCTGATGTAGTGAATTTATATAATACAGGTTGGTAATGGGGGCTTTTATGTCAAGATTTTGGTTTATGTTATTCCCAGCTAAGGAATATAAGATAGTGATCGTTGGTCTTGATAATGCTGGAAAGACAACCACCCTTTATAAATTGCATTTAGGAGATGTGGTTTCAACACACCCTACGGTGGGTAGCAATGTTGAAGAGCTTGTCTACAAAAATATTCGATTCGAGGTTTGGGATCTAGGTGGGCAGGATAGACTGAGGACATCATGGACCACATATTATCGAGGAACACATGCTGTCATTGTTGTTATAGATAGCACGGATAGGGCCAGGATTTCAATTATGAAAGATGAGCTCTTCAGATTGCTTCCTAACGAGGATCTACAACAAGCTGTTGTGCTGGTCTTTGCCAATAAACAGGATCTGAAGGATGCTATGACTCCTGCAGAGATTACGGATGCTCTATCCCTCCACAGCATAAAGAATCACGATTGGCATATCCAAGCTTGTTCTGCCCTTACCGGTGATGGGTTGTATGATGGATTGGGATGGATTGCCCAGCGGGTTGCTGGGAAAGCTACAAGCTAGTTTAAACTCAGATGTACTGTTGTTTGTTGACCCCCTTTTTTTTTCCTTAATTATTATACAGGTGCTCTTCTACAGTTTGATCTTTGTAATAATTTACATTTGGAAGATAAGTTGCTTATGGAATTTCTCTGAATTGTTTGTTTCTTTGTTTCCCCCCCTATTTGTATGAGAATTCTCGTGTAATGGACTTGATTGATGATTTTATTTTAGGGAGTGCGGGGTTGAATATTGAATACTCCGTAGTATGTCTTTGTGTTGTTTACACCAGCAAAAAAAAAAAAAAAAAAGAATGAAAGAAGAAAAGATAAAGAAGGGAGTATAAAACTTGGCTGAAATTGAAAACTAGTCGATTTCATGGACATATTTGCACTACTTGGAATGGTGAACTAGCTAAGAAAGGGAGAAGTAATCTGAAATACTCCTATTGTAAGGCCTTATTTAGTTCAACTTATTTTTACTAATTTAAGTTCAGATTATATCAGAAAAAATAAGTTTAGATAAAATCATCGTTTTATGTGCAAATTTTTATTGCTAAATATCTTTAATTTCGTAATGAAAAAAATTATGAAAATTACATATTAATAAAATACACATTATTACGAATTTAACATGACACCACTTGATATATTTTTTACTAATAGATTATCATATACTTAAGGTTAATGTTTGGTCAAATCAGATAATCACATCAGTAAAATTAAGGTGAACTAAACAAGCCCTGAATCTGTAAGTTGACAAAAAAAAAAGCTCATAGCTGATATATTTCCTAATCAATATTAGGATATTTTTTTTATTTTTTTGAACAAAATAATATTTTGTTTTTATTCAGTTAACATGCAAATTTTTCAAAACCTACAAATAAGAACGGAAGGACTAATTGACTGATCATCGGACTTTGATACCATTGAGCCAGAGACTGATGGCTGATGGTTAACCCAAATACTCCACCCAATAGGCCAACACTACTTGGAAATTGTGATGGACAATATTGTCCTGGACTTTAATACGAAGTTATCTCGTCCTGGGGGTATTTTAGGTACTCAGAAAAACCCAAATAAAGTCCACCCAATAAACCTAAGAAGAACCTGAGGTTCTTCAAGAATGTTCTACAAAGAGTGACCAATTTACGTAACAAAACAATCCCTTAAATCATCAGAATACCAAAATCTGAAAATCCCTAATTCCCCAATTTCATATAATCTTCAACCTGAAAGAAGAGAGATTAAACGATGTCTCACTTCGGAAGAACTGGTCCTCCTGATATCGCCGATACTTACTCTCTTCTCGTCCTCAACATCACTTTCCGTAAGTTCTTCTATCTCCCTTTTTTTTTTTTTTGAAAACCTATTTTTTTTACTTTTTTGATTAATTTGTTGAATTTAGACATTTTTCTTTAGAATTTGTTGATGTAAAGCAATTTTTTATTGAGAATTTATTGAAATAGAACAATTTTTTTCGTTCTTTTTGTTTTGAGGATTTGTTAATATTGTTGATTTTGATTGGAGCAGGAACTACACCCGATGATTTGTTTCCGTTGTTTGATAAGTATGGCAAGGTTGTCGACATCTTTATTCCTCGTGATCGAAGGTGTGAGGATTTTCTTCCTTGGTTGATTGATTAATTAGTTAATTTGTTTCTTCATCTTTCATTATTGAATTAATGGATGATATTAGGACTGGAGAATCCCGTGGTTTCGCCTTTGTTCGATACAAGTATGCTGATGAAGCTCAGAAGGCTGTGGATAGGCTAGATGGTATTTGCCTTTTCTTGCTACATTGTTGTACGAAGTATAGTAAATTGAATTGTATATTAGAATTGTGTAATTTGATAATTGGGGAGTAATGTTGTTGATTTTATCCATGGTTTTCTCGTAGGAAGGGTTGTGGATGGTAGAGAAATAGCTGTCCAATTCGCAAAATATGGTCCAAATGCAGAGAAAATGTAAGTTTTACTGTTATTTTAACGTGTCTCGAATTGCTAAGATGTTTGGGTGTTCATTGTGTAATATATTGTGGTTTTTGGCCTATTATTTTTTTTCCGCCAGTTGTGTGTTTTTTGTACTAAAATAATACTCGTATATGTGTGCGAAGTATTAGTTATTTGTAATCAACAGGCTTATACATATTGTAGTATATGTGTATATGTCTAGCTTATATTTGGTTTTGGGTGCTTCCTAGCGTATAATAAATGAGGCTAGGTTCATTTTCGAAAGCTGTAATGTGTTTTGTGTAAGATTGACATGCACTAGAATGACTTAAGACAGTATAAGCATTCAGGTGGGTTTCTTCCACAGAGGATGTATCTTTGCCTTTGGTCGGACCTATTAAAACTCTCCTACACCCTTCATCAAAGACCTATAAAATGTCTTAATGCTGATGATCCCTCTCTTTGTATTCAATACCAGAAGGTACAGAACTTGAGCAAGATGTCAGTTTCGATTTATAAGATGATATGGAGTGAAAAATGATTAAGGTAAAGTAATATTGAAGTTATATGCCAGAAAAATTAGGTTTGAGTGGTTTTCTAGAGGATAAAGAGTGAGCAGGTAAGCAATGAACATGACAATTGATGATGAAAATGATTTAATGATGAATGTAATGAAAAAGATTCCTGTCTAACATTGGTATATTCTGATATCTGCTTCTATTGGACGCATCCTCTGAAATAGTATTTGTTAAAATGTAAATCTCTTGGAAAATTTGTAAGAATTTTAATGAACCTAACGCTGTGAATGCCATTAGAATGCAAATTAAATGGAATGTGATCAAGGTCCTTGCTTAATCCAAGTAAGATTAATTTTCAGGCATGCATTGAATGGGGGGACATAGAACCTGCATTTTAGGGAAGTTTTGACATAATTCAATATTTATCTTTGCTTTGCTTAATGTTCTGATCTTTGATAATTACATTAATTGATTTGGGGGAGGGTGTTGTGAGTTCTAGATGAACGAGGGTTCAAAAGCTTTTGTGTCCTAAACTACTTGTGAAGATACATTTAACCAAGCTCAATTACCTCCCTCCTCTCCAAACACACACATATTTTATTTTGACATTTAGTGGCAGAGATGTATTTGGCCAGCTTTTTTTTTTTTTTTTTTTTTCAATTTTGTTGTATAAGCCAAAGCCACATGATGGTTATTCGTGTTGTTTGCTGCTTGTGTATTCCTTTTTTGTATATTTCTTTTGTATTATGTTGTCTTTTATTTATTTACCATTTGAATTTTTGAGATCTTAATATTGATTGGCATGCAAATAGATTGGTCTCCTAGCTACTGTAGCTTGTTCAATTTGATTTTGGCTTTGTGCTCTCTGTGGCTTGACTGTCCTTTCCTTCTCTGATTTTCATTTTTATTTTAATAAAATAATGGTTTATTGATGTTGTATTTCAGTCAAAAAGGAAGGATCGTTGAGTCTATTTCCAAGGTCCGAAGTCCAAGGCGGAGGTATGGTTTTCCTGTTTTGTTATTGGCCACCTTTTAGGATTTATCATGTGAAGTTATATGTAATCCACGATTCCATGGAAGAAGCTCACAAATTGGAACACATGCATATCTGATGTTTACTTTGTGCTCAAAATTTATCTAAATTTGAAGAGGTGTTCATATTAAAGCACCTGGACACCATTTGGGCAGCTGATCCTTGCTTACTTGAAGCACTCTGTCACCCTATTAGACATACTTTAGCTTCATTATTTCCATGTTGGATACATTTCTCAGTTGTTGCCAGAGCATTGTTTTGCTGTCACTTTTTTTTGTTGTTTGTATTTGCAAATACTGTTATCAGCATTTGCATGGTAATTAAATAATTGTCACCAATACATGATTGCCACCGATGTTGTCTTTAGGTACCGAGATGATTACGATAGAGATAGGGCATATTCCAGAAGAAGTCGTAGTAGAAGCTTGGACAGGTATGATCGTGACAGGTATCGTGGAAGGGACAGAGATTATCGTCGCCGAAGTAGGAGTCGCAGTTACACTCCTGAAAAATATAGAAGTCGGGGACGAGACCGCTATGATGATGACAGATGCTATCGAAGCATATCAGCTGAAAGGTTGCTAGACTTGCTACCTCTCATTTCTGTATAACTTATTCACACATGCTGCTGTCATCTAAGTACAAATTTTGTTGACTTGTTCAGTGCCTCTCCAAGTCGAAGTTGGAGTCCAAGTAGAAATATTTCACCACGGCGAAGTGCTTCACCTCGTAGTCCATCTCGTTCAAGGAGTCGTAGTCCAGTGAAGCACAGCCCTGATGAACGTGCAGCAGTCCCTTGCCGTTCGGCATCTCCACAGGCTGTTTCTCCACATAATGGAGCTGGAGGCTCTTGAGCCCTTCTCCGCAAAAATCAGTTGAGCTAAGTTATTGAGCTTATCTAAGTTCTCCCACTTGAGGTCCAAATATCTTATTAGGTGGTGTCTTGGAATTGGCAGGCGTGAACTCAGCTGAAAACTGGAGCAGTGATTTGTTGCAGATGAACAACTCTAGAGGTCACTTGATGATGTAGAATGATTTTGTGCATCCGTAGCTTGGAGTATTGAGTTAGGCTTTTGGATAGGAGTGGAAAACTGGAAACGTTTATGGCTATGATGTATTTGCACCCTGCGCTGTGGGTTTGCTTCAATATACTTTTGGATCTTTCTGATGGTAAATGTTGAGTCTGTGCTAGCTATTTGAAAACGTAGATGTGATTTGTCTTTCATCACCATCTGTTTTATGGTCATTATGTGTCCTGGATTTTCATGCTTCTTGTCAAACATTATGAATTGTATGATTTTGACTAAATGTTATCACATGTGATCTTTTAGCTGAGATTGAGAAGAATTGTGGAAGTTTGATAAGATGAATGATGTGATGTTGGTGACGCTGATGGCGTTTGTGATTGTTTGATGGATGCTGCAATTCTTTATGTTGATAGCGACAATCAACATACCGGCTGCCGAGCTGATACTTTCTGATTGCTGTTTTATATGGTCTATGGGCCTTTATGAGGGAAAGACTGGTGCTGTTGCAACTTGACCTTATTGTTATAAAATCCTGCTAGTTGGTGAGATTTACAGATCAGTCACTTGTTTACATATGTGATCCTGTGTTTTCAATTTTGCTGATTTTGAAAATTCCGTTCTTAATGAATTATATTGGTCATAGCATAAGAAAACAAGATTCAATGAGATGAATGGGTGTGTAGCTGTGCTGTTGGTCCTGCTTCTTCCAATGGTTTGTACCTGTTTTCATAATGCTCATAATGCTTCTTCCAACTAAACAGCCTATTGTTTATTAGTTTTTGACTATTGTCTTGCTGTTGCTTAATTGTATAGCTCATGGCTCATGATTGTAGCTGTCAAGCAGTTGCGGAGTTCTGCCTGTAGTTTGAGATTTTCGTGTTGCTTGGTCGTAGCTTTGCTGAAAAGCTTTTTGGTGGCTGTTGGTGGCCTGTAGTTGGGTTTGGGTCGGGCTATCTAAGATAGAACTGTTGTTTGTTTTGACCATCATGTAGCTGTTCCTGGCTCGAGGTTTTCCCGACTGCCAGAGTGCCAGTAGAGCTGTTTGATTTTGAGCACATCTTTATTTTATACAGATTTAGTTGTGTACGGCCAAAAGCAAGAGTATTTATTTGAGGTGCAAAAGTGTGTCTTGCATGCCCTTGGTATTTTCTCACATCATGATGTAGTCTATGCTTGTTGCTGATTCTGAAGTTGTTCTTTATTGAATCTCGCTTTAACTTAGGAACTAGTATGTGAGCGGAATCTAATCTGTTAGTTTGTTTACCAGTTTATTACTGTCAAATTGCCTTTTCAAGTCTCCACTTTGAAGGTTGAGTTTGTGTTGTAGCTTGTATAAGTTTATCAAACTGGTTAGTATTTAGTTGTCTTAGTGAAGAAAACCCAGAAAAATATCGTTGCATTCTTGCTACGTGTTGTTGGTTGCCTCAGCTAGGTCAGGCAGTTTCTAACAGGCGAACAATATGATTTGATGTTAGAACTCTTAGAAAGTTAGAAGGGTATTTGATTTTTCTTGCTGCATTTGTCTGAATGTGGTAATATTCATATGTATTGGGATATTAGAATTACTAATTGAGTAATAATTCTGCCATTCAACAAAATCTGTGAATTACTGCTGATAAATCGTTTGGTTTGATGGTTTCTTGGACTTGTCTTAGATTTACTTAGATGACATTGTCTTAGATTTACTTAGATGACATGGATTCAATTTGTCCGTATGCTTGGAAAATGGAAATTACACATCTATATTGTAAATTTAGTAGAATATTGTAGGTTAAAGATACATATTGTGTAATGTATGGTTCAAAAATCCAAGAGTAAGAAGGCTCACTTATTTGGTCATATGCTTAATAAAAAGATATTTGAAATGATTTTTGTTCTTTAAAGATTTCCTTATTTTCACTTTGTGCAAAACTATGACAATTAATATACCATCGTTTGCATCAAAATAAATTACTGTATAAAGTTTGATATTATGAAAATAAAATTTGAAATGAATAAGTTTTTTTATTCTTTTGGCTAAAGTTGTTCTTACCATTAGGAGTACATGTAAAAACACACTACCAGCTCTTGGTTGTTGGCACACTAATACCACTATTAATTAATCCACATCGAAAAATAATCTCAGTCTTTTACAATTTTCTGTCACTTAATCCCAGTCGAAAATTTTGGACCCACGATACAACCCAAGCTAAACCCGGGCTGTGCTGGGTTGGTACCGGGTTAAAACTGGGTAGGACCCACGTGACCAACTAGCCATGCGGGTTAGAGTTGGCTGGGTCCAAACCGGCCCACTGGCCACCTCTAGATATGAAGGAAGCAAATTAACCAGGATATGATTTAGAACCTCATGGAGCCATTCATAAGTATAGAACCAGATACTGTTGACCCATACAAGTGATATACTGTATACTGTAAGATGCAAATTCAAGCCCCTTTGGGATAACAAATCTATGTCTGTTGCTCCAACACTTGTAACATGCAAGATGTAAATACGCTTCTTTTGTGCTGGATTGTATCCATTTAAAGTACACAACTTACTTTTGTTGTTTAAACTTTAAAGCACTACAAAAGCAGATTAGTGAGGGAATGGGATAGTACAAAGGATCCAAGAACTCAATAGGTTGAATAGAAACCTTTGAAACTGACTGAAGGAAGGTAATAGGCGGCACGATAGGGTGGGATGGTCTAGGTGACTTAGTCAGGTTGTGATATAAGAGTACCTTGAACAATAGCTCATGATCTTTTATCGTAAGGAAAGACTACGGTTGACTTAAACCCCAAATAAATTGGTCAATAAAGTTGGGTAATGGACATGGGAAGAACTTAGCTCATCATTATAACCGAAAAGTCAAGGTATTATAAATGCACCATTTCACCTTGGCAACTTTTCCAAAATCAAATCAAATATGGTACTCCGTGTTCTTAAACATCTAAATTTTAGGATATGTTCAACCAAGCATGATAGAAGGGGATACATCAGTAAAATTGTACACAACCTTTTCATCTAGGTTAAAGAATGGACGAAAATTTTATATTCCAGAATGCTAACTAAATATAATGTACACAATTCTTGTTACTTTTTTAACAACATCATGAATCTAATCATGCATCTGTCTTACATAACTCATCTTCAACACAGATACTATCCTGTTCTCATCTTGTTTAAATTACTGAGTAACTGTTTTTCAAATATTGCCACCTGATTTCACCTTGATTTTGAAGCAGACTTCCGACGACGACCTCTTGAGCGAGTAGTCACTACAAGTCTGCTACTCATCCCACCTTGGCACCTAGAGCATGTAGCACCATTTGTTTTCTGTAATCGAAGCATCCATATGAATTCACCACTAAACTCACGAGACCTGAAGTCAAAGAAAAGATGTTGAGATTCTGATGTATTATCAGTACTCTGCCTCTGACATGTAAGCAAAACATGAACCTAAGAGAGGGCTTCCGATAATTCAGTTCAAATGAACTATAATACTTCAAATAGACTTATCAATAAGCTAAGAATGTGGATCCAAAGAAAAGAACTATAGCAATGCTGATGAAATATACTAATGTGTTAAATCAGAATTTACATAGTACTTGCAGCAATTAATTAGCAATTTCAACTCTCCATCAAGGAGTGAATATTAAGGTTCGTGCTGTCAACATAATTTGATGAGATACTTCTTAATGCATTGCACGCTAAATATTAGGTTTCTTCATTGATATTCTATTTGCATGAAATCTGAAGAAAAGCTCGAAACATACAGCAAGCGCCTATAAAGAAATAAGACGAGCAAAAAAAAAACAAGAAAACAACTATAACCTGCATTCCATGTTTTCCATTTTCTAGTATCTCTCTATTAAGTATTAACCCAGCTACATACCTTCAGAAGGCCAAAAAAAGACAGCAAAACAGATCACTTGATTTATTTTACTTTGAGCATTTTTCTGCTTCGGTTGGTAGTTCCTTCATCCGTAGCAATAGCAGCTTCAAAGACTGTTAATGCTCTTCAGAAGGTCCCTCTTTACAACATCGACCTAGTAAGAGAAGCAGAAAACCCACATATATAAGAAATATAACATAGAACTTTGTGGAATGGCCATTAATGTATCAGCACCCTACATTGGCTACATACCTGTATCATTTCTTTGTAATAAGAAAGGCAAGTTAACAAATCAATATTTTAGCAGTCAGATGAACAAACACCTCTCAAGATAAGGAATTTCAACCCCGGAGAATTTAATATTGTGCTGAATACGCAAGGAATAAATACAATGTGCTTGTCTAGACTAATTTAGCCGGGATATATTCTCAAGGATCCTAAATAATGTGCTCTAATTTTATTCCGAACAAAAAATAACAAAAAATCATGCATATTCTTTTGAAATAATTACGCACATAATAATTGAGTAAAACTAATTTGCAGTCAAAATACATGCATGCACATTTAATATAAATTTTTATAAGTAAATGCAAGTAAAATCTTTCACATGCCTTTTCAATTTAGCACCCTTCTCGTATATAAGCAAACATTACCATAATAAATCGAGCAGCATAAACCATTGTTTAGCTCTGAGCTAGATCCACCTATATCAAGTTTGGTTAAGATGGTATTAGAGAAATGATAAGCAGGCAATCCATTCATTAAAGTAGTTGCAAAATATAAGTGAAAAGACAATAATAATAACCCATATTCTTCTTTCAAACGGAGTACCTTGGTAGATAATGTTGGGGATATGTTGGATATTGGACCAGTTAGCACCATTCTTTTTCCTGCATTCATTTATTAACTCTGTGCTACGTCCCCTTAGTTCAAGTTGAGCTAAGGAGGTGAGGTGGCGCATCTCTTTTGGCATTTTTTTCAATTTTTGACAAAACCTAATATTAAGGGAATGGAGAGATGATAAGCATCCAATCCCCCTTGGCAGCTTCACCACCTTTGTGAGATAAACTAATTTCAAGGAACGGAGAGTGGGAGCAAGGTATCTCCATGGCATCTCTGCGTCACTTCCTTCATTATTATTATTATTAATGCATCCTTCTTCTGTGCTTTTGTTGTTGATGACATCATCTTCATCCCCCAATTCCAACTCATCAAGACAACTCAATGATAGACTCTCCAAGGCAGTGAATTGGTCCCACACTCCTCGTCCTGATATACTCTTCAAAATATCGCATTTGTTAATTTCAAGGGAGCGAAGAGAGGACAGGTTAAAAAGCTTTTTAGATACGAACACCCACATAAATCCAATGTTTGCAGGTTAAAAAGCTTCGTGATGGAGGAGGGCAATACACATAGACCCATACTGTCTGAAAGGTCAAGATACCTTAGATGCACCAATTCACCTATCCTGCTCGGCAACTCTTCCAATCCATAACAATGATTTAAACGTAATACCCTTAAATATTTTACTTTTGATACACCCTCCACAAATGGTTTTAAAGAGAAATAACGATCCTCTGTACATAGAAATGTTCGCTAAATGACAAGGCCTAAGATGTTTTATATAGCACTGATGGAAGAACAATAGATGCAAGAAACTTTGTCAAGGTTTACTACTGAGTAACAAGAAATTTACTAGCCAGATATAAATTGGCAATCATCAAGGCCATTACCTTTTACTATGAATTAGTGTGGGAATACAACATTCACACGCTGCATAATGCAGAAACCGTAAAATATAGCTTCAACTCAATTACTTCATAGTGCAGATAGTTACCTTCTCCTTCCCTGCTCTAAAACCTTTCAGCCCATGTGAAATAGATACTAGATAAGTGGATCAATGGTAGAGCTGCAGTGCTAGAACTAGCAGCATCGAATCTCACAAACTGGAGATCCCAGTGATTGGTATCCAAGAATCATCCTTCCCTTGTTATGCTCTCATCCCATTTAAGCTACTCTTTAATTGCAATTTAAGCAACAATCCTGGTTTAGTAGAAATTCGACAAAACTCCTATTCTACAGTATATGAATCCTGTCAGCTAGAAAAATCATGACAGTATGATATATGAAGCAAGCAGCATCAGAACCTACTTTTGAGGTTGAACAATATAACTATGTATTAAAGTTCCATGGATTGAGCCACAGGACTGGACCAGGACATTTAATTTCAACGCACACTAATGAACTAAATCAAACTAGAAAAAATGGCAGATATCATCAGGAGGAGTATGCATCATCTAGCAAAATCAGTAGTGATATACATATTAATTATCAACCTTGTTAATAACAATAGGATGTGCACATCTCATAGAAAAATATGGTTGACCATCATTAAAAACAAAACATGCCAATTTTCCAAAGGTATAGATGTAAAAATTAAATAGCAGAGTATACTTACAGCAGCAATCAGCTTGCAACTTGTACTTTTCATTAAGGTGTTAATATTAAGGGTTGTATGAATGTGTGTTGTCAAGATAGATTGTGCCAATAAGAATCTAATGCCAATATTAACAAAAATGAGGTAATATCCATCCCCCCTTGATTCATTGATATTATGTTTGCACAAAATCTGAAATAAACACGTATATACACAAGCACCTATATATGGTGAAATTAAACTAGACAGCCAAAGCCCACACATATAATATAATCCGTATTCTGGTAACCAGCAAGCATAAGCTTCATTATATCGATCATAAGAAATCTGGTCTAACATAGTTATTAGACCATAAGAAATATATCTGAAATTTCAGATATTAGACCATAAGAAATCTGGTCTAACATAGTCTGAATTTTAAGGTATATTCTAATTCGATCTAATCATCTACCTAGTTTTATGTACAAGGGTATACATCTATACAATTTATCACTTCTATTAGAAGATTAATCATGAAAAAATGGTTGTATTAATTACAATAGTCAACAGTAAAAATAGTGAAACTTTTGGTGTTTGCGTGACCAAAACTACTAAAATGGTAATACTAACATGATAATTGACAAGGCATCATATGCTATTAACCCAAAAATTGAATATGGGTAGACATTACCTTTAACCAGTGGAGTTATATATAAACGAACATTGAGTAAATGAATTCTTCGGGCGCTGATTTTAGACTAAATCTGGAGCAAATATTTAAAAGGTGTTAGAGAGATGATAAGCAAGCCAGCAAGCAATCCATTCTTTAAAAAAGTTGGAAAAATAAAAGTGAAAAGACAACAATAATAATAGTAATAATCCCTATTTTATCTTTCATACCTATGTTGGGGATATGTTGGATATTGGACCAGTTAGCACCATTCTTTTCCCTGCATTCATTTATTAACTCTGTGCTACATCCCCGTATATGAAGTTTGGTTAAGGAGGTGAGGTGGCGCATCTCTTCTGGCATTGTTTCCAAATTTTCACAGCTCCAAATGTGCAGTGATTGGAGAGATGATAAGCATCCAATCCCCCTTGGCAGCTTCACCACCTTTGGTAGACTATCTAAAACCAAGGAACGGAGAGTGGGAGCAAGGTATCTCCATGGCATCTCTGCGTCACTTCCTTCATTATTATTATTAATGCATCCTTCTTCTGTGCTTTTGTTGTTGATGACATCATCTTCATCCTCCAATTCCAACTCAACAAGAGATCTCAGTGATAGACTCTCCAAGGCAGTGAATTGGTCCCACACTCCTCGTCCTGATATACTCTTCAATTTATTGCATTTGTCAATTGCAAGGGAGCGAAGAGAGGACAGCCAACCGCTTCGGAATAACTCACCCACTTCTCCTGTTTTCAATTCCTCCATTTTCTGGTCTCTGTTAGAGAATTAATAAGATATGGCAAGTTATCTATGTCCACTTCCCTCAATCTTCCATGTCGTCCTTCCTCCTTTTGCTGACTAGTCTCCCTTATAATTGGGCCCAGCGCTTCATTAAAATCATGCAACACCAATTCTTTCAATCCCGGACACAAAGGAACTGTTGTCAATTCTGGACATCTATTTATAACAAGAAGAGAAAGTTTGGTGCTTGCAGTGTCTCACTCTCCTCTGATTCCGGTGATGACTTCCACCATCCCTTCAACTTTGGCATATCCAAAAGTATCAGCCTTTCAAGGGATGGAAAGAATACCAACTCATCATCATCTGCACTATTATTACTACTACTACACTCCACATACTCCACTTCACTCAAATCAACCAATTCAAGGACTTTCAAGTGACGCAGTTGACTCATCAATGGAAGATGCTCCAACCTTTTACAATCACGAATCTCAATTTGAACAAGATTTGGGAGACAACTTTTGAGATTCATTGATGCGCCCAGAAACAATGTTGTCAAATTTGGACATTTAGATACATAAAGCTCAGAAAGCACTGGTGCTTGTGGTATCCGATCATTCTCCCCTGATTCTGATGACGAAGGCTTCCACCATCCCTTCAACTTTGGTATGTTTTCAAGCTTCAGCTTTTCAAGGGATGGAAAGAATACCAACTCATCATCATCTCCATTATTAATACTACTACTCTCCATATACTCCACTTCACTCAAACCTTCTAATAAAAGGACTTTCAAATGACGCAGTTGACCATGGAATAAGGATTCGGTCCATCCCGCAAGTGGAAACAACAAGGTGCACTGTAAGCCACAATAGACCAATTAAACAAAGATAACATTAGATTTGAATTGATAAAACCCGCTCACATAATCAGGCCTGAGACTTTGATATAGAGTAGTACATGCTCGTTGTAAAGCTTTAATCCTTTAAGTCTTTAGCCCATCCATAATCAGTTTCACAATACATAACTATTCTTTAATTTGGTTAACATACAGGATGCCTTGTAAGTTGTAACGCTAAATTATCACATTACGCAAGTTAAAAAATAAGAAATTTAATCAAGGAACGACAGAGCATTAAATTTAACAGTAAAACCAAGTCACTTACACTTACCCATAGAGTTGAGACACTACAAAATCGATATCAAATGCATCAAACCCCCATTTGACGTAAAGTTCCCTCACCTGTTCACCAGCGCATCTCATTAAAGCATGGTGCAAATAATAATTGTTTAAAAAATATGTGCAACTCAAGCTTCAGTGCATCTTTTTGTGTGTCAAAGCATACCTCAGTGAAATCAACCTGCCTAGACCAAAAAGGCACATGGTTCATGTCAAATCGGACTTATACGCAACTCTTTCTACACTAATCATAACCAGAAAGGAGGACTTTTGCACTAGATCTACCCAGCTTTGCCCAGGTACATGCATAAATATTGGGGTAAAAAGAAGGTGAGCTCAAACTTCTCAAACTCAATGATATGGACAATCATGTGCTCCATTTCCCAGCCAAAATCTCAATGTCTCAGTCAACATCCAAATCCTCAAACCTAGCCTATCTATGAACCATATCTGTAGCAAAACAATGCAAGCCATTCGTGAAACCACACTTTTGCAGCTACTGCCAAGGCCTTTGTTGCTACTAAAGAAGCTCCAACTAACATAACTTTAGCTAATATTTGACTACCAACTATCATCTATTAGTCATCAACTCATTAATATTTAAACTTCAATTTTATTTCTCCAGGACAAAAGCTTACATCAAACTAAAGAAAAGGGAGGTAAATCCCAAATCTAATTTAACTCAATCAAGACACTTTTTTCCAACCCAAGTTTCTCTCCAGTCCATTGATCACTCTATCTACCTTCAAACCCTATATAAACATTCCCAAAATTGACCTATTAATTAACATGAAAACAAGAAGGAAAGTTGAGTATTAAGGATCAGGCGAAGAAGGTACATACCAGCAGGGAAGAGGAGAGGAGAAGATAGGGAAGAAGACAGCTGAATTAAACTGAACACATGCAATTCAATCACCCAAAGGCCAAACTCAATTCACCACAGCTTCGTATCAAACAGGACAACTGAAATTCAATTACAGGTTGACAGAAAAGATTTGGAAAATGTAGGGAAGACGAAGAAGGAATTACAGTACAAGTGGGGAAGACGAACTTAGAATTTTAGAAATTAACAAACTCAATTCAATAACGGGACACTGTTTGGTAAAACGGGACATAAAAACGGGACACACTTTCCTCAATTATTACAAGCGGGACCCACAACCCTATTTGTTTTTTCGCTTTAGTGTGTGCTGTGCATATCACGGTGCAGGGCTAAGACTAAGAGTTATCCTGGTTAATGGTGTGATGACTGTATATTCTATTTTTGGTGTTTTAACTTTTTAGAGCAACAAGGAATTTATTTAGTGATCTCTATTTTGCCAAGTAATTGGAAGACATGATAGGATGTTTTGATTTATGGTGTCAATTCTGAACTCAATCCGGGTTTTTAAGTGACCACTAAAATCTTGATGGAACATTTTTCGGCACGTAAATCGATAAAAAAAATTAAATTTGGTAACATTTTACAATTAATTAGTACTTTTGGACTGCAATTTGCAAATTTTTTTTTAAATGACTGCAATTTACAAAATACAAATTTTAAATGGTTGCAATTAACAAAATTTTCATTTATGATTGACACTTGATTTTATTATACATTTTAATTAAATATGGAGGTCTTTTCATTTTTCCATTAAATTGACTAGGTTATATACGACAGGAGCTTCTCAAGTAGAGTTAGGATCCACAAAATAGAATTCTACTGTATTCAATTATGTAATTTGATTTTGACTTGTATTGAACTAAATGAACTCAAAAGTTAATATGGTAAATTAGATACATGGCATGCCATGTCACAGATGCCACGTGGCACGCCACGTGTCATCTGTGAGGGGCAAATGATTAGGGTAAAAAATACCCTAGCCACGTGGTCCAATCAGAGACTGACACGTGTCAGTCCTAGAGAGGGCAAATGGGAGCCAATCCCAGGCTAACACGTGGCAAGCCCCCATTGGTAGGGGCATGTTCCCCTGCCCTATAAATAGAGGAAAATACCTCATTAATGGGACATCCATAAATTCCAAACACAAAAAAACACAAAGCAAAACAGCATTTATTCTCTCTAAATCAGAGAGAAACCCTTTACTTTTCCGCACTATTCACTTCGAACGCATTCTAATTAGATCGTCGGAGGCGGAACTCCACCCAGCCGGAGTTTCGTTATTTTGCAGGTACAACCGGTCAGCAAGCTCAGTATCGGAATTGTAACTCTCCCGCAGGACACAGAAAAAACCCCAAAACAGGTATGGTTAGAGTTGAACACTCACTCTACTAACCAGAATACAAGCTAACTCCGAACACTCCAAGTTAAGCTCACAAACTCGAGTCCACGAGTTCAAGTAACTTGAGTCCACAAGTTAATTTTAGAAATAACACAAAGTGATTTCAAAATAGATAATTTTCATTCAAGATAAGCTTAGTACAAATGACAAGCTAGACTTCCTTATATAGCTTAAGGAAGTAGTTACATTTAATAACTTACTTAGCTAAAATTCACTAACTAGCTAAAAGAGAGAACATCAAAAGTCGCCAGCCATTTGCTGCCCTTCATGTGTAACGGTTCCATGAAAACCGTTGCGCATTGAATGCTTCTTCATGCTGCCTTGCGCTGACTGCTACTGCGCATTTAATGGGTAGCGGTTCTTAAGGAAACCGCTGCCTTTAGCTGTGCTCTCCCCATTTCAGCGGTTTACAGTTACAATTTTATTACATCAATTTTAACACAGCTAATTACTTCTAACAACTGAAAATAAAACATACACTTAACTAAAATTAAAATGCAATTAAACTAAGGAGGTAGATCAGGATGTCTATCCCAACATTATATGTAATGCAAACCTCACCAAATCATAACTCAATCAGACATACCCATACGTATCATACGTATGGAATGAAGAGAGCAACACTGATGAATTTTATACAAAAGTTTGAATTACGAAGTTTAAAATTTTGATGTGTTACACGAACAAATATGTATAGATGTATGGTATGGTAAGATTTACGAATGCTGAATCTCTTTTAATTTCATATGTTTAGTTGAATTGCTTTATAAGAAGTTACATGCAATTGCTCAATTTCAAAAGATGAGATCCCCTGTTTTTACAGTCTAGGAAAAATATATACCAGAGGTAATTTTGTAGCAAGAGGTATCACTTAATTTGCTAGCAAACATCAATACCAAAAAATCTACAGCAACTACTACTCTAAGAATTCAATTAGATATGGCTTCAACTTTGTCGGTTGAGGCCGATTTTTAGTTCATAATATTACAGCTGATATAGGAGGTCAGACCGTCATAGAGTTTATTCCCAGTTTTTTTAGCACGGTCACCAAAGACTAACTCTCATATCTAGACCCTGTCCCATTAATGCAATGATGAAGAATTGAAGTTTATTCATTTTTGTCCAACCTTGACCAATTTTTTCACAAAGAAAACATCTGCCGATCTTGTTTGAAGCAATTCTCCTTCGGCCATCAAAACGTTCATAAGCTAACACCTCATTTGAAGGTAGTCATCCTGGTGACACTCACATCTGCATGATAATGCGTAAGTCTGCTTAAAAAAGTAGTTATCATCCCAGTTGCTGCAGAATCCTACGCTCATCTAGAAAAATGATCAATACTTAAATCTTCTTTTCTAACGGACCAAATTAAATAAACCACAAGCAAGAATGATAATTACCTTTGTATTTTCCTTTAGACATCAATGCGAGGGATGTGTTGGATTTTGGGCCAATCAGCACCAGTTGATTCCTGGCATCTTTCTTTTAACACTGGCGAACACCCCCGCACATCAAGTTGTTGTAAGGAACTGAGGTGACAAATCTCTTCTGGCAGTGATTTCAGTCGTTTGCAATTCCGAATTACAAGAGACTGGAGACATGAGAAGCAGGCTATCCACGATGGTAGGGCTTCAAAATTGTCACAGTTTGTAATTTGTAGGAATTGAAGGGAAGTCAAGCGGTTCATTCCCTTTGGTAGCTTCACCAGCTTTGGGAGGTACCATAATACTAAGGAATGCAGAGTTTGATGAAGGTATTTCCAGGGAATGTCAGTATCAGTGCCATGACTATCCTCGGTTGTGCATTCTCGAGTGTTGAGATCTCCATAATCATCATCCAACTCCAACTCAGAAAGCAATTTCAGATGTAGGCTCTCAAGGGCGGTGAGATGCTCCCACACTCCCTCTCCTGATAGCCTCTTCAATTTGGAGCAGTCAGAAATTACAAGGGAGTGTAGAGAGGACAGACGGTCACTTCGGAACACCTCCCCTGCCTCTTCCGTTAAACTTTCCATATCATGGTCACCTCTTACCACCAGATGAGAAAGGCTCTGAAAAGACTCGTGGGGCAAGGATTTCAGATACCCTGCTTTATCTATCTTAACTTCCTTCAATCCTCCTGGTATTTGCTGCTGCTGTTGCTCCTGCTGCGTCTGTCGAGTACTTGATGCTGATGGAGAATCATCACCAGGGTACAGCCTATTTGATTCTGTAGAGGAAGACCTTACATCAACAGCGCATCTCCTCGCACTTCTTGGTCTAGTTATTGGACCCAATGCTTTATTGAATCTGCTCAACTCCAATTTTTCCAGTTTTGGACAGAGAGGGATATCTGTCAGGTTCCAGCACAACCTTATATGCAGGTAAGATAATCGGGGGAATGATTTTTTACATGGTACAGCCTCACTGTCGCCTGAGTCTGCATCGAGATGCAATGATGATCTCCACCATCCCTTCAACTCTTGAAGATTTCCTAGAACAAGCTTTTCAAGGGATGGAAAGAAGACTAACTCATCTGCTACTGATACTGCTTTTCTTGACACTACTGATGCTTTGGGTGCCTCGTCTCCATAAATACTCTCCACGTATTCCAATTTGATTAATCCAACAAGTTCAAGGGATTTCAAATAACGAAGTTGGCTCAATAATGGCAGATGCTCCAAACTCTTACATCCATAAAGTTCAATTTCAACAATATTCGGGAGACAAGTTTCAAGATTCATCAATGAGCTCCCCCAGCTTGGAAACCTCACACCTGGATAATCCCACAATCCAAACAATTTTAGATTGGGGTGGGGTTGCAGGCCGTGAAGTAATGCTTCTGCATTAGTACCCTCACTGTCATCTTCAATAAACCTGGGGTTTTCCATTCCACAAAGCTTTTGCGTCCAGCATATGTTTATGCCCCGTAAATTTTGCTTGTTGATCAGATGCCCCCCTTTCTTGGCTTCTGCTGCATCATATGTTAAACCTCTATGGACCTTGACTTCCATACTTCCAGTGAGATTGTTGAGATACTTTAAGTCGCTAAGTCCACCAGCACCTACTGGCCTCAAACAGCAAGCACTGCTTGTACCGCCAACTAAAAACATAGTTAGCTTATTCAGACAGGTCAACTATTCATCCCTGGAGGCATATGTGTCATACTATTACAATCAAATATATCTAGACACCTAAGATTAACTAATTTTCTGGAGTCCCTCGGCAACTCTTTTAGTGACTCACAACCACGCAATAAGAATGTCTGCAAGTTATAAAGCTCGGTAATGCACAAGGGCAACACAGATAAACTACGATTACAAGAGAGGTCAAGATATCTTAAATGCAGCAATTCACCTATCATGTTTGGTAGCTTTTGAAATGAAGCCCCATGTAAATCTAGTACCCTTAAATATCTCACTTTTGGTAGCAGCACATCAGGTCTTTCTAAAGGGTTGGGGTACCCTATGTTCAAAATTGTACGCATTCTCTTCATTGTGGTCAAATATCTTCTAAAATCTTTTCGACCAACAGTACTATTGACAAATAGATGCCGAGTTTTCTTATCAAAATAGCTTGTATTATAGCTGAATGACAAGATTTCTGCTCCAGCTACTTCTTTAGCGAGATCATGAATCAGATCATGCATTTTGCATGTCAGAATTTCACCATTGTCAGCTCGCTCTACATCTTGAAAGAAGCATCTTTGCAGTAAATTCATGAAGTACTCCTCACCGGCATCTTCAAGACTCTCTCCGCCTAATGGAACAATAAACCCTTGTGCCATCCAGAGACTGATCAAATCCTCCTTCTTGATCTTGTAATGCTTGGGGAATACAGCACAATAACTGAAGCAGCTCTTCAAATGGTACGGAAGATAATAATAGCTAATCTTCAATGCACGAACTATGTCATTCTCATCAGGTTCTATGTTTGCCAAGGCAGTGTTTTTCAAAAATCGCCACCTACTTTCTGCCTGGCCTCGAAGAAGACTTCCTACAACCCTTATGGCAAGTGGAACATTAGCACACTTTTGGACAATTTCTTTTCCAGTATTGACCAAGTATGGCTCAATTTCATCTTGCCCAGTTTCTAGTGTCATTCTCTCAAATAAATTCCAGGAGTCTCTCTCTGAGAGACCATGTAATTCAAACATATAGCGGTTTCCCACCATGTCTGCTACCCTCTTAGAGCGTGTGGTCACAATAACTCGGCTACCTCTTCCACCTCCGATTAACAAAATTTTCAACTTGTGCCACTTATTAAAATCCTCATTCCAAACATCATCCAAAACAAGCAGATACTTCTTCCCCTCAAGTTCTTGTCGCAATCTTCTCTGGAGCTGCTCCATTTCTAAGCCACCATGATCTGTTTGGTTTGTTACAGATGTTAGAATTTTGTGAAGCAATTTGGTATGAAAATCATTAAAGACACAAACCCACATCTTCAATGGAAATTCCCTTTCGATTGTCTCATCATTATACACGAGTTGGGCAAGAGTTGTCTTCCCCAACCCTCCCATCCCAACTATGGTCACAAAAGAAACATCCTCAGCAACAGAACTGTCTAGTAACATATCTATCACTATCCTCTTGTCTTCATCTCTCCCAACAATAACATCTTCCTCGTGTACAAAAGAGTGAGAGTCCCTTTCGTTTTTCACCTCGCATACCTCATGACCATGCTGTGGTCTTGAACCAAAGCCGTGATGATCTCTAGCAACATCATTCAATATCTCCTTGATCTTTTTAACTTCACGAGACATATTGAAAGCAGAACGGAGCTGATTAAAGCGAGAGAAGAAAAGGCGTACCTCTTTCCTCACACTGCTACCAGACATAAGCTTCTTGCACTGGGCAAGAGTAGCAACCTCATCAAACAAGTCATCAGCTTTGTAAACGGCTTCCTTGAGCCTCCCGAGCTTGTCTTGTAATGTGTGGCTGAGCTCAAGTTGCTGTCTCTCTTGCTTCTCAGCATCAAGGAGCACCGCTCTGATGGTAGACATAGTGGCCTTGAGTTTCTCAAGCTGGGATTTGTAACCCCATAATGATTCAATTTCCTCTCCAATGGGAGTGTCCAGCAGTTGGAGAAGAGTTTGTACCAGCGTGAGAACTACTGACACATCCATTCCTACTGCACTTTCTCACTTCCTTATGAGTAATCAGTCAGTACTTTTACAAGAAAAGGTGATGAAGGAAATGCAAACGATATTAGAAAATTGTATGTTTTGAATTTATGTGCACTTATACGGATTATTTAGACAGCACTACAGAACGCTATGACTATGAGTCATAAGGAGGAATTACTTGGAAAATGCTCTGTAACCATATTTCAGGAAAATAACTCTGCTCTTTTTCGTTGAGCAGCTGCCTCGCTGCGAAATTTCCAAATTATTTCTTACAGATATTATACGTGAAACTCTGGTGGAAAAACTGTTTTAAATTTTATTATTATCTTTTTGAAGAGGAGTGTTAGAGAAAAACAACAAAGATGCAGATAAAGACTAAGACTTAAATATAAAAGTGGTGAATAATTAATAAGAATTGAAAAAAGCTATTACCTTTGTGGACTGGGGAGGCTAATTCATGGTTAGCAAGCGTAGAGTAGACAAAATCAAAAATTAATAAAATGCTTAGAAATTGAGCCCTTTCACATTAGATTTTCCTCCGTTTACTTGACTTGGACTATTTGCAGGATCCAGTAGATATACATCATACATGCATTTCCTGATCACTGTATCGGCAGAGAAATGGAGAGGAATTTGACAAGTCTTCAGAGTGAAAACACGGGAATGGCGCTAAAAGTCCACCCGTGGAGAGGACGACATTGACGGAGAGAGCTGAAAAATGAAGCCATTTCACCAAAAAAGTTATCAAAGTTTCGGATGAAACATCAAGTAAAGATTAACCAGAGTTCTCAACTTCAAAACAATATCAATGCTGCAAGTCTGCAGCAGTTTCTACTCTAGACAATTGCTTCACAGTGGATTTAATTCCTTAAAAAACTGCACTTAATTAAATCTGCCACAATTCAAATATTTGGTTTTTATAATTTTGTGATGATGAATTGCTATCAGGTCATTTTATCCGGATATGTGTAAGTCTAAGACAGCTTTAAGCAAATATCAGGATTCAGGAATGGAAATGTTTTGCTGTCTGCATTTTATCTCCTGTATAGCTTAAGATTCACCCATAATTTGCCTACAGGAAGGAGGAGCTTCCAATTATGATTCTATGAATCGTGAAACGCCTCTGACGGAACAGCCTGTGGATTTTATTTAACTGAATCCTTGGTAAACATAATTTCCCTACAGCAGTTTATTTCAGTCTTAATCTGTGTTATTGTTATTATTTAACAATAACCCAATTCATTTATTAACGGGATGGAATCATGGAAAGTTACCAAATTAGTATTACACTACAATTTTTTTTTTTTTTTTTTTTTTTGAATAGTAGTATACACTACATTTCCACGAGATCACAAACAAAATTCTCAATTTTTTTTTTTTTTGGCAGTATCAAGAAAGATATTGTTGTGGGGCACCTCCGTACTTAATAGGTTAGTTGATTGAAGACTTTAGTATAGTACGTGAGTGGTAAGTAAATTTTGATTTGTTTATTATTTGAAACTTTAAACGATATCAGAATTTCATAATGGGACAACTATTGTGTGAGAAACTATTACTGTATTTACAAACAGATTTCCATCACTTTCTGATTCCTCCATTTGATTTATGCTCAACCAAAGAATTAATTAATACCTTAGTCCTCTAATATCCCATTAATTCTAGATGTGGCATTGTCCGCATATATTGATAAGAGTGATAGCATTGAAATGGTTTTTTTTTTTTTTTTTTTAATTGGTTACGTCATAGACATGTTGGGATTAGATATGGCATATCACATATGGGTACAGGTCGGGCCGGGCAAGTCTTCAAGTCATCTTACTTTTAACGCAAAAGAATAACATATACGGAGTATTACATTAAAGTCATCTAATAATTCTCGTGTTCAAATGAGTATTGTCTGAGACGACAAGTCAAGAAAAAGTCATATGGGGCTAACCAATCATAAATAGAGCCTATACAACGTTAGTATGTGTGGTGCCTTGCCAATAGACCAAACTAAAAAGAGAAAAAAAAAAAAAAAAAAAAAAGCACAATCACCTCATCGTGATCAAGCCAAATGCTCACATATCGGCATATTTCTCATGCTAGGTCAACCCATTTTCTTGCTGTGTCTAATCGACCATTGTGCCAAACTGCCAACCAAGCCCATGCCCAACTCTAGTTGGGAGTTGGGACACTAGTGAAGAATATATACGAAGTAGAATATATGATCCTCACCCCTTTTTAGTAGTCAGGTTTTATTTTTATTTTTTCATATTGTAGTATTCGTATAGGAAACTTGGAAGGTATCATTATCCATATACGAAAAATTAAAGAAAAAAAAATTAAAAAAAATATTTGGTGAAAAAAAAAAAAACGTTTGAAGGAGAAAAAAAGTTAAAGAGAATACCATGGCTGAGTTGAAACATCGAAGGCGAATAGCCGAATACAAATCATTTCAGGTGTCCAAAATGAGGCCCGTTTCCTGGGTTCAGGACACCTTAAGAAATAAGGAGCGGTTTGGAAGACACATATTCAAGACTTAACAAACTCAACTATGTTATTATCAATTTGAGCAACAATTTTTATGTATAACATTTATATGATCTTGCACATAAATAAATTCTAGTCTATAACACAGCTTCCAATTAATGTTACATGAGGCCTCATCACTTGCTAACGGGGAAATCTGTGTTTCTCACTATGAGAAACATAATTGTTTCTCACAATGGCATTTCTGTAAATAAATAGATGTTTTACACTTACAGAAATATCGGTAATGTCCCCATGAAAATGATTTATATGAGGTGAAATGTCGGTAGTGCCCCCATGAGAAATGGGGGCCTCCTCCTTGCTAACCTAAGAATTTCCATACGCAAATCTGTACACGAACTACTCGATCTAAGAATACAGTTAGATACGGCTTCAACTCAATCGCCCCATAAAGAGGAGAGACACTCGCTCTCTCTACTCTACTCATTGGGTGCAAGAATCTGAAACCCGTTCATGGAACCAGTGCCATTATTTAATATGCTGACCACTGTAGTCGATGGTGAACTTGCACTAGCTTCAGGTGCAATCAAGTTAGGCCCTGCACCAGTGCTGGACACTTTGGAAGAAGTAACTGGAGTAGCATCATTACTAACAGCTGGAGGAGAAAGGGCTTTGCTCGACTCCTCATTAAAGTTTGATTTATTACACATTTTATGCGTCTCAGACAATTGCTCCCCTTGTGGCTTTTGCGCTGACCCATCACCACTTGAATCTGCTACACCTTGAGTAGGAGTAGAAGGTGTATCAGTAGCTGCAGGCAACGAGGATGGTGGGTTTTGTTGACCAACAGAAGCAGGTGACTGTTGCTGCATCGGCCTTTCTGCAGGAGCTTCATTTTCTCCTACCCACCCTGGGCCAAACTTGACAGCAGCAGGTAAGCATCTCTCAATCTTCTTTGAAGCAACTTTCCACGCAACAGGTCCAATTTTAGCAGCAAACCGTGCCAAACTCCTCGCATATCCGTACTCTGTATGAAGCCCCACCTGGATAACATAGAAAAACCAAGTCAGAGAGCAGAAGAAAGAAACGTCCGAACTTTCAATTTGGGACTAACAGCAATTCAAGGATAGCACATTTCTTTTATGCATATACAATTAATCGGACCACAGAGCATATTGCAATGGTTAAGGTGGGTTAATTTATACAAGTATTTGGATTTGGTCAATTGTAACTAATCTCTTTCATCCTATTCCCATTTTAGTTTTACTCAAGGATGTAAATGTTAAAAAGGAAACCTAGATGCTAAGCCCTTTTGCTAGCTGTTGTGCGACAGCGGAAGCAAAGGTCGAAAACAAACAAGAAAACAATAAAGAAATTCAATGCAAACAATAAGAACAACACCAAGAATTTACGTGGTTCACTATCGATGTGATAGCTACGTCCACGGGCACCGAGATCGAATGATTTCACTATAAACTGCAAAGATTACAAAGATGATTCTTGTATTTCTCAAGAACGGCTCTCACCCTCTCTCTCTTAACCCTTATACTAATATTAGGGAGGTTTTATATTAATCCCTAAAATAAAAGATACTTGGGCAAAAAGATAACATAAAAGATAACTTTAAATCGTAAAATCCGCGTCTCCGCATTTTTCCTTCTCCGCCCGGTCAGACCGGGCAAGGTCTGCCCGATCGGGCGCGAGAAGAAAACTCCATACGAATGCTTCAACGTATCCAACCCCCACCGCCCGGTCAGACCGGGCAATGTCCGCCCGATCGGGCGGACAAAGCTACGAAGTACGAGTCACCTAATACTTATCAACAATCTCCACCTTGACGAGAACTCGTAGTCAGCAAACGACCCCATCAAGACATAGTGGAAAAACATCTCAAGCCAAACCCGATGCAAGACTCATGCATAAGCCATACATCCCGATAAGTCTTCAACCAAGACCCATCACATACTCGTCTCCAAGTATAACAACTCATAATGCTCCACCTGCATCACAAGCCCCGGGCAAGCTCCACCTTAAGGCCAACACACCTACACCAGGAGCTCCCCAACTTCGCCCCTCAGGGCCTACTACATCACGTAGTAATCAATATTTAGCAAGTCTAAGCAATGTTTAAACTTGCTAAACGGAACAGGCTTAGTGAAGAAATCAGCCGGGTTGTCAGCAGTCCCAATCTTCTTCACCTTAATCCTCTTGTCAGTACGCAAGAAATGATACCTGACATCAATGTGCTTCGTCCGATCATGGTGTACTTGATCTTTAGCTAAGCAAATCGCACTTAGACTATCACAATACACTGTAGCAAAATCCTGTGCAATACCCAGTTCACCTACTAGGCCTTTGAGCCAAATAGACTCCTTAGCTGCAGAAGTTAAAGCCATATACTCAGCTTCAGTAGTTGACAACGTAACTGATGACTGCAATGTAGACTTCCAACTAACCACAGAACCACCCAAAGTGAACACATAACCAGTCACAGACCTCCTGGTATCCACATCAGCTGCATAATCAGAATCACTGTACCCAGTGACCAAGCATTCCCTACCATTCCCGTACACAAGACCAATATCAGTTGTCCCTCTCAGGTAGCGAAAAATCCTTTTCACCCCTTGCCAGTGTTCCCTCCCAGGTCGAGCCATAAACCTGCTTACAACACTAACAGCATGCGCAATATCCGGCCTAGTACAGACCATAGCATACATCAAACAACCAACCGCGTTTGCATATGGAACTCTAGACATATAAGACAACTCCTCCTCTGATTGAGGTGACATAGACAAAGACAACTTACAACTAACAGTAGTTGGCGTACTTATAGGCTTCGATTTTTCCATCCCAAAACGAGACAAAATCTTTTCAATGTAGCTTTTCTGAGTCAAGAAAAGCTTACCTCTAGCCCGATCCCTGTAGATCTCCATACCCAAAATCTTCCTAGCTGCACCCAAGTCTTTCATGTCAAACTCCGAGTTAAGCATCTCCTTTAATCTAGCAATATCAGATTTATTCTTTGTGGCAACCAACATGTCATCAACATATAACAAAAGATAAATCATGGAACCATTATCCAGCTTACTATGATACACACAGCAATCATATGAATTCCTGTCAAAACCTTGTGAAACCATAAAAGAATCAAACCTTTTGTACCACTGTCGGGGGGATTGCTTAAGTCCATACAATGACTTTAGCAATCTGCAGGCATAGTGTTCCTTTCCAGGAACTTCGAATCCTTCGGGCTGCTTCATCAGAATCTCCTCCTCCAAATCGCCATGAAGGAAAGCCGTTTTAACATCCAACTGCTCCAGCTCAAGATCAAAATGTGCTACAATTGACAATAACACACGGATAGAAGTATGTCGAACCACAGGTGAGAATATCTCAACAAAATCAACCCCTTCTACCTGACTGAACCCCTTAGCAACTAGCCTAGCCTTAAAACGTATTTGCTCAGTTTCCGACAACCCTTCTTTCTTCTTGTAAATCCATTTACAACCCACAAGCTTCCTCCCTTCCGGTACCTTTACCAGTTCCCACACTCTGTTCTTGTAAAGAGACTGCATCTCTTCACCCATTGCGGCAAGCCATTGCGCAGACTCACTACAACTAATTGCTTGTTTATATGTGGCAGGTTCAAATGACTCTACATCATCAGCTACACTCAATGCATAACCTGTCATCGCATCAACACAGCAATTTCTTCCCTCCATCTCTTCAATCAATCTAACAGGCTTCTTGATAACTCGTTTAGGCATCTCAAGAATGGTGTCAGGTTGACTAGATGACCCCTGATTAGATTGCTCCACCTCATCCCCAGAGTTAGAATGAGTAGGAGTAATCTCAGGTTCAGGAGTACCCGGCACTGGAACATCAGCATCATCATCAATATATTGTACCCGAGGTAAATCAGCAATGGTAGACTGATGTACCTCAAGTACCCCATCTGTCTGTAATAAATTGTCTCCTTCCCTTCTCAAATCTGAAATCTCTGCATTTTTAATTGAATACATGGTGTTTTCATCGAAAGTAACATCCCTACTAAGAATGACCCGACCCTCCGAAGGTGAAAAAATTCTAAACCCCTTCACACCATCCCCGTACCCAACAAAACACCCCTTCTTGGCTCGTGGATCCAGCTTACCCTCAATAACATGATAATAAGCAACACAACCAAAAATCTTCAAATTCGAAAAATTAGGCAACTTACCACTCCAGATCTCAAACGGAATTTTGGAATCAATTCCAGAATGAGGACCCCTATTAATGACATAACAAGCTGTTAACACAGCTTCACTCCAGTACCTCCTCCCAAGCCCTGCATTAGAGAGCATGCATCGAACTCTCTCTAGCAGTGTCTGATTAACCCGTTCTGCTACACCGTTCTGCTGTGGTGTCTTCCTGACAGTATGATGCCGACCTATACCCTCATCTGCACAGAACTGATTAAACTCGTCTTTGCAAAACTCTAGCCCATTGTCCGTTCGTAGCTTCTTGATCTTCCTTCCTTGTCGATTTTCCACCAAAGCTTTCCATTGCTTGAAAACTTTGAAGGCCTCATCCTTTGACTTAAGCAACCTAAGCCATGTGTATCGGGACTTGTCATCAACAAATGACACAAAATAGTGGTAACCTCCCATACCTTCAACTCTAGATGGACCCCAGCAATCTGAATGGATGTAATCGAGCACTGCATCAGTAATGTGAGCACCCTTGCTGAACTTTGACCTGTGTTTCTTACCAAACACACAATGCTCACAAAATTCAAGGTTGGCAACCTTGACCCCGGATAGAAGACCCCTCTTGGACAATAGCTGCATCCCCTTCTCCCCCATATGACCAAGCCTCATGTGCCAAATCTTAGTCATCTCCTGGTGAGATACAGATGCGCAAACCGCAGAACTAGGCAGTGTAACACCCTCAAAAACATAGAGGGTGTTCCTTTTGATACCCTTAAGTACCAACTCAGAACCTCTGAAAATACACAACTCCCCATCTGAAAACACACCATTGTACCCCAAGTCATCCAGGGTACCCAATGAAATCAGATTCTTTCCTAAAGCAGGAACATGCCGTACATTAGTCAAAGTTAACCTCCGCCCATCAACAGTCCTCAACCTCATGGAACCAATACCTGTGACCTTACATGGAGCATTGTTACCGACTATAACCATACCCCCATTGCGAGGTTCATATGTATCAAACCAATCTCGACGTGGACACATATGGAACGAACACCCCGAATCTAGAACCCAGTTATCAGATAAATCATCAGACCTAGCAGAACTGACTAATGCTAAATCTTCCTCTGAATTATAGCTCTCATTCGGTTTCTCTTCAACTACAGCAGCCTGGGACTTGTTTTTCCTCACCGGACAATTATTCCTAAAGTGACCCGGTTCTTTACAGTAATAACATGTTTTAGTAGTAGTTTTACTAGATCCAGCCTTGCCGTTTCCAGCACCCGACCCAGCATTGTTCCCCTTGTTAAACCCCTTATTCTTTTTAGACTTTCCGGACTTAACAAACAACCCACTACCATTATCCCCATTATCACTCGTAGCTTTCATTCTGAGTTCCCTAGTATGAAGTGCTGCCTTCACTTCTTCTAAGGTTATAGAATCCTTACCAACAACAAAAGACTCTACAAAATTCTCAAAGCTAGACGGTAGAGATACAAGTAAAATCAACGCAGCATCCTCATCATCAATTTTAACATCTAAATTACGTAAATCAAGCAAAATAGAGTTAAGTTTTTCTAGATGTTCCCGTAAGGAAGTACCTGACTGCATCCGGAGGCTAAACAACCGCTGTTTCAGTAATAATTTGTTGGTCAACGACTTAGTCATATACAATGACTCCAGCTTCAGCCACAATCCAGCCGCCGTTTCCTGATCAGCCACCTCCGTGATGATTTGATCATCAAGACTAAGTAATATGGTAGAGTGTGCCTTCTCTTCCATAACTTCTAACTGCGGGTCAGTCGGTCCATCTTCTGACTCCGAAGTAGTACTCTTTGGAGCCAACGGACGCCATATCTGCTGTTGTTTTAACAGAGCCTTCATCTTAATTTGCCATAGCCCGAAACTATTTTTCCCGGTAAACTTCTCAATTCTTATTGTTGAATCTCCTGCCATTGTTATCTTCAAGAAACTCTCCAAGGATTGAACCTGAGCTCTTGATACCAATTGTTGTGCGACAGCGGAAGCAAAGGTCGAAAACAAACAAGAAAACAATAAAGAAATTCAATGCAAACAATAAGAACAACACCAAGAATTTACGTGGTTCACTATCGATGTGATAGCTACGTCCACGGGCACCGAGATCGAATGATTTCACTATAAACTGCAAAGATTACAAAGATGATTCTTGTATTTCTCAAGAACGGCTCTCACCCTCTCTCTCTTAACCCTTATACTAATATTAGGGAGGTTTTATATTAATCCCTAAAATAAAAGATACTTGGGCAAAAAGATAACATAAAAGATAACTTTAAATCGTAAAATCCGCGTCTCCGCATTTTTCCTTCTCCGCCCGGTCAGACCGGGCAAGGTCTGCCCGATCGGGCGCGAGAAGAAAACTCCATACGAATGCTTCAACGTATCCAACCCCCACCGCCCGGTCAGACCGGGCAATGTCCGCCCGATCGGGCGGACAAAGCTACGAAGTACGAGTCACCTAATACTTATCAACACTAGCCTTGTTGTTTTCACCTTAAGGTCTTTCGGTATGTATCCTTGGGTTTGAAAATAATTATGTCGCTAAAAATGTTACAGAATTCAGGTAATATAAGCACAGGGGAACAATCGTTGGATTTTTGCTTGACTAACTTATCTGCTCTGCAACTGATTATCCCTTTATTATTACTCTTTTTTCAATAATTAGGGAGAAATAGGAGATGGACAAGATATCCTAGTGAGAGTTCATTCAGAATGCCTTACAGGAGATATATTTGGCTCAGCTAGATGTGACTGTGGAAACCAGCTTGCACTTGCAATGAAGCAAATAGAGGCTGCTGGAAGGGGAGCGTTGGTCTACCTTCGCGGGCATGAAGGCAGGGGAATTGGTTTGGGCCATAAGCTTCGTGCATATAATCTGCAGGATGCTGGTCGTGATACTGTTGAAGCCAATGAGGAGCTAGGATTACCGGTTGACTCAAGAGAATATGGAATTGGTGCACAGGTAACTTCTGCTCTTTCCTTCTCAATTCTATTTCAGTACCTTGATTTAAATTTAATTTTTTTTTGTCATACTAATTCCTTAGATTTTTGGCCTATGAATGTGTTACTGCTTGTGAAATTCTTTAAAAAGAGCTAATCATGTTTCAGGCTGCGCCGATGCCAAAAGAAATAGTTCATTTTTCGTCTCTTAAAATCTGCTCAAACCTGGTAATCTTATGGATAAAGGCCAAACGGTATACAAAAGCCAGGCTGCACCCCTAAAATTGCCTGGTCTATCGAGCAGGAAAATTTTGTGCAGCCTGTCTAAATTTAGCTGGATTGGCCATCTTATATCATCTCTAATAGATGTATTTTTTAAGCACGTTGTTATGATGTCTGAGTAACTTGACTTGGTTTGAATGTTGATTTGACCTAATTAAACTTGGGGATGATGCAGATATTAAGGGATTTGGGGATTAGAACTATGAAGCTGATGACAAACAATCCTGCAAAATATATAGGGCTGAAGGGTTATGGTCTTGCTGTATCTGGGAGAGTGCCACTTATTACTCCAATAACCAGTGAGAATAAGAGATATCTGGAAACAAAGCGTAAGAAGATGGGTCATGTCTATGGCCTAGACCTAATTAGCAATGGAAGCAGTCCGAGGACTGAAAATGGCAAACCCAGCACAACTAGTTCACCAGATACTGCAGTTAACCTATAGAATTGACTTGATATTCTGCCCACTAATTTAGCATCCAGGCAAAATGATTTTGGATCCCTTCAAGCCCCTTCATATTCACACTCTGGAGTAAGGTTGCACCTCATCAAATGATCTGTGATGGCTATTTATACGTTTTTGTATAAATTGAGAAAGATCTATGATGTTTTTGTAATATCATGTCATTTTTTTTGTTCCCTTTCAAGATGTGTAAAGTAGCTTTGAGCAAGTCTCAGGTTTGTAATTTGCCTACCTCATTTAATGGAATAATAATTTCTTGCCTTTATACATTTGGGTTTCTAACTCCATTCTAATAATGATGCCTGTCATATCGTCTGAAGTCTGGACAAAAATATTGTTTCTCTTTGGAACCTAGAGCAGTTAAAGAGAACATATGTATAACATAGGCTACTCATTTGCAAAGTAAAACAGGTGAAGAGAAATATTTTTACAACTCTAGAGCTCAAGGGAAAAAGAGCCACCTACTAGGTAGGGTTCTCCTCAAATACCCTTAAGCCAATTACGCCGCCTCTATAAATACTACAACTCTGTAGGGTTTATTCCCTAAAACATTGTTTAGTCGACTTTTATTCTTATACTTCTATAGAGTACAATAAAAGATATTTTTGACAGGAAATCATGTAATTTGTAGCCTTCCAAATATATTAAGAGCAACAAAGCCTGTAGCTGCTGCAATATATATCACATGTTCTGATAGAGCACCTTCTCTTGTTAAACCATTTCCCAGGTGTATGTAGCATTGTAGCCACATGTGATTTCTGGAACCAGAGCATCCAACGAATGTATTCTTTCCCCAAGGAACCTTTCACAACTTGCTAAGTAAAAGAAAAGATGTTGATATTCTGACATTGGAAATCTGCCTAACTTCAGAGTGGTTGTACGGGGAGTTTCCGATAATCAGTTCATCAAAGCAGCATTGAAGTCCTCTTCACGTTAAAACCTTTCTCTGGTACCAACTGGTATCAGGAAATATCACGCGAAACACCAAGATGAGAACCACGGAACTTTTAATGTTAAGTTCACAGCCCTTCTAATTGACAACTGTAAGGAAAAACAAACAAAAAACATTCATCCAATTTACAACTCCATATTTTGACACCACAGAGAACATTTAGTCCACAATAACATTGATTTAACTTTAAATATAGTGTACTATCTGGAAGATGAAGCAAAAGCTAAAAGTTGTTGTAACACAACGAAAAAGAGAATTGGTATGTATAGCATTCAGAAATGATTCCTTGCTACCTGATAATACTTGAACGAAGCGATCTTCTGGAATCTGGAGTATTATATTGAGTCTCCTTCAAGTCAAACACTTCAAGAGATAATCTTTCTGCATGACAGGTATTTGACCAAAAAAAGAAAAGAAAAAAGATATAGTACAACATTTAGAACCATATCATAAACAAGCACTTTGACAAGGTTGTAAAGGCAGTTGGTTTCTCTAGTCTTTTTAATTGCATAATCTGGTAGAACGATAAATTGTAAATCTGATAGATTTCCTCTTACTCCTAAGTATAGAACTCTCAAGTGGACGTCATAGAAAATTTGCATCATTAGTTATTTCCAAAGACAGTGATTCAACTCATTTAAGCTTACCAGGATGACTACAGTAATATAAAAACTTTGCTGCAGCCATGTTTGGTCTGAGACACTATTAGAAGACTAGCAATTGCAATAGACCAAATCAATACAACAGTTACAACTAGCAACAACATAAGTTGAACTAGAGTATAATAGATTGTCCATATTGTCAGTCTTGTAATCATGAAATTTTCTGCATAATTGAATTACTAGAAATTTTAAGCATTTTTGGAATTACAATTGACTCCACCAACCTTAAGGATCCTTGATTAACGATGGTTGAAAGGAAATTATATTACCTCATGCTGTGCCCTCTAGTGTTACAAGCAACTCTTCCCCTTTTAAAAGCCGACTCCCCTGTTTTAAGACAGAGATTAAATCAAAACTGGGAATTATAGTGTTTATGAAGGTAATTGTGTACAAGAATGACCCAGATAAAAGCATCTTATAGAACAATGAGAACCTGAAGCTTGATGAAGTGGCCATTTCTTCAGGAAATCTTCATCGGCTAACCTAAATTCTCAGATTCACCTATATTAGAGCAAGCTGTATGCAATCGCATAGTGCTTACACAATAGGAAGAAACAATAAACATGTTACGTAATTTACCAGTACATATAGCTTGACAAAACTTAAAATGGTTCAATTTTGAAATGTTTAATTTGAATACCTAACAGATTGCAACTTCAGAACTAAAAAGGAAAGTACAAATGAAACAGGAACAAACTACTTATCATGGAATGATGAACTTTTCAAAATAAATGCATGTCTTCATTTATGAATCCTGATTTCCAGCTTTAGACCGTCTTTTGGGAAGCATTAATCCATAAACACTAGGCTTCTAGACTCATTTGTCTTCCTAACACTTCAATAAATGAGCTATATAAGAATGACATTCATAGCTAAATGACAAGGCCTAAAATGTTCTATATAGCACTGATGGAAGAACAATAGATGCAAGAAACTTTGTCAAGGTTTACTACTGAGTAACAAGAAATTTACTAGCCAGATATAAATTGGCAATCATAAAGGACATTACCTTTTACTATGAATTAATGTGGGAATAAAAAATTCACACGCTGTATAATGCAGAAACGGTAAAATATAGCTTCAACTCAATTACTTCATAGTGCAGATAGTTACCTTTTCCTTCCCTGCTCTGAAACCTTTTAGCCCATGTGATATAAATACTAGATAAGTGGATCAATGGTAGAGCTGTAGTGCTAAATCTAGCAGCATCGAATTTCACAAACTGGAGATCCCAGTGACTGGAATCCAAGAATCATCCTTCCCTTGTTATGCTCTCATCTCATTTAAGCTACTCTTTGATTGCGATTTAAGCAACAATCCTGGTCTAGTAGAAATTCGGCAAAACTCCTATTCTACACTATATGAATCCTGTCAGCTAGAAAAATCATGACAGTATGATATATGAAGCAAGCAGCATCAGAACCTACTTTTGAGGTTGAACAATATAACTATGTATTAAAGTTCCATGGATTGAGCCATAGGACCGGACCAGGACATTTAATTTCAACGCACACTAATGAACTAAATCAAACTAGAAAAAATGGCAGATATCATCAGGAGGAGTATGCATCATCTAGCAAAATCAGTAGTGATATACATATTAATTATCAACCTTGTTAATAACAATAGGATGTGCTCATCTCATAGAAAAAGATGGATTGACCATCATAAAAAACAAAGCATGCCAATTTTCCAAAGGTATAGTTTAAAAAATTAAATAGCAATACTATTGATTCTACTTATGAGTTAAATCAGAGTATACTTACAGCAGCAATTAGCAACTTGTACTTTTCATCAAGGAGTTAATATTAAGGGTTGTGATGTTGTCAAGATAGATAATGGCAATAACAATCTAAAGCCAAGATTAGCAAGCATGAGGTAATATCCATCTCCCCTTGCTTCATAACTATTCCGTTTTGCACAATATCATAAATAAACACGTATATACACAAACACCTATACATGGTGAAATTAAACTAGACAGCCAAAACCCACACATATAATATAACCCGTATTCTGGTAACCAGCCAGCATAAGCTTCATTATATTAAAATCCATAAGTGACTGCTAAATGTCTTAAAAGTGTGTTATCCAAATATCTGATTCTCATAATTTTTAATCAATATATCTGAAACTTCAAATATTTGACCATAAGAAATCTGGTCTAATATAGTCTGAATTTTCAGATATATTCTAATTCGATCTAATCATCTACTTAGTTTTGTGTACAAGGGTATACATCTATAGCATTTATCACTTCTCTCAGAAGATTAATCATGAAAAAATGGTTGTATCAATTACAATAGTCAACAGTGAAAACAATGAAACTTTTCGTGTATGCGTGACCAAAACTACTAAAATGGTAATACTAACATGATAATTGACAAGGATCATATGCTATGAACCCAAAAATTGAAATCCAAGTTTGAATAATATGGGTAGACATTATTACCTTTGACCAGTTGAGTTATATATAAACGAACATTGAGTAAATGAATTCTTCGGGCGCTGATTTTAGAGTAAATCTGGAGCAAATATTTAAAAGGTGTTAGAGAGATGATAAGGAAGTAAGCAATCCATTCTTCAAAATGTTGCAAAATTAAAGTGAAAAGACGACAATAATAATAATAACCCCTATTTTATCATTCATACCTAGTTTAATGTTGGGGATATGTTGGATATTGGACCAGTTAGCACCATTCTTGTTCTTGCATTCCTTCATTAACACTGGACTACATCTCCTTATACGAAGCTCGGTTAACGAGGTGAGGTGGCGCATCTCTTCTGGCATTCTTTTCAATTTTGAACAACGATCAATAGTCAGGGATTGGAGAGATGATAAGCCGCCTATTGATGGTGTTAGGCTTTCCAAATTGTTGCAATCGATAATCCTTAGGGAATGGAGAGATGATAAGCCGCCTATTGATGGTGTTAGGCTTTCCAAATTGTCGCACTCCTCAATCTCCAGGGAATGGAGAGACGATAAGCATCCAATCCCCCCTGGCAGCTTCACCACCTTTGGTAGACAATATAAAAACAAGGAACGGAGAGTGGGAGCAAGGTATCTCCATGGCATCTCTGCTTCTGTGCTTTTGTTGTTGATGACATCATCTTCATCCTCCAATTCCAACTGAGGAAGTAAATCCAATGATAGACTCTCCAGGCCAGTGAATTGGTCCCACACTCCTCGTCCTGATATACTCTTCAAATTTTTGCAATCCAGAATTGCAAGGGAGCGAAGAGAGGACAGGCGGCCGCTTCGGAACACCTCACCCACCTCTCCTGTTTTCAATTCCTCCATTTGATGGTCATTTCCAATCCAGAGATACGAAAGATAGTGGAAAGAGTGGATGGGAAGAGAAGTTAAATATCCCACGTTATCTGTCTTCACTTCCCTCAATTTTCCCTGCCGACCTTGATCCTCTTTATGATTATTATTAGAAACTGAGGAAGACGACAAACCATGAGTAGTCTCCCTCATTATTGGGCCCAGCGCTTCATTAAAATCTTCTAAGTACAATTCTTGTAGTCCCGGAAACAAAGGAACTGTTGTCAATTCTGGACATCCATATATATCAAGACGAGAAAGTTTTGGTGCATGCGGTGTCTCACTCTCCTCTGATTCCGATGATGACTTCCACCATCCCTTCAACTTTGGCATGTTTTTAAGCTTCAGGTTTTCAAGGGATGGAAAGAATACCAACTCATCATCATCTCCACTATTAATACTACTACTCTCCATATACTCCACTTCACTCAAACCTTTCAATGCAAGGTCTTTCAAATGACGCAGTTGACTCATCAACGGAAGATGCTCCAACCTTTTACAATCACAAATCTCAATTTTAGCAATATTTGGAAGACAACTTTTGAGATTCATTGATGCGCCCAGAAATAATGTTGTCAAATTTGGACAACCAGATACATTAAGGTGAGAAAGCACTGGTGCTTGTGGTATCCGATCACTCTCCCCTGATTCTGATGATGATGGCTTCCACCATCCCTTCAACTTTGGCATGTTTTCAAGCTTCAGCTTTTCAAGGGATGGAAAGAATACCGACTCATCATCATCTCCACTATTAATACTACTACTCTCCATATACTCCACTTCACAATCACGAATCTCAATTTCAGCAAGATTTGGAAGACAACAACTGAGAGTCATCATCCAGGTTGGGAGCCTCACTCCTGGATAATGCAGCAACTTTAACTCTCTGAGATTCGAGTGGGGTTGTAGGCCTTTCAGCAATACTTCTGCATTAGTATTCTCCTTTGTGTCCCAATTGTACTCAACTTTCCACAATTTTGGACTTTTGAATAGCATTCCCCCTCCTACTGCATCGCATCTCACGTCTTTTTTAACTACAATCTCCATAGTGTGAGTGTAATTGGTGAAATCATTTAAATCTTCAAGCTGACCAACATCAGTTGACCTCCAACTCCAAGCTGCATTGCTTGTTGCACTTCCACTCACTACAAACCCTGTCAAGTTTCGCAGAGAAGCCATGCTGTTCATCCCAGGAGGCATACAAGTTAAACTCCAGCAACCACAAATATCAAGGTGCCTAAGATTAACTAATTTCCTCAACTCCCTTGGCAACCTTTTTAGATGCCTACACCCACGCAACTTTAATGTTTGCAAGTTATAAAGCTTGGTAATGGATGAGGGCAATACACATAGATGCACATTACCTGAAAGGTCAAGATACCTTAGATGCACCCATTCACCTATCCCGCTCGGCAACTTTTGTAATCCATAACAATAATTCAAACATAATACCCTTAAATATTTTACTTTTGATACATCCCCCAAAATAGGTATTAAAGAGAAAACACGATCCCCTGTACATAGAAATGTACGCATCCTTTGCATATTCCTCAACTTACCAACAACATCTTTAGGGGTACTTTCATCCATGTATACATGGCGGGTTTTCTCGTTAAAACATCGTGTACTATAAGTGCACGACAATATGTCTGTCCCTGCCACTTCTTTGGCAAGATCATGAATTAGATCATGCATTTTGCATGATATAATTTCCTTAGTACCTTCTGCCCGTTCTACATCTTGAAAGAAGCACCTTTGCAATAACTGCTTGAAATACTCCTCCCCAACATCTTCAAAACTCTCTGCATCTGACGGCATAATGAAGCCTTGAGCCATCCAAAGACAAATCAAATCCTCCTTGATAATCTTGTAATCCTTTGGGAATACTGCACAGTAACTGAAGCAACTCTTCAAATGGAACGGAAGATAATTGTAACTGATCTTCAACACAGGTATTATGCCATTGCTCTCATCTTGTACAATGTTTGCCAAATCAGTATTTTTCAAATTCTCCCACTTACTTTCCTCCTGACCTCGAAGAAGACTTCCGACCACCCTAATGGCAAGTGGAACATTTGCACACTTTCGAACAATCTCTTTTCCTATATCAACTAATTGTTGCTTCACTGGATTTTCCTCCGGTTTAAGTGCAATTTTCTTAAACAAATCCAAAGATTCATCATCTGAGAGACCTTCCAATTCATGCGTCCAATGACTTCCCACAACATCAGCTACCATTCTGGAGCGAGTTGTCACTAAAATTCTGCTGACCCTTTCACCTCCAATCAATACATTTCTCAACTGAAGCCACTTACTGGATTCCTCATTCCATACGTCATCTAAAACAAGAAAATACTTCTTCCCATCCATTTCTTTCCGAAGTTTCGTCTGGAGCTGGTCCAAATTCAGCCTATCTTGGTCGATTCCTGAATTTACAGCTGCAAGGATTTGACCAACAATAACTTTGACATCAAAAGCATCAGAGACACAAACCCACTTCCTCTGAGGGAATTTCTTGACAATCATCTGATCATTATAAAGCTGTTGGGCCAGAGTAGTTTTCCCCAAGCCTCCAATCCCAACAATGCTGACAACTAAACCATCCTGCTGCTCAACAGTATTGTTGAGTAACATATCTATCACTTTCCGCTTGTCTTCCTCCCTCCCAACGAACACATCATCCTCGCACACATAGGAATGAGTTTCCCTTGCGTTAATTCTCATCTGATTAGCCGCATCGAAACCAGCAGAACCAATGTCATATCGATGATCATTGACAATTCTATCCAACATCTCCGATATCTTTTTCATCTCTCGAGACCAATTGGAAGCAAAACGAAACTGATTAGAGCGGGAGAAGAAAAGGCATACCTCATTACAAACCTTGTTGTTATTACAAGGCATGAGCTTCTTGAGATGAGCAAGAGTGGTAATCTCATCCAACAAGTCATCGGCTCGGTAAAGAGCTTCCTTAAGCCTCTTGAGCTTGTTACGCTCGACATTGGTGCGACAAGCTTGGTGCAGCCGCTCTACAACTTCAGCATCAAGGAGCACAGCCTCAATAGTGGACATGGTTTCTCTGAGTTTGTCAAGCTCAGATTCCAAACCCAACACAGCTTCAATTTGGGTCCAAATGGGAGAACCCAGTTTTTCAACGACAAATTGCACCAAAGTAAGACCTCCTGAAACATCCATCTCTCTCTTTCTCTTGTGAGTTTCTTTTTTTTTTTTTTTCTTTTAGGTGTGAATGTTTAGGATTTTCCAAAAGACAAGCTTTATCCTCATCAAATTTTCAGGCTGGTTCCCCCCACAGGCCCACAATAATTGAAAGACAGGTTGTCTTGTACCATCATTTTACAGCTATTTACTTTTCCGTACTCGATCTACATTAGCTAATCGTTTTATTTTGTCAGTTTTTACTCATTTGATGTTAGTCCCATAATATTCAAAAAAAATTTACAGTTTTATTATAGAGTAATTAGGAAAAATTCACTTAAATAATAACTTTAGGCGATTTACTTTGAATAATCACAACTTTTGATTATTATCTAATAATTCCACCTTTAATATGCGCTTTCCTCCGACAATCCCAGATGACCGGTGACATGATTTTAATAAAACATATTCTCACCATTGAGAAATTTAGAAAATGTGTTTTACGTTTTCTCCTCAGTGGATCCCTCACCTATATATTTAACGGAAAACATATTCTCACCATTGAGAAATTTAAAAAAATCAATGTTACCAATGAGAATTTCCCTAAAATAAATAAATACTCTCTTTGATCAGATCATTCGTTCTTCTCATTTCTCGATTAAAAAGGTTACAAACATGATAACCACTTGAGCCCCAGCTTGACAGCAACGCTGATATTTTTCATTTTCTTTGTGGAAGGTAAGCAACGTTTCAAGTAGTGGGTGCAAGATCAGCATCAAGTCACACCAAACAACTTTGCAGAACCATAACTGGATGCAGCCCTACCTGAGTCACATCGAAAAAACAAAGTCAGTGAACAAGAAATAATTTCTTTGGGCCTGAACAAAGACACTGGAGCATAGTACACTTTTGTTACGTATATACCAATAATTAGACCGTAGAAAACGAGAGACAATAATCAAGTATAGCAGTGTAGCCAATTAGCAAGTAATATACATCCAGGACTAGCACTGCTAGTTCCAGATTATTCTTCTTTGAAGCAATTCTCCTTCGGCCATTAAAACGTTCATAAGCTATCACCGCATTTGAAGGTAGTCATCCTGGTGACACTCACATCTGCATGATAATGCGTAAGTCTGCTTAAAGAAGTGGTTATCATCCCAGCTGCTGCAGAATCCAACGCTCACCTATGAAAAATGATCAATACTTAAATCTTTTTTCCTAACGGACCAAATTAAATAAACCACAAGCAAGAATGATAATTACCTTTGTATTTTCCTTTAGACATCAATGCGAGGGAGGTGTTGGATTTTGGGCCAATCAGCACCAATTGATTCTTGGCATCTTTCTTTAAACACTGGCGAACACCCCTGCACACCAAGTTGTTGTAAGGAACTGAGGTGACAAATCTCTTCTGGCAGTGATTTCAGTCGTTGGCAATTCCGAATTACAAGGGATTTGAGACATGAGAAGCAGGCTATCCATGACGATAGGGATTCAATATTGTCACAGTTAGTAATTTGGAGGAATTGAAGGGCAGTCAAGCGGTTCATTCCCTTTGGTAGTTTCACCAGCTTAATACCAAGGAATGCAGAGTCTGATGAAGGTATTTCCAGGGAATGTCAATATCAGTGCCATCATTATCCTTGTTTGTGCATTCTCGAGTGTTGAGATCTCCATAATCATCATCCAACTCCAACTCAGAAAGCAACTTCAGAAACAGGAAATTCTCACACTTTAAAGGAAAACAAAAATAAAGAGGTAACTGTGTAAATAAGGTCTCAGTTAACTGAGCCATTAGCTCACAAGCAAAGTATTAGGCCGAAGAGGAGGAATTCAACACTTTTCTGCATATAAAAACATATATACATGTATAACATTATTCAGTATCCTTTAGAGCACTAATAACTGTCACCCCCACGTCATCAAGTTAAGCATTTTTCATGTCAGTTCCTGGAAAAATTGCCACCTTCTTCCCTCACCGAGTCACAGAACTTCAACTTGCAGGTTTCTCCACTGCCAAACTAACCAGGGGACTAAGTAGGCACCTTAAAATCACACCTGCTAAGGCTCTCCGATCCAGGAGACAAATCAATAAATCACACCTTCATCTCTGTCAACGATTAAGTCTAGTTCACATGAAATTTCCAATCATACAAAATTAAACTTGATTAAAAGTTGATCGAAATGTAGAATGTAACAGATAATAATCAAACAAGTATTATAACTATTAAAGCATCATTTAAGCATTCAGCTTAGTTCAATGTGGATTAAATGAATGCAACTTGTGTTAAATTTTGAATAATAACTCAATTAAAAAAATACTTCGTATAAAATTTCCGGCTTACATATGAACCCTAAGTTTGGATTTTAGAATTTATGAAAAATTAGTTATTATGACCAAACAATAATAGGATTTACGATAATAGATTGTTACAGTATGAACTTAATTATTGCCATTTAGGCTCAATTTTGATGATTAATTTACTTTATAAAATTCCCCAATTTTTATATAAACCCTAACTATGTAACTTTAAATTTGAAGACATGGCCCGAAATTTTCAATGAAAGTAATAACCTTCTGCGGTATGCATTGAACACTCCAAAAAAAATAAGTAGATGAAGACCACGATAACATCTATGTTTCGAATACACCAGATTATAGCCCAGGTTGTAAGATTGACTTCACATTTGCAAGATTGAGTTGACTTGACCTTAGCAGATAACCAGAGTATGATGTTTTTGAGTGGGCCTTGCTGTAAAAATTTGGAAAGATATCCAGAGTGATTAAGCTTATGGTATGATCTCTATTTTTGGTGTTCTTAGAGCAACAAGGAATTTAGTCATCTCTATTTTGCCAAGTAAATTGATTGGAAGACATCATAGGAAGTTTTTTTTTTTTTTTTTTTTACAAAAATCCGAACTTATTTCATAATATTATTCGATTTTGACTTGACTTGAATTAATTATACTTGTAGGTTGGTCTGGTAAATTACTTTTGACAACCTTTATTTTTAGAATGGTATTGACGAGCTTGTTAAAATTATTTTTGTAAACTTAGTTACTTTTGTTGTGACTATTTTTGTTTGTGAAAATGCATGGCCGTGCTCATATGGATTTTAGAAATCTTCTATTTATTGACAGTCAAGTTCAGGAATCGAGAAACACTTCTAGACGTAATAAGGATGACGAAGAATCTTACCTTAAAGTTCATGAAGAGACATTAAGCGACATAGGAAAAGGGCTATACACTAATTGCACACTTGCCCGGAAGGACAAGTGGGAGATTGAAAGGAATGGTGTCCTTCCAACAAGTATATTATTCTGATAAAGGGTTCAGAATTATTAGAGATCTAATTCTTCAGTGAGGTCAAGTGATCAAAATGCCTAGGTGGAGGCCGCTTCCGATCAGTAATATTAATGTACAATTAATATTACAGCTTAATCTTGACTGAACCCTTCGGGTCGAACCCAATCGAACAACCGATCCGAGACGACGAATCACTCCGAAGGATTAGATGAGTCATCGGAGTATTACGAACAAAGCCGTCGGATATCCAGCTTAGAGCGTCGAGACCGAGCGTCGCAAGTCGAGTCGAATTTAGAATTCGACGAGACGTGAAATCAAACAAGCAACAAGTTTGAGCCTAGCCGTAGCCTCGCATTGGCCTAGCCATGTGAGTGTTAGGCTAGGCGAGGTCCCAACCTATGCGTGCCTAACATCCCCTAGCACACGCACATCGCATGGCACAAGCATTGCAAGATGCATGCATGCGTGTGGTATGGCTATGCATGGATGGGCGTGCTAGCATAGCAGCACTGGCCATCGCAGCATGCTAGGCCACGCACCAAGCACATCGCTAGCTCACAAGCATCGCAAGGCCAGCAGCATGCTAGGCTTGCTGGGCCTTGCTATCGCAAGCAACGCAGGCATGGTGCCTTGCGTGCTTGCTAGCGTGCTAGGGCCTAGCGCCTAGCTCATCGTAGCCTCGCTATCGCACAGCACCACGCACCAAGCAGCAGCGATGCATGCGTGCTGGCTGGCTGTGTGCTGGCTGGCTGCGCATGTGTTGCGGGCTGGTTGGCGATGTGCTAGCTGGCTGGCTGGGCTGCCCAGCCTTGGTTCTAAGCGCCAGTTGGCAACCTTGGCAGCCAAGGCAAGCTGCCAGCCAACCAAGTGGCGTTGACAGCCGGTCAAGGTGGGGACCAATGGTTGGTGTTTTGGCTTGCGGAGCTAGGTGGGTTGGTCCCCTCCCTCGGTGGTCCTCACCTTCTCCCTCTCCTCCCATTGCCACTTGTAGCTTGTTGATTGAGTTGCAATTTTATTTTTGTTTTGATTAAAATAAAATAGAGGAAATTGCAAATCTCCCACATTGATTGAGAATGGGAAATCAAGGTTCATTTCCCTATAAATACTCCAAGTTTTGGGTTTTGGGAAGAACACTTGAGTAGAACTAAAAAGGCATCTCCTTAGTAAAGTGAGAAAACCTTAAGTTCGTAATACTCTAAGTTTTATTTGGTCAAGTCCCGACTAACCTTCGGGACTAAGACCGTTCGGGTCGGGTTCGTGTGTACGAGCCGTTGGAGACCGTCGCGCTTACGAGGTTTAGCTTTTCAAGTAAGAGCTCGGGTTCGAGCAAAGTACGCGTCAAGGGTAAGAACGTCTTTTCTCTTTCTCTCTTTTATGTTGTTAATTATGTGATTAAATATTAAGTTGCTTTAATTAGTGAGTGGGTCTTGGGCGGGTTTCTCTTCCGCATAGAGTCGGACTCTACGAAACCCAACAACGGTATCAGAGCCGCGCTCATTTTAATTATTGTAACTAATAATTAATTGAGGTGATTTAAAATGGATTTAAATTCTGGTTTTGCTTTCTAATTAGGTTAGAAGCTCATTTTAATTAGTTTTTAATCTCGTAGTTTTCTAATTTTGGCCTACGAACCCAGATTTCGACTCAAAAATAGTGATTTTTGGGTGGAATCGATATTCTAAATCGTTGTTGTTCCTTTTAAAGAGCTGTCCAGAAGCCAAAATCCACCCAGAAACATGTTTTTCGATGGGTTTTTTCGTTTTTGACGAAAAATTTTAAATCTTTAAACCTTGATTAATTATGGGTTGTTAAAGGTAGATTAAATGTATGGTTGTATCACTAATCTACTGCAATTATAAACCTTATTAAGCATGTTTATGAAGTCATAATTGGTGCTTAATTTGGTGAGTTCATTTTTCACATAAACTTGAAACTTTCACATTTTTGCA